CTGTCACTCTGGCCAGCATGGCTAACCTGGCATCAACCTACCGGAATCAGGGACGATGGAATGAAGCTGAGAAGCTGGGGGTGCAAGTAATGGAGACTTCCAAGACAGTGCTGGGAGCTGAGCATCCTGTCACTCTGGCCAGCATGGCTAACCTGGCATCAACCTACCGGAATCAGGGACGATGGAATGAAGCTGAGAAGCTGGGGGTGCAAGTAATGGAGACTTCCAAGACAGTGCTGGGAGCTGAGCATCCCGACACTCTGACCATCATGGCAAACCTGGCGTACACCTGGAAATCTCAAAGAAGGCTTCCAGATGCCATAGCTTTAATGGAAGCATGTTGTCGGCTGCGTAATAAGGCATTAGGCCCGGATCATCCAGACACCAGAGATTCCTTTCATGCTCTTGGTAACTGGCGGGGCCAGCAGAATTTGTTGCTAAATGAAAACCTTCCATCCTCAAACACTCAAATTGAAGAATCGGAACGTCTGCAGGAGGTTATAGCACGGTACACTGCGGCTGCGATGATGGCTCAGCCACGCCGGGAAGAGCACATCGATCTGCCCCACTCCCAGAGACGATTAGCGGCAGGATTCTTTCTCGGAGATCACCCCCTTATCATAACTTCCAGAGCACTTTCACCTGCGCCAGGGAGCCAAGACTTACATGAAGTTGATTAATACAGCGCTGGCACAGTTTGCGATCGAAACAACAGAGCAATTGATCCTTTGAATCACTTTAGCTTTGGCTTACCAGCGTACTGTACAGCCAATCCATGTTCGATTTTGTAGGTTCCAGCCTGAGTGGCTTCAATGTTTGTTTGACAGCTGTAATTCTTGGATCTCCTACTATGGTTCTAGCCATAATGCTTATAGCAAATCCTGCAGCCTAGCTACTGTAGCTACAAAGATGAGAATGCTTGTTCTATCGCAAATTTAGTGCAAGTCAACAGATATGTAAGCGGCGCGAGGAGTCGTTTCTCTTGTAGTTGGGGATATGCTAAAATCGCTGTTATAACCTACCATCGACGAAACAGCCGCCAAGACCGACACCTGACTCCCTCCTGACCAATTAACTGTCTCTCCGTTGAAAGTTTGTCTGCTTCGGAGCGGTTCTTCTAGAAACTTCAGCAAATTCACAAAACTTCAAGATACAGCTGGCTCTGTATTTGTACGCCTAATACTTTATGTAAATTACGCCAACTAACGAACTAAACCTAGTATAGATTAGACTGCGGAAGTGGCGTTGAGAAAGAGTCGAAGAGCGTAATCAATGTAAAGGCGAACCTGCAAGGCGCTGTAGAATGATGGGTTGCATGCTAGTTATGGTCGGTAGATGGTTGAAAAACATAGAGCTTGTTCCAGTGCATCCCTGCATCTACAAGTTGCGGCAATCTTGCTGAAACCAATTGATGTACCTGCTCAAAGTGCTTCCTGATTTGTATCAGCAACTTCTTGACTAATCCTGTCTCATGAGCATGTTCTGCAGACACTCTCCGGAAATGACAGCTTCTTGAACAGTGAAGCTCATTTTAACATACATTGTTGAGCGTGTGGGTGCGCTTCTCGTGGGATGCCCAACGGCTTGCTGTCCGCGCTGTCATTGACCACCAATGCTTGGTTGAAGCTGACGCCTTGAAGCTAACGGCTCAACCTTGCACGCTGCATGCAAATATCTGGGTATCGGGGGCCCATGTTGCAAACACTCTTTATTAAGCGAATAGTCATACACATGCCGCTCAGATTGGTGAACCCATGACTAGTAGCGCCCTCGCGGGGAGTACTCTGTTAACGGATGTACTTATTTTCGCCAAATGACGGCCAACAACTAGACTGCCGGCAGCCTACTGTAGACTTTCAGAGGGCTGAACGCACGAATTTCTGGCACTCACAAATCGACATATATCACGCTGATTCGGACTTGTATCTTGTGAATAGTGATAAACAATCTCTGTCTCTGGACTCGGCGGGGAAATAATTATGGCTTGTTGAACTCATTATGCACCTCCTGCTCTGAGTACCGGCTTATCTTCTTGAGCTGCTCGAAAACAGCAATCTCCATTGGAGGCCTATTCCGGGAGAATAGCCCTTCAATAAACGGGGCTGCACAATTTACTCAACGGTGCTGATTTGCTCAGTTCAAAGTGCCCACTAAGCGTACAGTGGTTGACACCTGGTCCAGACACTCGTTGCGCGCAACTCCCCTCAAACGCCAACAGTCCGAGATTTCGCATACTCACCACTTAATGCATCGATACATTGTGGTGGTCGTGCATCGGGGATGCCGATCGCAATAGGCCGAGGATGGGCCCCTGCTTTGTTATGCCAAGCCAGTGTCGTGAATGGGGTGTACCATGGTGTGTGGTAGCAAGGTGTTGATATAAATTACCACTAACCAAATTAAGCATGTCTAGAATGCCATCGAAATATCCATCTCGTACTTGATGCTATTCAAAGAATCAGCTGGAGGACGACGTGGATGGAAGATTCTATGGAAGAAAAATGCCTCAATTTTTTTGCCACATTTACAGTATATATATGGCCTAGATAGTCACTCGTTTGAGAAGATCAAGACCTTCAATGAATTCTAAGCCTACATATAGATTGCTAGCGTATTCCGATCTCACATCGGTATTGCGGATTTTGACACAAGGCCGCACATCTCGGTCGGTTGGCAAGGGCACAGCATCAAGCCAGATGTGGTATGCCAAAAAAGCTTCTTCCTTTCTCCACTCTATGAGGCTCAACTGTAATTATGACTTGTCTGGCGTTGTAGGCTCTGCCGTTGGCAAATTGTAAAGACAGACTGAACAGTAGCGACGGCTATAGGAGCGTCCCTCGTAGATTCAATAAACAATGGATGGGGTTTTCGCGTAGGGGTTTTGATAACCACACGATCCAACTTCCTTTTTATACGTTTTCTCCTGGTGAGGGGAGACGAGAGAAGGAATATACATCACATGGGGCCCTTCCTTTGTCTCGAAAGCATACAAAGGAGCTCCATAGCCAGGATAGGCTACGGTAACCAATATTTGGGCCCTTTGAGGTTTTGGTGGCGGTCATTAGTCTCGTTCGGGAATCGTGGCGTAGTCAACAAAGATAACCAAACAAAGAAACCCAAAGTCAAATTTCACGTGCAGCTAGGCATATTTCCTCTAACAGGAAATCCGTAGCTGGGATACTAATCATCTGCACCAAACAGTGAACCATAGACGATCAGCCTCGCTGGGTTCAACAGCACGCTCAGAGATGCAAGCACATTTGCGGATAGCATACGCACTCGTATATTGCTCTCCAGCTTTGTGAACTGATCAAAGGCCGCTACCGCGCTAAAGTGGACGACAGCGAAGGGATTAACTATACTTCAACGTTCTCTAATATCCGCCTATTGAGAATCGTCGTTCGAACTCTCCCGAACTGAGGGTCACCCTCAGGGCCCAAGCCTTAAGTTGTCTATACGGAAGCCAGCTAGAGTTCTCCTGAGGGAACTTCTGATGACAGCCTGAGTCGCATCTTTTTCTATGCATACTTTTAATGCTAGCCAATGGTATCAGGCATTTTATGAATCTATGTCTGACGTATCGTGGACTTGATTGATCAATAGTTCCAACAATGAATCGGCAGGATAATTAAACGGAAAAGGAAGAATAGGGCCGTCATGGCCCCGCAATCCGTTTCTCGAAATAGCTCGCAGCTGCGCCCTGGCCAACCCTCTCATCCCCTTCCCCTCGACTGCCTTGCACCGATGCTAGTATTGCGACTTGTAACTTAATCAGAGGTAATACCTGTCCAACATGCTCCGAACGGCTTCCGAGAGGGTTCGTTCTTATAATATTTTTTTTTTTTCCCTTTTGCATAGCCTGCCTCTATTCACTAGGTAGAGACAAGTTTGTTCCGTATTGTCATAGTCAAGAAAATCAGAATAGAACTCAGAATCCTGTACAAGATCCATACGCGATCAACATTTGCCCAACCACAGCAAAGCCGCCAATAGCCGGAGTGACATAAAAGATCATAATGGCTAAGATGGAAGCCGCCTTAAAGAGCAAAATACGCGCTCGCCGAATACTGCTATATTCCTTGTCTTTTATCAATCGGCGAGAGCCATAGTAGCCAACATCCACCAAGAGGTCTGTATAATAAGGATTGGAAACAGACACGATTCCTACAGCATACCAAGCCATCAGTCACGCTCTCTGGGCAACAGTACTGCTCCCTGGTCGAAACTTTGACATCACGCCAAGTGGGATATAGGGCAACAAAGCCACTGCCCAGGTCAGGCCACCCAAGATGTATCCGCGAGGGCCGTAGTGTCTCTTTATGTGAAGAATGCTTATAGACGAGGTGTTTGAGTAGGCTACCTTGAACCTGTAGCAGCCGGGAACAATCAAAGCAGGTACTTACACATCGAGGCTGTCCGTTGCTGCAGTCCTGTTCGACTGCCACTGCTTGCTTCTGCGCTATTTCCTCATCTAGCAATGAAGTGCTCTCCAGAGGACTAGCTGCTGAAACCAATGTTCCTGTATTCTCACTGACAGAATGCTTCCTGTCCTTTTCCAGACCGTCGTGCTTTGTAGTTCCATCAGGAATCGGCTCTGTGCTCCCAGGCTCGCACATTTGATTTGCGATTTGGCACAAAAGCTGGTCGTTGTGCTGCTTGAACGAAGCACTAAACACAGTCAAATCCTCGGCGATAAGCGGCTCACTTTCCAATTAGCCAACAATATCAGTGAAATAGCCGCCATGGCTTATGGCCTCATCCATGATCTCTGTATGAACAAGATAGAGTTTTAGAAAACTGGGGTTAAAACAATTGGCGAGTAAATTCAGAAAAGACATTACCAAATACGGGGTGACCGTGAATCCAAACGCCGTGTATCCATAGGCATTGATTTGATAGCCTTTGGATTGATACAGGGCAGAACAAGCAGAGAAAATCTGAACAATGGAGATGACACCAGAAGCCAGGCTATACAACAATTGGAGGACGCGGCTCAGTGCGATTTCAGGCATGACATGCTCCACCAGCGCATTAGGCGAGATGTAGGCCAGTTGATATCCCTCTGGCAGGTCGCATGTTCCAGAGACATGATAGCCTCTTTCCACCCTGATGTGCTGTTTGCTCAGTCCGTAATGCATGGTCAGCCACGGGGGGATTGCTGGGACTATCTTGAACGGCACTGTGTGGCCCTTGCTATAGGTGAGGCTGTTAGACAGAATCCGGCATCCAATGATCTTCAGTAACATACAGCTTTTCCACATGTGCTTTTATCCAACTCTTACTGAGGGCTGGGGGGGGGGGGGAAATAAGTATCCCCTGATTAGCCTACTAGAGTAGTTGCTTTCTCTGGGGTGTAATAAAGCGTACCTGCTCTATAGTACTCGTCTGAATCCATCCGTGCATGTTTACTTTGAATCTTATTTGGGGGGTACAAAGAGAGCGAGCGTATAGAATCTCCAGCCTGTGGCTTCCATCAATGATCCTGAATCACCATAACCAACGCTTGGGCTTTTAGCGCCTGCTGCAGCGGGTCTTTATAGAAGCTTGCCTGTTGGTATATCATGGTAAGGCCGCGACCAGCACCGAAGCAAGGAAATAATAGAACCAAGAAGATATTCAAAGCAGTGATATATAAAGGTTCACCGGGTGCCTTGACGACAGTTTCGACATGATATAAATAATTGCCCACAAAAAAATGAAACGACATCCGTCCATGAGGTCTGCGTGCAGATATCCTGCGACTCGGGATGGTAGGTGACGCCGTCGGGTATCGTTATAGTCGTATTACGCTTAGGTAGATAGGCGGCCAGGGAGCCACAAATCAAAACTAAGAATATCAAGAAGGTCAAGGTCTGCTGAGCCATGAAGAAGCTGGCCCTATGTGGGTTGTGGGTTAGGTAGACGAGTGTAGGGTGTAGATACCAGTCTAGCGTTGCGTTTGTTTGTTGGGGGTCAAGGCTATTTCAATTAGCACACAAGACTAATCTTGCTTATACTGTTGTATTGGAACACACTCACGTCTCTGAACTCAAAAACACTCTAGCTCAAGCCTCATGCGTCTGTGCCTCAAATGTAATCGAATCACAGTGTCTCAAGCCATCCAGTTATTGGTGGACCTGCCACACCCCAAATTCTGCTTATTAGACAGCCTATTTCTGATTGTATGCTCTTTTTCACACGCTCTCTAAATCTGACATATACCATAATTAAACTACGCTGATAAGGCTGCAGTCAAGCAGAGAGAGGTTTGATTGTATGTATATAAGTAGCGGAACTGTTTGCTCTTTTGCAGGGATACAGAAAAACGCATCAAAGGCTACATGGCACTGGAGGGCGACAGTGATATAAACTGGACGGTCGAGTGGTGAAAACTTTTGAGTTTTCGTCATCTCTAACCCTGAAATTGCACCAGTACAATTTGTTGACCCCATGATGTACTCTCAGATCCCATCAGAAACATCCAAGTCGCTTGGAGTGCCAGAAAGACGATGGTACTGTGACCAGAGCCATGTACTCGCTCTGTTGGGCTGCGTGATATGCTTTGTGGTTTCGATCCTTGCTATCCAACCTACGATCGGACCTGCGTGGAGCCTGTCTTGGAATCTAGGGTTGACTAACCAGCTGATCGTCATCGGATTGTTGCTAAGTCTGATGAATGAATGTACCGGCATTCTTGCGCCGACATTCTTCCTCATTCTCGAGACCCGACGAACGAGCCCGACGCTGCAGAACTACGAGGCCATTATCAAGAAGAGCGTGTTTCTGGATAAAGCAGACGTACGCTGGCGTGCATGCTTCCTCCTCCTCACCCTCCTCCCTCTGGGACTCAGTGTGGCATACAAGAAGCTCATTGGAGGAAGCAGCACGATAGAGATCCAGAGCGACTTTCCACGGTTCTACGGCCTCGTGCCGCTTCCTCTGGGCACATTCAACGTGATGAACAATTCGATCTATTACATGATCAATGCAAGCATTCCGTACATAGCGGCATCTTCAAGCGCTTGTTCGATTCCGCAGTTCCCAGCCGTGTATGGATTTAACACGGTCATCCTGGACAATACATCTACGGCGTTGCTGGACTTACCTTCGCCAGACTTTCTCTCTTCTATCCAGCAGAACCTGACCGATGGTGAATCTTGGAGCATGTCAGCGGCAGTGGGTGGAACAGTCGCCCGATACAATTCATTAACATCGTCCTATAAAGACAATGATGCCTTTTGGACCGCTGCTTTCAACCACTCCTATAACCCCACCGGTCTGTCGACGATCTCCCTCTACAATGGCTATCAGATGGGGATGATTAATGGCTTGGACAGCTTGCATAGTGAGAACCCGGGCCCGTATTGTCTAATTGGCTTCTTCAAGGGAGATGCATACGGGCTGAACATCTACAGCAACACAACTGAATCCACCAGTCTCGCTTTCAGAAAGAACGCCTACAAGTTTGACATCCAGCAAGAAAAGTGTCAGGCACAGTGGACAGTGACCCGCAGTAGCATCCAACTGACCAGTGGCCACTGTACTGGAGAAAGGACAAAGCAAGTTGTTTTCAACAGCACCACGCCGTATTACGCCGACACGCTGCCTCTTTTGGCGACATGGTTGATTCGGTACTCCCCAGCACAATCCCAGAGCCAGTCGCCGTGGCTGCTCCCATCATTGACGACCTCCGTTGCAAGCATGTTCTGGGCTCGCATCATCTACATGGATCCGACAAACAACGTGTATCCTGAAATGTACTATCCCCCAACTAGCAAAACTATCCATTCCACACGGTTAACCCTTAAGGCGAATTGGGGTCTGTACCTCACACTATGCATCCACCCGGCCATCTGCACGGTGATGCTGCTTTCAATCTGCTTCTGCTACAAAACCCCCATCGGAAAGGGATTCGGTTTGATCTCAGTTTTGTCGGGCGTCCGAGGAGATAATCTTGACCAGCTGCGGGGCGCCGGTTTGTCAGGAACTCTGACAAGGACAGTTCCGATGAGAATCATTGTCCAGGATTCATCTCGTTCTCATCCGAGGATTCGATATTCATTGGGAGACGGGCTTGAGGCCACGGGCGAGTTAGATATAAAGGAGACGTACTGTTAGACCTGTTCCTTAGAATTGGATGTCAATTTCTTTTGTGTGTTTTCAAATGCGCTACTAAGCAACGAGAATGTTATTACTATAGAAAGCCTGCCTATACTAGCCTGCCTGCAGCCTGGAACTGTTAGATAAGGATTAGTATTGCCTGCCTAAGTGTTAACTACCTCTTTAACTTGCCTGCAAGCCTGCACCTTGATAGATAGACGATATCGTCAGTGCTGCACTTGACATCTAGGCTGACGTCTACAGGGAATGCCTCCTGTGATATCTGTTAGAAGATCTGGCTTACCGGGACAGGGTAAGGTAGGGTTCATTACTCGTTCCAGAGCTCGAGAGATCATAATTTGATCTCTAGGATCAGCTCTCGGATATATCCGGCGGAGTAGACGATGGCACGCCTTGATGCGTTGCTCAAGGTCTTCAAGATATCTATTCCATGCGAGTATTACGCCCATACCCTGTATACTCCCTATACCAACTAGTCTCTGACCTTGCGATGTAGATCTTCGGAATACCCGAAACAGCTGGTTCTATTAGGAAAAGCGTGATTCTGCGCTTGGCACTATGACGTGTTGTAGACCACGTTAGGGCGAGTATGAAGCAGTCTTAAAGGCCAGCGAGTGCTTGATTATCTCTGTGGCATATCCGCATCAAGTAACGATGGTTCACTGAAACCGCAGTGGGTCAGGCTAGCATGCCCGCGACTCATCAGTGTGCATGGAGTGTTAAGTCTCTTCCAAGAAGCTACGCACAGGAGAAATGGGGCCAAAGCCTTTGGCAGTCACGTGGTTCAATTCATGAAGCTCTTACATGTTGATTGATTCTAGGTAAGTGGGTCCACAGCACCTCCGCAACGAAACAACAACTTCCAGATTCTTCTGGTACCACAACAATCTGCAACTGTAGAAATGAATCATATTACGATATAGAATATCGAATTGAAGAAGCTATGCGGGCATTAAAACGCGAGAAAAAACCTAATTTTTCTAAAACTGCGCGAGAGTTTCATGTCCTGATGCAGCGGCTTCAACGCCGCCGGATTGGATACCATCACGTTGCTGTGGCCGCGGAGGGATGTCCAACTTGATAAGCTTATCAATATACTGCCTAAGAGTCATCTTCTGCGCGGCAGTAAGCTCTGTAATGCAGCAAATTCTATACTCCGTCGCGGCCATACTGATCCACCAACCCCTCCTCTTCAAATTGGCGAAAAGTGGACGAAACGCCTCCTTGAACAGCATCTAGAATATCGAGTTTGAAGGTAAAGAGCTATTGAGATTGGACGGAAGCAGGCACACGAGCCCTGAGTCATCGAATCATGGTTCATAATCTCAGAGGGTTGATGGCTAGAAACTGTGTCCATCCTTCAGACCTATACAACTTTGATGAGACTGGCTTCTAAATCGGAATCGTAAAGATCAATGGATCGTTACTAGGGAGTTAAGAACACTCCTTTCTCTCCTAGTAACACCAATCAATACTGAATTGTATTAGCCGGTCGTTCTGTAACGTCAATGTTATCCTTCAACTCTTTGAATGTATTCTCTTTAATTTTCAATATTCTTTCTGCTTGAGTAATTTTCTAGCATGGTACTAAGCCAGTTGTCCAGGAACCACGAGTGAAAAATCAAGTAGACAGAACGTTGAAGAAAAAAGTGGAGTGGCAGGTATCCACCTAAGGGAAGACACGAAGTAATTATATTAGTGGAAGGAGGGACTTGGGAGGAGCTCCCTCGGTTAGGTTCTTATCGTCCGCTCTGTTTTTGAAGAGGTCACCTTGGCAGTAAGAGTATACTTCATGACTTTTTGGATGTTCGTCCTTGCATATCAGAGTTTCCACTTGCCTGGGAATTCTCTTCCTGCATATTCACCCTACAACAATGTCTCTCAATGAAATCCGCGGCCGACGAGCTCTTATCACTGGTGCATCAGGAGGGTACGTGGAATCGAGTCACACTTTATTTACACTATTTTAGCAGCGAAAATAGAGTGGGGAACCTAATAATACTAGAATCAGCGCCGCGTGTGCTGAGCAGCTGGCGCAATATGGAGTCCCCTCGCACCGAACGACTCAGTGACATCTTGAGATATTCAAAGGCCCGACATGGAAAGATGATGTTGACTGGTGTGAGGAATATCGACGAGTCTTTACCAAAGTGTTTGCTTTCTATCGCAACCACAATCCCACTATTGAGGTCCAGTCAACCATTTCCAGCTCACTTTCAGGTCTGGATAAGGCTTTCTTCCAGTTCTCTAAACGACGACGTCTATCACCCTCTCTTGTGCTAGCTAATCAAACGCCATGGAAAACCCATTAAAATCGGAGGAAAAGGCTGTGACTCCGGAGTCCGCAACGGCACCGAACGAGAAAGGTTATGCAGAGTCCGGTGTGCAGCGATCCGCTCTCAAGAGCTTCCTGGTACGCAGCGATCTTTCCCCTTTCCGTGATTTATGTCTCGCTAATAAGTTGATGCTCTTCCCCCTCTGCAGAGGATCTTTACCTTCGGACAGACACTCGACTATATCCTTGGTCTGATCGGCCTGCTCGCTGCCATCGGCTCAGGCGTTGCGTTGGCCATGGTGAACCTCGTACTAGGAGACTTCATGACGCTTCTCAGCGGCTCTACAGTTGGTTCTACCGTCTCCGACAATTTCATGTCCAAGGTCACCAAACTATCGTAAGTCCCTGCAACTAAGGATGACCCTGTAAAGAATTTTTACCTCTAGCTAAACTAATGTGAATTAGTCTATATTTTGTCTACATAGGGATAGCGCGGTTTGGTTGTACGTATATATACGCTGCGCTATTCACGTACGTCGGCCATAACCTGGTCCGAAACATTCGATATCGTTACCTCCGTGCCGCACTGGGTCAAGAGACAGGGTACTTTGACCAGGGTGTTAGTGGCTCAATCTCCATGCAGGCCACGTCCAATAAAAAACTCATACATTCAGGAATCTCTGAAAAACTAGGCACTGTGATCCAGTCTCTTGCTACATTTGTCGCGGCTTTCATTCTTGCATTCGTGACTCATTGGAAACTAACATTGATTATTATCTGCGTTGTTCCTGCGCTGGTCTTGGTTGTTGGAGGACTGTCGATTATTGATGCTGTAATCGAGTCAAAGATTCTTAAAGTCTATGCTCAAGCTGGCACATACGTGGAAAATATTTTCAGCGGTATTCGAGCTATCCATGCGTTTAACCTCCGACCTAGGGTTGTTCAGAGGTATGCGCAATACCTAGATGATGCCTACGGCTTGGGGATGAAGAAGAGCGCCTTGTATGGATTCTTATTTGGCGCGGAGTTCTTTATAGTATATGCTGGAATGGGTCTGGCATTCTGGCAGGGGATTCAGATGCTTGCTCGGGGTGATGTTTCGAACGTTGGAACCGTCTTCGCGTATGTTCCCCATCATTGCCCTCTTGTTCCGTGCACCGTTTACGAGCCGCGCCTATTCAGCTAACGCGACAATAGGGTGTTATTTTCCGTCATCATCGCCGCAAGTACCATCACCTCTATTGCTCCTCATTCGATAACGTTTAGTCGTGCTGCCAGTGCTGCCACAGAGCTGTTTGTCCTCATCGACCGGAATTCGGAGATCAATCCATTTGATGATTCAGGGGACAAGCCCGAGTTTACCTCCGGTGTCCTTGAGCTTGACCACATAGGATTCTGCTATCCTAGCCGGCCTAGCGTTCGTGTTCTAGACGACTTCTCTCTGCATATTCCTGCGGGGAAAGTCACCGCTCTTGTTGTATGTGTCGAATTATCCTCTGTGTCTCATGTTCAGACTAATAGCATTGCTAATATTACGGATAAAAAAGGGGGCGAGCGGCTCCGGAAAGAGTACAGTTGTGGGATTGCTGGAACGATGGTATAAGGCCCAGACTGGTACTATCCGGTTGGACGGTCAGAACATAGAACAATTGAATTTGAAATTGTTACGCACCAATATTCGGCTTGTGCAACAGGTATCTAACACCTTCTATCGTGGGCTCACGGCCCCAAGACCCTGCTGACTTTGTTTTGTAGGAACCAGTTCTCTTCAGCGGCAGTGTATTCGAGAATATAGCTAATGGCCTTATCGGCACACCGTGGGAAACGGCTCCATATGAGACCCAGAAGCAGCGGGTGGAGGAAGCAGCGAGACTTGCATTTGCGCATGATTTCATTATGAACCTTCCGGACGGCTACGACTCCCCTGTTGGTCAGAAGGGGGGTCTTCTGTCTGGTGGACAGAAACAGCGAATTGCCATTGCACGGAGTATCGTCTCCGAACCGAAAGTTCTTCTATTGGACGAAGCAACAAGCGCTCTGGACCCACACGCTGAGGCTCTTGTGCAACAGGCGTTGGATCGTGCGTCTAAAAATCGTACAACGATTGTAATTGCGCATAAGTTGGCCACCATCCGCAACGCCGACAATATTGTGGTGATGTCAAAGGGAAAAATCGTGGAACAGGGCCGGCATGAGGAATTAGTCGGCCGAGGCGGTACGTACGCGAACCTGGTCAAGGCACAGGATCTCTCCACGGTACAGTCAACCGACAAGCCAGATCACGACATTGATCAGGAGATTTCTGATGCGAGCTCCAAGTCTATTCCGTCTATGGAGACGTATCAGACCGCCGTGGCGCGCGAATTAGGTGAGATACAGCAGCGGGAAGACTACATTTTGTACAAAAAGACCGGTCTTCTCCGCAGCATTGCGAGACTGGTGAGTACGATGCCGACTCTGAAGTACTGGTACCTTGCCGCTCTCGCATGTTGTGTGGCTGGAGGTATGTGCGGTTGAAATAGGGCATTATCCTGTCCATCATTACTTGGCTAACGTTTACGTAGCTGCCATATTCCCTGGCCAAGCATTACTTTTGGGGAGTGTCATGGATATCTTCTCGTCTCCAGACATGGTCGGCAGAGGTAATTTTATTGCTCTGATGTATTTCGTCATGTCTTTGGGCTGCCTCACAGTCTACTTCGGGCTGGGTTGGTCTACCAATGTGGTCGCGCAGGTAGGCATCACTCCACCGGTGACCAACCCTTTCATGTCACTAATGTGAATGCAGTCTATTAGTAAAACATTTCGATATCAGATTCTTGATTCCATTCTTAAACAAGACCTCCGGTTCTTTGATCGACATGAAAACTCCGTGGGGGCACTAACCGAGCGACTTGATTCTTTCCCCCAGGCAGTTCTCGAACTGATGGGCTTTAACGTTGGTTTGGTTATCATGTCCACTATCAACGTGCTTGCCTGTACCATTCTGTCTCTCGTTGTGTCCTGGAAACTAGGACTTATGGCGGTCTTTGTTGGTTTACCTCCAATGGTGCTGTCAGGGTATGCGCGCATTCGCCTCGAAACGAAAATGGACACCGATATGGGCAAGAGATTCTCACACAGTGCATCGATAGCCTCGGAGGCAGTGCTCGCTATTCGTACCATCACATCTCTGGCGATGGAAGAATCAACTTTGAAGAAATACACGAACGAGCTCGATGCGGCGATTCGCTCATCTACCGCCCCGTTTTTCATCATGATGATACCGTATGCCCTGACTCAGTCGATCGAGTATTTTATCTTGGGCTTAGGATTTTGGTAGGCCTGCTCTACGTCCGTCAATCTCTCAAAACGTCTGGCTAACATGTCTCGCTCTAGGTGGGGTTCAAAGCTGATAAACGATGACGCTATCAATTTCTATCAGTTTATTGTGTCCTTCATGGGCGTGTATTTCTCGGGTCAGGCAGCGGGTCAGCTATTCAGCTTCTCGAGCAGTATGTCCACTTTTTGTACAGACACGGTTGTTGAGGGCACGAGCCCTTGCTAACGGCATGTCAACTGTAGGCTTCACGAAGGCAAATGCAGCAGCAAACTATTACTTTTGGATAAAAAACCTCCAGCCCTTGATCCAGGAGACGGACGAAAACCGGGACAACCGTCCTCCTAAAGACTGGCAATCCATCAACTTCCAGGACGTTGTCTTCTCATACCCCCTCGCACCGGACACCCGTGTCCTGAATGGCATATCTCTGAACGTATATCCACTCCTTTCGCAATCTTCCCAAGCGTCGAACCTCTCTCGATATGTCTACTTACCATAAAACAGATTGGAAGAGGCCAATTTGTAGCATTCGTCGGAGCCTCCGGCTGCGGCAAAAGCACGATGATCTCTCTCCTTGAACGCTACTACGACCCGAGCCACGGCATCATCACCATCAACTCCGCCCCTCTCCCAAATCTAAACCCTATCGCCTACAGAAGCCAAATCGCCCTCGTCCAACAGGAGCTTACTCTGTTTCCCGGCACGATCCTCGAGAATATCTCGCATGGTCTTGACATCTCATCCACAGTCGCATCGCCGCCTGCTCTAGCGCAAATTGAAGCCGCTTGCCGTGCCGCCAATATCTGGGAATTCGTCTCCTCCCTGCCTGACGGACTCCACACTCCCTGCGGCACGAGCGGAAGCCAGCTCTCGGGCGGTCAGCGTCAGCGGATTGCGATAGCAAGGGCTTTGATTCGGAATCCGAAAGTTATACTGCTTGATGAGGCGACAAGTGCGCTGGATACAGAGTCGGAAAGGGTTGTTCAGGCTGCACTGATGCAAGCTGCTATGGATGGAGAGAGGATTACGGTTGCTGTTGCGCACCGGCTGTCGACGGTGAAAGACGCGGACTGTATTTTTGTGCTTTTGGGGGGCAGGGTTGTGGAGGTGGGGAGGCATAGGGAGTTGGTTCGGTTGGCGGGCATTTATGCGGGGATGTGTGAGGCGCAGAGGCTGGATTTGGGGTAGGTTGTTATCTTACTTATATTTAGCAAGTCATAAGGACAATCAGCAGGGTTTGCTCAAGTGGTGGTGATCATATTTCTTCAAGAGACCCCAGAAGGAAAAAGGGTGTAGGAACAAAACCAAAGAGGATCATGCGTTCTTCGCCAAGCTTGCTGCAGAGCATATGCTGTAGAAACCCCATGAGGTGAAACAGCGATGACACAGACGTTTTCCAGGTTTGTCCGAGCTGACCAAGTATTATCATTGTGCCTTAAGTCATTACATGCCATTGAAGCAAAGCACTGGGATGGAACCGCTGAATTTTGCGGACCTTTTGAAAACTAGACCTATTCATATACATGCGAGTTGCCCCGTCTCAGGTGTAGGCAACAATAATAATCGACGCCCTCATGGCAATGTTCGTTTAAGGAATGTATGTGGACCTTGGCGATATGCTCTCTATATCTCTTTGCTTGAGTACTCTTCCGTTCCCAGACAGGAATTCTTTCACCAATTATTCATATTACCTCTAGCTCTGCCACTACAAATGGTATGCGCAACACACCATTAGACGAAAGGAAATAATACAAGATTTAATAAGTTCAGTCACAGCGAGGGGGTTAATGCACACAAGGGGCATGAGACGGGCGAGAAGATGACTGCTAAAAGGTAGGTTAGATGGTAAATGTGGCGAGCACGAAGAACGCAAGATCACAGAGAAGTATACAAAACAGGAAGGCGAGCAGGCGAAGTTGAAAGAGATGTAAGCCTCCAATTCTTGCAGTCAGGTAAAAAATTAACAGTTTTTATAAAGAAAAAGAGGACATCGGGTTCTAATCTCATCGTGCCGATTGATGAAATTATATACCGATCTCTCTCCTTCAGTCTGAGTAGTAAGTTGAACCACGCTTTGTGAGCGGGATATTTGCCATTTCTCCCACATGGGACGGTCGTGGAGCCGCTCTACGTTGATCCATCTAATAAGCGACTCCTCTTCATTCGGAGTCTCTTTATAGCCATTTGCGGCGTGCTTCATCGCGATATTTACTGCTTATAAACCGATCGCGTAGGGTAGAACGAGGGACGTTAAATATCTGCGCAGGCCCTTGCTGATTGCTAAGATTTCCTTTTCCTCTGGAACAGATATTGTAAGCAGGATCCTCCCTTACTAGAGGCTGATCTACTTAAATATACAATAAGGAATATTCCACTTCTTGGTCATCAGTTATTGCTGGAGTCTCGGGGCCATCGACGGCCAATATCATTGGTCAGATTTGTTAATATATTACTTACTCTTAACCTTCGTAATCTTTCATAATTTTCCTGTACCGAGATAGCGACGTTTGGGAGTGCCTAGATAATAGGCAGGCTTACGCAGTATTTATATGTAGCGCTTCTTTAACGTTACCGTCTTATGCGTTTTCTGTTTGACAGCTGGCTATCCATTCCGATGCCGCATGAAAGAACGCAACATCCCTCTACGCGATCTGTTTAGAAGTCAAGCACACCTTAAACACTTTCAAGTATCTTCAAGAAGATGTGCCGGAGCAATGGACCAGAACTGATCGCTTTACTCGATCGCGGAAGAGATTACACCTCAAGACCATGAAATTCTTCAACATGGTGGTACATCTTCTAATATTGAATGGCTTCCCTCACGCCTCCAATGATCCAAATCATACTCGCAGAGCATGAAAAAGCAGATTGAAGACTTAGCCTATGAAGTTGGCTACTTGAAGGCGGAGTTAGCATGGCATGCAGAGTTGAAGCGAGCCCTACTATAGCTATAAGAACAGATATACCAAATATTCCACAGGATGGAAGACGCATTAGTTCAGGTGAATGTTCACCTTTAAGAGGCGGAGAAATGATTTGAAGCCTGGAGATCCACCAAATTCGTTAGTATATCGATAACTAGACCCAAGTATAGTTGACAGCTTATGTTTTCCCGCAAGTCAAAATCAATACACAAGGGGTCTTGAATTTTCCTACATAAGATGTATCTAGTTACATTATTCAGACAGTGTACCCTCAATAGATCTTCCTATTCTGAAGTGGGTCCTTACGACTATTTCAGTCTCTCGATAAAGGCGGAGCTTGTCTTACAGAATGAGCATACTTTTGCGATGATTATATGTATCGTATTTTGACTCATAATTTATCCACGGGCTGCATCCCAGGAAGTCACAAACATAACAATATTGGTGGGACGCCGGTCGTAGCATTGAATTGTAATCTCAACCTCTCTCTGTCTTTTTCTCTTGGACACAAATAGCTTTGATTGGACTCTCTGATAGAGTCGCTTCGCTGCACTGCGAGTTCTCCTAGATCTGACCATATTAACGGATGGGTCACGTGGCGGTAGCAAATTTTTTTGGGCAACAGATTCCAGAGGATGAAGCTTTGTGGTCGCGAGATGTACGCACAGAGCAATGTCAGAATAGCAACTATCGCTCCAGATGGAATCTGCTTTCTTTTACTGTCCCAAAAGTATCTCACTTCTACATGTCCTTTTTTATTCATCCAATCTACAACAAGTCTACCATAATGCTAACTAAAATGAAGCAGAATTTGTACTGTACAAACATAATTTACGCTATCTGCATTAGGTGCAAGCTTATTAGATTAGTGTAACTCGGTTAAGCTTTTCTCTGCAAGGAAGACAAGTCTTGGTAAGAAAAAGGGATTAACTATGTAAGATACCTAACTTATAGAGAATTAGCCATACATCTTGATCTAGGCTATTCTTAATGGGTAATCCAATCAGCCTTACTTTCTAGAGGCTATCGAAGATATATTGCTTGAAGGAAACCACCACTATCTCCTAAGAATAAGCAGAAATGGCTCCTTTGGGCACAGGAGTGTCGCGGGCTAGAAACCAATTCAACCTATATTATAGGTTTGGACTGTAAGAACTCGCTAAGGAACTTCTAACTAAGGCCGCGGCGGCCGAACAAATATCAACACGCGCACGGTAAACAATGTCACGTGATCAGGACTTCGCGTCCGGGGTGTACATGACCTCGCGAGTGCCCGATAGACGGGCTCGAGCAATTTGCGGGCCCTGCCCGCTACAAGGAGCACCTTAACTGGTCTCCTAGTCAATGGGAAGCTATACGATGGTCTGATGAGACATGGGTAAATCCAGGCCGCCATACACGTACGTGGGTTACTTGCCATAAGGATGAGGTCTTCCATGAAGACTGTATTATTGAACGGCGCCCATGTAAGATAGGATAGATGTTTTGGGGCTCATTCCATGGAACTACTAAAGGCCCTATGGTATTCTGGGAGAAGGAATAGGGTATAATAAATGCTCAAAGCTATATTCAACATAGTGCCTCTTATAACAGAGTATATCCATCACCATCCTCATCTTTAACTAGTACAGGATGGTGCTCCAGGCCATAGTGCTTAATCTACTATTCAAGAGCTTGAGAGGGGTGGAGTTTATATGATTAGATGGCCGCCTTTCTCTCCTGAGTCCTGATCTCAACCTAATTGAAATGGTGTGGAATTAGATGAAGAACTATCTTCAGGCAAATTTCCCTGAACATATGACACTATCAGAGCTTAGGATTGCCCTTAGAGAGGCCTGGGATGCTATTCCAGCTAATTTTCTGCAAGATCTACTGAAATCTATGCCTGAAAGGTGCCGTGCAGTCATTGAGGCAGGTGGTGGTCATACTAAATTTTGATATCATTGTGCGTGGATATATATATGGTAGGGCGTGTATATAGACCAGAAATTCATCTTTACCTAATAAAGGAGTGATTTCCGGTGGAGCTTACTAACATTATATATGCAATATACCATAGTATATCGTTTAATATGCAGTTTATCTCCTTGTCCTGATAGAGCTTTCTAATGTACTGTGATATCTTTACCAAAAGGCCGTGCTTACTATTAGAGCCTTCTGGCTCGAAGAGATATTATAGGCCTTAAATTGAATCAGGCAGCGCAAATACGGGTGGATCATGCCCACCGGCCTGAATCAACCATAAATCGACCCTGAAGGATGACTGAATAGGGCGCGCCCACGCGCCTAGAATCGAACAAGCAGCGCCTGGTGACCACCTCCATACTTTCGCTGTTGTATGTTTTTTGGTCGCCTTTACAAGGCGTTAAGTGTATCTAGGTCTAGATAGTAGGATGTCAGCTCATGGAAACGACTCCCTCGGCATAGCAGCTCCTAGAGAGGGCAGCTGTACGGATATGAATACTACTACTACCACTATACTCCACCGCATCCAATATGTGATGAGTAAACACAAATATATAACTAACTAATAGTATCCCTAGCATCCTACTGACTAGAAAACATCTCTACATACCATTCACCCAAGTCATGAATATCCATGGAGATTATCTGTACCATGAGCACATAGCATGGATTAAGCAATGCCCATCATTTAACCAGGTCTTCTGCCAGAGTATCTCCTGTTATATATGCCTTGCCCGGGAGCAGGCACCCAGCTCTGCGGAGGGGAAGAGATTTGAACATCGTGTTCCTGCGGCCGGTGTAGAATCAGTGGAGCTGGAGAATGAGGATGAAGATTCCCTTAAATCAGATGTTTGAGTACAAGATCAAAGAGGTTGATAATAAGTGATAGTACACAGTGACGCATATTAGAGTTTTTGGAATTCAATGTGGTGATGTTTTGCTAGACCAGCATAGAGGCAGCGGCGGAGCGGCTTTTGCAAAATCCGCCAGCGTTGTGGCTGTGATATGAGAGTCCAAACCCCGTTATTTGTGGACGAAACTGTTGGGACTTGAGGGATAAATGAGTCACTCAAGCCCCTGGAGACTTCTCGTATAGATCGGTCGTTTTGTTGGAATTCAATCTGGTGAAGCTTTGCCAAAACACCATAGAGAGGCAGCGGCGGAGCGGCTTTTGCAAAAGCCGCCAGCGTTATAGCTGTGATACGCGACTCCAAAACCCGCCATTTGTGCACGAAACTGTCGAGACTTGAGATACTAATGAGTCACTCAAGCCACTCGAGACTTTTCGTATAGACCAGTCTTTCTGTCGAAGGAAAGCGGGCTTGGCATGGTCATCGCCGAGGGCATGACAATGTTCAATTCAGCCTACCATGATGCTCATCAGTGCCATGCTGCTGGCTCGGCCATTGACTTGTCACCTCCGAGTCCGCCCTGCTTGCCTCATCTTACCAGTTTCATCGGCCGCTTAAAGTCCATTTACTACTTCGGAGGTAGGTACCTGACAGGTCCGACATCTAGGCTGCGTAGCCCAGTACACCCAACATATAAGGAGACCGCAGGACCAAGGACAAAAATTTTCAACTGCGCAATTAGCATCTCTCTATTTCGATCAAGCTTACAGTATGACCACTTCCTACGACTGCCTCATCGTCGGCGGCGGCCCGGCAGGCTTAGCAACAGCCCTCGGCCTTTGTCGCGCCCTTCGCACAGCGGTGGTCTTTGACTCGCTGACCTACCGCAACTCGCTCGCTGAGCACATGCATAACTTCCCAACCTGGGACCATGCCAATCCAGCCGACTACCGCGCCGCTGCGCGTCGGGAATTGACCGAGGGACGATACGGGACGGTCACGCTGTCGGATGCTGCGCTCCGCAGAGTCTGGAAGCTTGACTCGGGCGAGTTTGAGGCGACAGATGTCACGGGGAAGGTCTGGAGAGGCCGCAAGCTTGTTTTGGCAACGGGTGTAAGGGATGAGATTCCGTCTGTGCCGGGGTATGCGGCTTGTTGGCCGAAGTCAATGTGAGTTATCTGACTCGAAGACGAGGGCAGACTAACATCTGTATACAGATACCATTGTCTTTTCTGTCACGGATTTGAAGAGCGTGGAGCAGGCTCGGTCGGGGTGTTGGCCATTGGACCGACTGCCATCCCCCGAGTTGCTGAGCATCTGACCCGACTGGCACACAACCTTGCCGGGACGGTCACCATCTACACCAACGGCAACGAGGCACTGGCAGACACCATCCGTCAAGAAGTCAAGCGCGATGACTGGATAACAGTCGACTCGCATGTTATCCGGCAGCTGAAAGAGACGGATGGGGTCCCTGTGATTGTAGAGTTGGAGGATGGCACTACAAAGAAGGAAGCTTTTCTGGTGCATGCAATGAAGACGGTGCCGTTGCTTGGTTTCGAGAACAATCTCGACCTGGAATTGTCAACCCAGGGATCGGAATTCAAGACCAGTGCTCCGTTTGGGGAGACCAGCACCCGGGGCTGTTTTGCAACAGGTGACTGCGGCATGGCAATGAAGGCGGCCAGTTTGTCGATGAGCCATGGGTCGTTGGCTGCGGTTGGTGTTGTTTCTCAGCTTGTGTTTGATGAGAAAGCATGACTTGAGTTCCTGTCTATTGATAGTTCTACTTGGCCTGTGAATTCCTGGCTTCCCATCTAGCGAGGTTTTGCCAAAGTATGGTTCTGAAATCATGACGTCCTTTTCCTCACTCACTGCCCAAAAATCTGCAGATTCACCACCCTCAACACCACCTATTCACCCACTAGTGGCATCTAGCAATAGTGATTCGGCATGAGCTTGTTCCTAGACAGCGTCAACCCCTCTCCTCTCCACCTCAGGGGTGCGGCGAAACCAGATACTAACAACAAATCTGCTTGCTATCTGGAACGTTACTTCACAGGGCCAGACGTTCTCCTTCACACGTATCTATATATACACAGTTATATTGCCAGATAAAAGCAGCTCATTTGCACTGATTACCCCTGGATCGGATCATCATTGATTCTCGATTGCAGCGTCCTGCGCTCTGCCTGCGTTAAGGGTTCATCGCTTTCCTTAAAGGCCTCATACCGACGATGCCTCTGCAATGGCCGTCCATCTCCAAGTCCCAAAGTCCCCATCGGAAGAATCTCATCTCCGTCCGCAATAGACACATCCCTCACAACACCCGGAATTTCGTCTAATACCGGAATCTTGTCTGTTGTCCGGGCCACCCGCAGAGGGAGCATTTTATCGCCAATAGCGGCCCCGAAGCGCAGCATCACGAAGGAATCCAACCGTTCCGTCCACCGTGGATAATAAGCCGCGTAAAATGCGAGTCCCACCAGCGGGATGATATAAAGAGCCATCATGACCGAGCCGACGATTATCCCTGCGCGAGAGATGGTTGGAATATTCATCTCAGCCCCGAGGTCCTGGTATATCTCCCACCGACCATACACTGACTCGAGCATTTGCTTGTTAGATAGGAAGGCTGCCGCCGTGAAGATTAAGGGGAATCGGTCCTCGGCATCGAGGAAGTAAGCAAGCCATTGCTGGATGAAGATGTCGGCACTGTAGCCCCAGTCGACCCCTACGGGAGTATCTAGGCAGTATTGTCGGGGAGAGTAGAAGTAAGAGTCAGGCAGGATCAGATTGAGGAGTGGAGGAATGTCCAGACAGATATTGCCTGTGAAGTTGGCTGTGTGGAAGCTGTCCAGCATGACATAGTATTTTGGAGCGAATGTGTCCACGAAAGAGCCCGGGCCAAACATCGCGAGTGCCGTCGTGAGAAGAGGACCTTTGTTTACCGTTCTGATTGGGTCCCAGGACGCTGCGTCGAGGGTGTCTATGGTAATGTTGTCGCGACGGACCCGGTTGGTACTGATATAGTCATAGGTCTGATAGCGACAGTCTGTGCCGCAGAGGCTACGGGGGTCTTTCTCCAGCAGTGGACCGGGCATCCCTTTATTCATGTAGTTTGGTAACTCGAAGTATCCAGCGGTGGTGTTGACTGTGATTCGGTACAGCTTGCCGCCAGTCGGCGTGTCGCGGGAGGATCCCTCTGTGATAGTAAAATTCAAATAGAGGGTTTCGGAGAACTCCTGACGATCTCGCGTCATCTGCCACGGTGACATAGTCAGGTTGGCAGGCATACACGCCGTGACTCCCCAGTTTTTAGTGCTTTCGTACCACATGTATTCGGAATAGTATTGGGAATTAAAAGCCCCAGGGATGCTGCCGCAGTTCGACGGAAATTCGCTGGCAGTGACAGTCTCGTACGTGGCAGTGGAGTTCACGCGAGGTGCAAACTGCCGCAGTACGCCCGTGTTGAATCCATTTGGAAGCTGAGCATAGAACGAGTCGTTCACGGATAGAATGTCATTCAGGGTAGGCAATTGAACCCCGGACATGTTTCGCCACAGAAACGGCTGGACGGAGATGGAGTTCGCGTCGCTGAGAGCGCTGCGAGCCGTCAGGATGTCATTGCCTGTGGGCGAGGTATCTGTTGCATGGTATCTAAGGAAGGGAAAATCGGCTATGGTAGCCACCCTGTTGAGGGATTGGGGGACACGGATCGTCGTTGTTTCGAGGAAGATGGACTGGATGGGATAGGTCAAGGCGGCAATCAGATGAAGGATGATGGCAATAACCACGAATGTACTGCCATGCTTCTTCCATCCTCCGGAGAGAAGGGTTCTGTACAGGGTGATATCCAACCATCGACGGTCCGCCAGATTCGTAACCTGCCGCATTCGCAGGCTGTTGGCCGTCTTTTGATTCTGCACATAGATGACCGCCGCACTTGCACATACGGCGGAAAGCCAAGGTAGTGTGATGATAATAATAAGGGTCCTGATCACCACGGCAGAGCGGTAAATGCCTTTATTCGGCACATAGTCCAAGGATTTGGGATAGTGATAATGGTCTTCTAGATATGGGCCCCACGACTTGGCATTCATAGGACGAAAGGAAAGGTAGACGATCGCAGTCCACGCGTAGATAGCCAGCGCTGCATACAGAAGAGTGAGCAGGAAGACATTTGACGAGCGATGAAGCCTTGTACTGTATCCTCGTCCAGGAACTTGGGTTGCTGGAGGTGCATGCGAATATGCCGGGGGCTCCTCGTTGTGAGACGTAGCAGAGTCCGGGGAAAGATCACTCTCGGAATACTCAGGCGCTCGGTCGCTGGGGCTAGATACTGTGCTCAGCGACAGTCGCCGAAGAGCAACGGCGCTATTGACTTCCATTTTGCTGATGATCGCCCTCTCGCATTTTTTGAGGGCTAACGTGAGGAACAGAGAGCGAAGATTATGAGGGAAGGTCAGTCTTATCCGTCTCGCGATGGGGCAAATTCAGCCTTCAGGGGAACTCGGGAAATCGGCTGTGTTTGATGGCTCAGCAAGCAACCTGCATCCAACAGTCCTTGGCATGACTCGTTTGGGCGGCAATTGTCGTCTTATAGGTGGAGAAGACAAGGCCAAGGTGGCTAACAAAGGCGCTTGCCGGGGCGCGAGATATAGTCCGTGACTAGTGAGACTGTGCATTTATCCATATTAGAAAAATGTAACCTACCATTATGAGGCGAAGGCCGTAAAAGCTGACTGGTCCTTTAAGTATGCTTTAGTGGAGTAAACAGTCTCTTAGAAAGTAAAGTAGGTGGGCTGGCTTTAACGTTTAGAAACATTATTAAGGCTGTTTTGACACTGTTCTACTCTTCAATGCAGTCAAATATCGTCTCCAATATATCAACTGACTTCTAATACTACAATCATCAACGTCTTCGGTCTACTGGCATTCTAAGAAGCAAGTATGCCAGGCTGAGCTGATCTCAGGGACAAGGAGCTATCTACAGGAAGAATTAATCCCTGAGCCTAAATCTATCGAGCTTAAATTTATACACCTCCCTGTTGGCTATTGATTACTATTAGCAGTCCAGCAAAAGCTAGAATATATGTGCAATGACACCCCCCGTGACCGTCAGTAGGGAATACTGAAGGCTTTCTGATACTAGCAGCTTGAAGGTCGTTTATGGCAGAAATTGCTGACAGGAGTATAAATCGCTGTGAACCTGCTAGAAGCTCAAACGCGTCTATGCAAAATGGGGACACAGCTCATGCTAGAACGAGGATCTCTGCCACTTCTTCATATCGAATCAGCCCATCAATCTTGGCCCTTTACCGAGGTCTTGCTCACGTTTCCGACTGGGGTAATATGGCTCTCTAAAAAGCGGACCAAATCTCAACTTCCTCAAACCTGCTACCCTGAGACCCAACCATTCCAATACTGTCCGAGAAGTGTACCGAGACTTTACGGGGTACAGTGTGCGCCAGCAGCCGCGAGATCTCAACATATTATAGCTTGTAAAGCATACCACCCATCCTTTACATGACTATTGGCCATCATGGGTTCCTAAGCTGCATGAAGAACGCCCAGTGTCCCTCTTTTTCCGCCAGTCTATATCTCGCGGTATTCCACTGCATGGCAACTATGCGTATTTTGCGGAGCTTCACGATCCTGCGGTAAGCGGCAGATCCGACGAGTCAAATGTGCTTCACCTGTACGGGTATCGGGTGATCTTGTTGACGCTGTGAGCGATCCATTCACTGAAAGTACACTGAAAATCCGCCAATAGAAGAGATATAGTCTCAGCTCTTTAACTTTCCATGATTTCCGCGTCCGGGCTTCCAGTACACGGGGACAGGTCAGGCTCTAGATGTTGCTTTCCTGCAAACAACAGGTGCAGGCATGTTGGGGGTGACTGGTATGTATGAACCAGCCCGTCTGCTGGCAGCACTCGACATTTAAGGCTTGGGACGCTTGACACGGCAAGTAAAGAGTAACACTCTGGCGTGGCTGCAAGCATATCCCCCTCTCAGGGCTTATCCTACCCTGATTTAGTGCTAGAGGCACAGTTAGCAGACCTCCCTGGTAATAAAAGTGCATATACACATCCTCTTTGGCTCTATTCGCGGAATAGGCAGGCGGATATAACAGGATCAGAGCTGGTGGGACTTGGTGTTGTACTATCTTGGCGAGTCTGCCATTTCTTTTACGACCGTGGGAAAGGGAGTGGTTGCTCGTCGGCGATACGTATCTTCGTCATGATTTGATATTGCAAGAAAAGCAGGTTCAAATGATCAGATCCCCATCAGTGCACCCAGGGTTGACTTTCAGACTAGCATATATCTAATATCCAGCAAGCTATCACTGCATGATCAAAGCCTGAATAGAAGATTTAGGTATACCATGTAGGCTCCGGGTACTCATGTAGCAGCACATATCTGCCGAGCTCCCGGTTCTTGTACGCCACGGGGTCATGCAAGGTGTGCGTCCTGATATCCCTCCAGAACCTGTCCAGTCCCACTTTCAGCGACGTCGCTCGAGCGCCGGTCACCTCGAATATGCCAGACGTGACTTGGAGGCCAACATCAGTAGTAACCACCTTCACACTTGCGATCCATTCAGCCACCTCCCCTCGCTCCTCGGCAGTCACCTTGGACCGATCGCCTGAATGACGCTCGTATAGCGCTGAAAGTCGATCGCCCGCTCTGTCTGCCAGTGCTTCTGCAGCACGCAGGTGTGCAAAGAAGTTCCCGTACCGTTCGAGAATGTAGAACTCGTCAGTGGCTGCCTCCTTGTTGTCCCCGCCGTAGGGCCAGGCGCGTGTGGATGTTGTGGTATACTTGGCTGCGAATTCGAGGGCGCCGATGGCGATGCCGAGGTAGAAGTTGCTGAAGACCAGTTGAATTCTAACATAGTCAGTATACACCGTCCGGAGGAGGATCATATAGTACTTACGTAGGCAGAAACAAGGAGGCAAAGGGGATGGTGAGAACCTCTGCGAGTGGTCTTTTGCTTGTTGCGTCCCATCCCAAAGCATCTGTCCATGATGCACGCACATTCTCGATCTTGACACTCCCCGATTCTGTCAAACGCAGACCGATATTCTTCCAGTTGTATGCGAATTGAATGCCCGGTTGATTGCTTTCCACAATGGCAAATATATGATCCTGGGTTCCGTCCAGCACGCCTTCAAGGACCGTGAGATCAGACACCACGCCACCTGTATTGAAATGCTTGAATCCATTGAAGATGATCGAGTCACCGTCTGCCGTTATCCTCAAGTCATTGTCGCGAGGATTCACTGCTCCTCCGACGAAAAGATTGTTCGTGATGATCAATTCCTGCAGACGGTCCGCTTGTTCGGCCGTTCCGACCACATTGGCGGTCGTCGACCAGAGGAGATGATATCCGAGGAGCATGCCAATGGACCTGATATACTCAATTAGCTACTATCCGCCTGTTGACTACTGATGCACACACCCGTCACCCTTGGCCACTTCTCGGATCGCCTTGTAGCCCACATGCCATGGCTGTTCTCCGCCGCCATACTTCTTCGGCCCGAGAAGTTTCAAGAGACCGGAATGCTTCAGTAAAGCGACCTCTGCGCGAGGGGACTTGTTGTCCTGATCTCTCTGGGCCGCATCCTGGGCAAGGACTTCAGCTACTTCACGCGCTCGTGCAAGCCATGCGTCTGCGGAGTCGGGGAGAGCAGTCCATTTCTCCCGGTGCGCCTCGTACACTGCGGGGTCTGTCGCTGGGACGTTTGCTTGTGCCATTTGTGGAAATTTCGGCCAGATTCTTTCTTTCTGGGTGGGTTTTGAACTTGGGATTCCACGGCTAGGTGGAGGGAAGGGATCATGGGCGTATTTATCTCTCAAGCTTGTTGATCGATTGCGGGTAAACCTTCGGAATGGCGTGCTTCTCAGCAGAGCATGGTGCCATGCAGGACTGCTATGTACTGCTGTCAAACGAAGGATCTCATTCGGTCAAGATAGCAATTCGTCAAATAAACCCAAAATGCCGCTATAAGGCCCGCCTTGTTCACATGTCCAGGACTATTTTGGACAGTCTACCGGACTAGGAACTATGAATACGCAACCAACTACCTCAAATTTGGAAGACTGATATTCACTCAAAATATGCATTTGATTCAGCCATCAGCCAGTGTTCTTTGAACTACAAAAAAATCGGCAGTGGATCAACAATGAAAGGACCGAGTTCCTTTCCAACTAGTCTGGGCAATTCTCGACTGTGCAGTATTTCCCAGACAAACAACAAGCAACTCGTGAAGGGATGTCCTGAGAAAGTTGAAAGAGAGAAAACCAGAAATCCGATAGACAAAATCCTTGTTTAAGGGCAGAGAGAACTGTTCTTCTTCACCGTTCTGATCAATGGAGCAATCAGTCTCAATGTCAAGAGGAAGTCAAATGTCGACTATGACCGCGATGACTTGCGTTCATCACGCTTTCGCCTTAGTATTTTCGCCCAATCTTCCCTGCACTTTTGATTAGCTAACTTCAAAGGTGTCAAGCCGTCGTGACTTTCGGCGTCGGGGTCGACATCGTAGAGCAACAGAAATTCGACGATCTGGTCGTTATTCCAGAGCATAGCATGGAGCAAAGGGGTTCGGCCCTTGGGATCTTTGCGGTTGATGTCCGCACCATGATCGAGAAGCAACTCGACCATGGCTATCTCGTTCCTCGATATGGCGAAATGAAGAGGCCAGGAATTTGAAGCATTCGGGTTTGCTCCATGCTTTAAAAGCAGAGACAGCAATCGCTGAGAGCCATACTCGACGCCCAAGTCCAGCAGGGTGCATCCAGAATAGTCCCGGGAGTCCAAATCTGCTCCTCTTTCTAGTAAAAGCTGGGTGATTTTGCAGTGTTTTCTCCTTATTGCTGAATGAAGTGGAGTAGAGCTGTAGTTGTCGCCCAGTTCTGTATCCGCACCTTTGTTCAGTAGCATCCTGACAATTTCTGTTTATCCCCTCATCGCTGCAATGTTGAGGGCCGTTGCATTATCATGTCGCCGGGCGTTAGGGTCTGCACCTTTCTCGAGTAAAATTCTGACCACAGTTTTCCTGTTATTGGACGCAGCGATTAGCAAGGGTTGCCCAGGAGCGTTTTTGAGATTAACATTCGCGCCCATTTCGATCAAGAGCTTGACAATAGCGTCATGGCCATTGCTAGCTGCCATGTATAAGGCAGTTGTTTCCATGCGAGAGCCTTCAAAGAGTATGGCGTCCGGATCAACACCTTCGTCCAACAACAGTTTCATCATGGCTTCATGGCCGTTCTTTAATGCGGAAAGTAGAGGCTTGCGATGCCATTGCTTCAATCTTTTCACGCCTGCCTGGAGTAACTTCCTGGCGGTCGCTGGCTTGTTGTGTTTTGCGGCCCAGATGAGAGCTTTCCCATTTTCATTCAGCACATCGGACTTGTAGAGGACGTAGTTAATACAGGAGTAGAGAGCGCGACTTGTCCGTGCGAGAGTGTTGATGTCCCGCGCGTTCTGGAGGGCCTCTGCTATCATGCTGAGCACCTCAGTGGGCAGATCAAGGAGGTTCATCTTGGAGTGTTGGCTGGAATAGCAGTGGGATGAGTAATGAGAAGTGTAAAGATGAGAGAGTGGGAACTGCTGCAGCAAGGCTTACGTAGCAGGCCCAGTTATGATGGGAGAAGATAGATATAGCGGGTGCTCGATGATCTTATCACCCTTTCAATGTAGACTTGAAGTCTGAATGAGAAAGGAGTAAACTTGATGCTGAGGAGTAAGAGGCTTGGTAAAGATGAGGAGATCGGAAGATGGGATGGAATGAAGAGCGTGGTCAAAGAATCGCTCCAGCTTCTCCCAGAAAATATTGTTATGAGTGAATTGAGCGAGTGATAAGGAGAGCCGTGTTCATTAAGATGAAGGATTATTCACACTTCACTTACTTCTATATCAGGCTTGATGCAACCTCTCACCTGGCTTACTTCTCTATTCGTTGAAAAGCTTCAGCTTCATTTCATGGGTAGTCTGAGTAGTTGGTTCTTCGATTATAAGTCGCAGAGATCTCATCTTGAAAGGACCATATTTACCTACCATTCAGAAGTTAAATGAGTATCTTACTGAGGACGTCTTTTCGTCTCCAACGATTGAGTACATCTTCTAGGAGACGGAGTCGGTTCTCAAGGATGGCTCGACAACGGGTTCAGGAACGATGCAGAGTTCAATAAGGGTGATCTAGCTACACCATGGTCCCATGGACTCCCTGAGCATGAACTTATTTATTGGAAGATTCGAAACAACCACCACGCAGAGCCATACGCCCTTGATCGACTGTAAGATCGACTACTACGCACTATAGGATACCTGCTTGAATGAGGCTTTCGGTCTTGTTCCAGCCTTGCATCTATTGCATGAGCCCTCTCTCTCATAGGAGTTTCGTGAGTCTTTCCCATGGGCAAGCAAACATGATAGTCCCATTGACAGTGCGGGAACCACGGATTTGTGGTCTTCATATAGATTGCTATTGACCCATTGAATCTGTTACGCAACTCTGCTCTCAAACTATTCTCTCTAGATTATACTCGGTAGGTCATTAGCTCAGTAGATTTGGCAACGTGTCCTCCGTTTCCCCCAGCATAAAAAAGACACACCTGTTCGTTGACGAGGACGAGGTCCAGTGGCTAGAGTACAATCACATCCTAGCTCTCATATCACAGTGGTAACACCGAACGTGACCTGCAGTCGAAGCACTCGTGCATGCATACTGCCTGAGCCACACAGATTCAATAGTTCCCTATCATGGCATCTAAAGACCTTCACAACCGCCATCAAGCCAGACAACAGCGCACATGCTGTTCAACCACTGATTTTCCCCGAGTGAGAGCGGTTGGACTCTTTCCATATGAGCGGTGGGTGTTATGTCAGCTATTACTCTGCCCGTCGTGGCCCATCTGGTATATCACCGCTTGTAACATGGTGATGTGATGTCCTTGCAAATCAGTGATTCAAGTCTGACATTGAAAGTCGCCTACTCTTGCGTCTTGCGCCTTGAGAGTTGTGCGATCTGTTCAAGACCAAAAGGCATGTTAGCTGACGGACAGATGGCTCTTGAGAGTAATTCAGCAAATATACGGCACAGGGACATACAGAAACTTCCTTCCTGGGAGTTACTGAGCCTTGATCAGAAGGCTTTCTTGCCAATTTTGCTTCTCGTTTCTTCGCCAGGAGATGGGAATCTTTGAACACAGCAATCATGCCTGGCTTTTTTGCCAAGATGTAAGTGATGATGGGCTTACAGATTAAGCAGATCATGAGCCTTGTCAAAGGAAGGTTGCATTGTCAAGTACAAAGATATAGTTTATTTATCAGGAGAGCAACAGACAGTGATAAATAACCATAATGCCAAGTCAGGCAGGATCTCTCATCACCCCATTCCAAGAAAGAGTCTAAACATCAATCATCCTCGCAATGCCCACACTATGACTGTTCAATGTCTTCCATTGCAAATAAATGAAAGCCTATGGATAGTCTCATTGTGTACTTTCAAGGCGAGACCGCGCGTCCAGGCTGTATATGACGCCATCAATTGCGGAGGGATGTTTACAGACAGGATAGAAAAACAAGATGACGAGAAAGATTGCATTCTGATCATTTGTTACTGGGTATCATCGACGAGCAACTGATGAATCTTCCTCAAGACACGGCGAATCCATCGTGTCGCAAAACAATGTCGCTAAAAGTAGGGCAAATATCATCCCTGCACCGCAGATGCCTTGTTATATTATGTCTGGATGCCCACGATATCAGTGGCCCATAAAATCGAGCCCATCCGCTCCGGCCCAAGAAGACGACAGATCTCCTTCAACAACCGAGTCCCCAGGTCGGCCATCCACCACCGGTCCCGGAGGTGGTGCAAAACCGCGCAATAATGGGCGAAAATTATGAGCGCCAAGGGTTGTTCTTCTCGGACGAGATCCAGATAGCGGCAGGGGATGCGATACATCCAGCGGAGGGCGATGATCGTCGGATCGCCGCCTTTGGTGAGCATTTCTAGCGAGTTGTCTAGGTTGGCAATAGTGTCGTCGTAGACGGCCGTCTCGTGCGATGGGTCCTGTTTCGCGCTGACGGTGTTCAGGTTCTTCATGGAGAGGATGGTGAGGGTATAGGTGCTAGGAAGTTGATGGTATGGATCTCCTTGGGTGAAAAGGTCTGTAAGGTCGCCATTTTCGACCTTGTCCAGGGTCTCTGTGCTGGGGAGTAATGCTCTGATGGTTTCGAAGAGATCGAGTAGCTTCTGCAGGGAAGGAGACGAGCAAGGCGATGCGGTATTGCTCTCCTTTCGAGAGGTGGGTGTTTGGTTTCGGAGCGAGGGAAGAACGGACTTGAAGCCCTCTCCGGCCAGCGCAGAGGACGCAAGGTCGCACATGAAAAGAATGCTTGCAGCGGAGAATGCTGCGTTGGACCCGGATGCTGAAGGGTCTTCTAAGATGCTAGGTAGTTTTTCCGTGGCCTGTGTGTAGTGACTTCTGGCCGCCTGGAAGTGACGCTCTCGTTGCGGAGTACCTGCCTCACTGGTAGATGCGAGTTGTAGGGCGGACAGAGCCAGCGTGCTATGCCTCAAGGCAGGGTGCTTGGACGTCTCGCGGCGGATGATGGTCTGCCATGAGTGGTCCTTGCTTTTGCTCTGCGAGAGGGATTGTTCCGCAGAGTTGTACCAGTTGTCTACTAGGCGTTGATCTTCAGAGTTCAGGTCCTCGGAGGGCTTGCTAGCCTCCAAGACCTTGATCTTTTCATCCTGATCGACCTCGGAGGAATTGGACTCGGGGGAATGGGACGTGGAGGGGCTGCTGACAGAAGGAGGAGAAGGGGAGGAGTACGAGGACGAGGACGAGTGGTCGGAGAATGAAGAGGAAGCTTTCAACTTGGACGGGATTGCTTTGGAGGCACGAAGACCAGAGCGTCGGCGGAGCTCTTTTGAGGGGACCGAGTTACCGTAACGACAGGATAGGCGATGACGCCTGCATCCGTCGCACTGAGGGCGAGTCTTTGAGCACTGGACACGAGGTGTGGTAAGCGGCTATGGCGTTGATGACGCTGATGGTGATACAAACGACACACATAATCAAGAACAGCGAGATGACAACAACATACCTCCATCTGTCGCTCGCTACATTGAGAGCATTGGAGCTGTGACCTTCGGAGTTGTCTCTGAACGGGCATGGCTAATGGCCTGAAAGAGCCCGGCCTGCCTTTTGAACGGGCACCGAAGCCACCTTAAAGATGATCATGTCTTACGAGCAAGAAGAAGAAGAGGTAAAGTAGCAAGAGCGAAAGGGCCTGCAGAGTGGAAAGGCAACTATTGGAGGAGAACAGGCCAACAAGAGCATCGCGTGGACCTGGGCCTGCAGCGGTATGAAATTGATCGGATTGAAAGGATGCCAATCTTCTCCTGAAAGTGACATAGCTTCCATTTCGCCTCTGCGCCAGGAATCAGATTGAGTGGACAAGGACATCTGATTTGGTGGGTGTGATCTCTCTCCAGAGGACAGGAACAAGGCAAATCCACTATGGAAGGGGTTGACCAAGATAGGAGAGACGGAGAGAGTATGTGCATATTGCCAAGGGACCCACAGCAGGCCTGTTACTTAATACTAGGGTTTGGAAGGTCGCAACGACCAACTTCCCAGCACAGTTTAGATGGGTATAGGCATCCAGGGGTTTGATGCGGTCAATTGGAGAGAAGAGGATATTAAAAGAGCTGGATATGATTGGCTCATGGTGAATGCAGTCAGGCACACTAAGCCCAATGCGGCTTATAAAGATCTTGGCTGAAAAGACCGGCGCTGATTGGCCAATGCCCATTCTCTTTCAATGAAATGTCTAGCAAGAATAATACTCCGTAGCTTGGGTTCAAAGCTCCATTAGGAAACGAAATACTCTGAACTCTCGGATCCAGCCAGCATTGAGAAAAGCAATGAAGGAGACTATTGATTTCCATGTTTCAGACTGGCGAGTACCTATCTATATAACTTCATGACCAGACGGATAGCCAAGGACAGCTGAGCTACAGAGTATTCCAGGAGACATTTGGAGTGTCTATTGTGTGAATATTCTGTCAGGTTCTATGAGGGATTTTTGTCATCGTTGTAGCAAGTACTATTATTCCTGATGGTTACTGAGGACAAGTTCTGTCGGAATGCAATATATTACCATGCATTCCAAGAAACTTTGTCTTTTAAAGCGACGCGGTCACTCCTCTTGGCTTGAATACACAAAGGGGTGTTTCAACTTTCATTCTCAAGGAATGTGGGAGGGCGGGACGCTGGGGACATGCTCCTCCACCAGTAAGGTAGCATCCTATGATCCTACAACGAGATAGAGACCGAATTTCGAGACGACTCAGTCTGCTGGTGGGGCCAAGAGGGTATTTTTATTGTTGTCCTGAGGCTTCGACCGTTGCATGTGAAATCAAATCATCATTGTTGAGTATGTACGCACTGACACGGTACTCCGTATTTTGATACCCTCTAGGCTCTCCAGCCAAGGAGGATGGCTTGACGGATACGAGTCCCACTGAAGCCGACTCATCATATTGGAATTAGTCATCTGGATGATCTGGTACAGCAGTAAGAGCATACTCCATCTGCTGCTGTCTGTCAGTCTAACCACCGTATAAGTACAACTCTCATCGAATGCGGTGCAGAAGGGTCCTGTCAGGCTGCATGATCACCGTATGATCGCCTCCCCAATGCTGATCCATGATCATCCATCTCCAACAATCCTGGTGTCAGATTTCCTGAACCCACTCTCGCGTGGCCTTGTTTGACGGACCGCTCGACTAGCATGCTGAGTTGCTGACTCAAGACTACGAGTACTAGATCCTAGATGTAACTGTAAGACTAAAACCTTTATCCCTGCTGACATTCCGCATGGAGTTTCAGCCTATGGAAGGTGGAGTATCGGAGTAATACTCCGTTCGTATGTGGCATTGTGTCATTCCAAATCCTCATGAGTCATGACACCTAGGTGAATTTTTTGTTATGTTCTGTACCGAAAGACAAAATCACAGCTATCCCTCAGAACCTAGATAGATATCATATGCTTTGGCCCTTTTTGAGGCCGTTCCCTAGGACCTTGGGATGGGCGATGATAGGCGACGCTCCCTGAGAACCAGAAAAATCAAGCCGGGTGTTCGGCTGGTTCCGAGTCCGATTGGCCACCCTGGTCCAATGGACGGACATGATTGGCTTGCATGGCCTGCAAAAAGTGGATATTTCGAAAGGAGCTCGCTTGGGCAAAGCTGAACAGTGCTCGGAGGCACTAGAGGGACTAGAGGCACTAGAGCACTAGAAAGCCACTAATCGGCCAGGTAAGAACTGTAATTCTGCTATAAACAGGTCGGCTGAGATAAAAAAATTATGGCCCTAAACCCTTTTTATATAATGCACAATGCTACCCCCCCTGGCTGGCAATAATGACAGGGATTCTCTTTCTCGTATGCCAATGCGCCTTCTGCAGTCTGGCCCATTGGATTGCATATTTTTCTGCAGTCTACGCCTGAAGTCCTGAACCCCGTTCATGCAGCCGATCCCAGTCTGCTGGTGCCACTTCTGCCGAATGTTCTTGCGGACATCGATCATCATACTCTCACGCAGAAAAAATCTCCGACAGTGCATCAATTGAGCATTCCACCAGTCCACCTCTGCACAGTGCACAGTGAAGAAGGATACTGAAGCAACAATGGGTCGTTCGGTTCCACGGGCAGAGCTCTAACTCTGTACTTAAAACTGTTAAGGTTGTCGCCCGCCATGTAACGTGGCGTTCCCGGGGGATGGCATCGCTTGTTTCCGAATCAGACTCCATCTAATAAATGTTACGTAGACCTGTCTCGAACCCATTTAATCACCCACGGACCCAGCTGAATGACTACACTCCGTTCCCGATTGGCCTACCCGTCGAGATTCTCTCCGGGCTCTTGGAAGATTTCGACCGCAAGAACCGGGCCTCGGGCATATCCAAGGACAGCACTAACTACGAAGCATTATCTGCTCTGGCAATGAACTCTGGCTCGCATCTCAGCCAGCATAGCCGTCCATCCGTTCCTTCGCTCATTCCCGACTGTCGTTCATTCGTTATTAGTCTCAAATCCCACTAAATCCTACTACCAGATATCCAATCTTTCCATGACGATGATGAAGTCTACTCAGGGTATTTGAGCCCTGCCACGGCCCACGCCCAACCGGGGACGATCATCCTCCACGGGATCGACATTCGTTCAGAGATCTTCCACCCCAAACTATCGTTTATTTCCTTTTCTGGGTGTGTGACAGTTTAAAAATGCTGCCCGACTTCAACGTCTCCACCTTGTCCGCCACAGGTGTGGTATGTATGCTCGTCTGTCTCATCGTCAAGCTCTTTGAGACCTCGCCGGTGCCCAAAAACATCCCATGGGTCCTGAGTGAGAAGGGCTTCCTTGGTCGCGCGGCAGAGCGCTTCATCGGCGTCAATCCCATTGGGTTCATCCAAGAGGGATATGAAAAGGTTGGTTCCCATCGTATGCGCGCGTTGTGGTCCTGATCTCATTGCCTGCAGTACTCCAAGAATCAGGAACCCTTTGTGATGCCGAGTGTCAACGAGGGCGATGAAGTCATTCTCCCCAAAGAGCATTCCAACACCGTTCTCTTCGCCAAGGAATCCGAATATAGCTTCAAGGCTCACATCACCGACTTCTTCCAGCTCAAGTACACCAGTTGGCCCCTTGCCTTCGCCGAGAAGTATGACTTCTTCGTCAAGTTGGTCAGCAAGGACCTGACCGAAACCCTCAAATCCAAAGCCGTCGCCGAGTCCCTCGCCGATGAGGCGCGATCCTGCCTCTCCGATATCTGGGGTGAGGACACGGACAACTGGGTCGAGGTTCCCCTGTACTCCTTTATGGAGAAGTCCGCGGCTCGGATGATCAACGTGATGGCCATTGGCCCCGGCAGGAGTCATGATACCAGTCTACTCAACGCTATGACCAACTGCTCCAATGCCATCGTCTTTGGGGCCAACGTCATCAAGGCCTTTCCTTCATTTCTTCACCCGTACGTCCTGTGTCTCGCCGTCGATAGGACATTTTTCTAACACCAACCAAACAGCATTATCGGCCCTATCGTAGGACTTGTGAATAGGTGGCAAGAGCGAGTGTTCCACGTCCGTATGAAGCCTCTCATCGAGGCCAAGATCAAGGAGCAGAAAGAGGCCTATAACTCGGGGGCCCTCCAAGAAAGACTCAAGACAAACGTATGTCCCTTGAGAACCTGTGTCGTTTGATATGCCTGACATTGTCCAGGGGAGCCTTCTCGACCTGCTCATCCAAGCCGGCCTGCGCAGCAAGTGGCCTGTAGAACTCGAGACCATGTGGCTGGCCTACAGGATCTTCATGATCAACTTCCCCGGTGTACATACGAGCGGTATATCCGCCACCAGCGCCCTTCTCGATATCCTGAGCTATCCCAGCGAAGAGGGGCTCATGGATATGCTCCAAGCGGAAATCGAGCAGATTGCCGCCCGCTCCGACGGCTCATGGACTGCTGCCGAGGTGGAACAGGCCAGTCTGCTAGAAAGTGCCATCAAAGAGTCTCTTCGATTCAACGGCATCAACGCCGTCTCGCCTACCAGAAAGGTATGTCTTTGGTCCTCCCTCTTGCTACGAGGCACTCGCTGATCCGATCGCCCCCAGGTCGTTGCACCAGAAGGTGCCCTCCTCCCCAATGGTGTTTTCCTCCCCTACGGAACCAAAATCGGTATCCCCCAGTACGCCGTCCACCGCGACAGCGACCTCTACCCTAATCCCGACGAATACAACCCCTATCGCTTCTACAAGGAGAACGCCACCCCCGAGGAAAGACGCCAGAATCTCATGACCAACACCAGCGATACATACCTGGTGTTTGGCCACGGCCGCCGACAATGTCCCGGCCGGTGGCTATTCGCTCACATCTTCAAGGTGCTCATCGCCGAGATGCTCCTCAAATATGAAATTAAACCATTCGCTACGCGTCCCAAGATCCACAGTAAGTCTCTTGCCACCAATCTCGTTCATGCAATACTAACATTAGCAGGATGGGGACGCTTCCAATTACCGCCTCTGACAGTGAAACTGACTGTCCGCCGCAAAAAGAACACGGTCGCTGTATACAATTAATTCCTGTAATAATAATTCTCGCCGACCTCCCTTCGTTGTCATCCGACTTTTGGCCATCCTTCGTTCACTCTGTATATATTTCCTTTTTTGTACTGTATAGCGATGTCTTTCTCTTCGATAGATCGATACCAGCCCGCTGCAATCTGAGCAAGATTTCCTTTTTGTCATGTCAGTCATGTCTGTTTCTTTGGATTCGGAGCAGCTCAGTTTTATTACCCATACTTAGCAGTATGTATGGCAAAAGCTATTGTATATTACTTATGTTCACTTGCTGCTCCCTTCATTTATCAGTCTGAAGATTGGACATTCCGATATTCTTAAAGAGACATCACGTTCCCCGAAGCTAACGCACTCCAGCAACTATGAACAACAACTCTGGCAAAGTCGCAAAATACAAGAGATAGAAAATGAATCATCTGGGTCAAGGAATGCAAGTGTCCAGAGGTCGAGAATCACATTCAGAATCCCGCTCATATTCCCGTCTGAATAACTTCACCACCGTCATACTGAATTGCACCTCAGCGGGATATCCACCATTTTGCGCAATCCAGATGGATGCCTTGGGGAAGTGCCTTTCGAGCTGCCGGGCATGCTCACATGCGCGATTTTCAACCAATTGGTCATGGTCATCAGCTTCATCGTCGATTCCTCTGATATCGGAATCCAGGAAGCATCCAACTCGGAGTGACCCAAGCTTTGGAAGCAAAGGCGCTTTGTAATCTCGGAGGTCCAGTGCATTGAAAGCTCCACCGAGATCACAGCATCCGAGCCGTGGACAGCATTTCGCCAATGTCGCAAAGGAAGCTGAGGTGACTCCACTGGTAAGGAACTGAAGGGACAGCGTGTCCAGACCCGGTAGTCCACTAACCAGACGGTGGAGGTCGTCATCACCGAAATCAGCGGCGCGCAGGTTACGCGCGTGTAATCCTTCTATTGTCAGACGTCTCAGATCGCTGAGACTCCTCAGAGAGACAAGGTCTTCGGGTGCAATCCTCATGTCGCCATCGACAAAGATGTCTAGGCTTCGCACTCGCGACAGTTCCGAGAGGGGTCGTAGCGCACGACTTCTGATTTCCGTTTCCCATGTATTTGTGGCTTTCAGCGTCACACGGAGCGCAAAGATAGAGTTGAAAATCTCAACCATCGACGCGACTGCGTCTTGACGGATCTCAATGTCCAATTTCATCATCTCCGGAAAGGGCGCTTCAAGTGACAACGCATCCCTTAGCATTTCGGGAGTAATTCGGTCCAGAGACAACTGCTCTATTCTTTGAGACGTGGCCAGGAATCCAATGACCTTGGAATCTATCATCGTATGACCATCCTTTTCATGCATGTCCAGTCTCTCTAGATATGGGAGACCCCTCACAAATGTAAGGAAATCGGTCGGCCTGACACAAGGTCCGCAGGAACAGCAGATGACTGTCCGCAGCTTAGGACATTGGTTTTGCACATCCAGAAGGAAGTCAGCAGTAATGTCCCCCTCCAAGCGCAGCAGTTGAAGACCAGGATTCATAAAGTGTGTCAGATAACGGCAATCGGCTATAGGCCCCTGATGATCCTTCAGCGTGACCCTCAGCTCTTTTACATTAGGGAACACAAAATCTTTGAACCTCTTGTAAAGGACTTTGGGGGATCTGGACAGGCTAAGTTCCATGATCCAGGGAATGTACACCCTACGGCGACTCTTTGGGACCTTGACGAGATAGATGTCGCTTTGGACTTGCCAGAGGATTCGAATGCCGAGATTGAAAAACTGTCTGTTGACCCGAATTACGGAGGAAAGCTCCGACATATCCATCTCGTCCAATATCGCCAGCAAAATTTCCGGTGGAAGTTGATCCAAACTGCGTGCCATTTTGGCGGCGTGATCTCGAGAGAGGGCAGTCTCGAGCTTTATACACTAGATATAACCTTTGAGAATGCTCAGATTTCGAGGAAGGCAGTCAGGATAATATAATGCTTAAGATCAAGAAGCTTGAGACCGGGTTTCTGCACGGGATGAATCCTGCTCAGTCCCAGTTGTATTTTCGACTGACACATCCAGCGCGTCAGTCACGTGGTCGTCAGTTGTGATACATCACATTCGTGTCTGGAATAGACAGATCATCTTTGCATTGGCGTATCAGAAAATCCAGAACCTGACCGGCTGAAGCTGACGTTTGCTAGCTTCGTTGCCTGGACTTTTCCAATTTTGTTCGGTCTTTGTCGCAGTGCCTTGTTCTAGTAAACCAGTGTTCCTCAATGACTTGAACCGTTGATATTTCGCAAGAGTTCATTATGTTGAGCACATTTTCATTGATGCTTGACTCTGAATATCTATAACAATGCCTCGATAGAAGTAACGTCTGGCACTTGTGCTCAAATATGCATGATGGGCGCCGATCACTGGGTCCATAGGTGGTTTGTCGCTAGTACTGTAATTCATAGACGCGCCTCAAATTCTGCCCACATACATGCTTAAAACATTCGAACTGGACCTTCCGGTCAAAGATTATATTCTCTAGACCTCGACTCAAGGCAGAGCTTTGCAAATATGGAATTGATCAGAAGTTTGATCGGTTTATCTCTTTGCTTAGGTCAAAGACGAACGCCGCAGACTGAATTGCAGCAGGTCATGTGACACTTTCAAAACACCCACGCATCCATCACGTGACCGTGACTGAAGGTTGAACACACTCCCAAAGGATAGCAATGATCACAGTCTATTGTGGCAAATCATAATGGTACTATGTCCTTGTAGTCTGTTATCAGGCTGATCTGAGAGAAGAACCATAGGCTACGTAAATCAGTTGATATGATCGGAGTATCTACGGCGCCTCGAACGGAATATATAGCCGTACTTGATAGGTTTGCTCGACATTGCTTTAGCCAAATCTGCAGGCAAGATGCCTGTCCCTACTGCCCCTGTGATACTCAGCCATCTACTCCAGAGCAGCCTCGTATTGTGAGCCAATCAATGACCGAGTCGTATGTCGTGGCATGGTGGACTTAGTGCTTACATAAGGTGACCGGGATTCTCGAAATCCGGCCCAATTCCGCCCGATGGCCGTATCGTGCCTTCAAAATCTTGTACTCAGTCTCATCATGTCCGTCGCATATCTATCACTTGGGCCATAGGAATCTGAGTTTGCATCAGGTCCGGCTGGACTAAGGTAACTGGACCGTCAAAGACCGTATCATACTTCATATCTTCTCATGGACGATACGACAAGCTATGTTCCAGCGCCATATGGCCGGGCTTGTGCCAACTGTGCCCGAGCCAAATGCAAATGTATCATTCCGGAGACAGGGGGCATGTGCGCAAGGTAAGTTGCTTAAAACGGGGACGTAAATATTAAACTAAAAAGCCATAACAGATGCTATCGACTGAGTAAAGAATGTCGGCCATTAACCAGAGTCCGAAGGACTAGACGAAACACACCAGTAGTATCGAAGACTGTGCAATTGGAGCAAAAACTGGATGGCATACTCTCTCTTCTCAGAGCCGATCGCTCGCAACTGATACCTCAATCCCCTGGCCCTGCAATACTTGATCAAAATCGAGTTTCCTCGGGATGTCAAGATGCCATCCCCGCTCTCCTTACACCGGAAGGCAGCACGCCGCACGGAGACTCTCCTGGCGGCTCTTTTACAACTTCGCGAGGGCGAGCAGGGCGAACAGAGGCCTATTCCTCGCATACAGCCGACACCGAGGCAGAGGAAACTCTTAAGTCCTTCCGCAGCGGGCCTCTGGAGTATCTTCCATTTGTGCATATTCCAGACCGCGTTAGTGCTGCAGAACTGAAGACGGAGTCTTCGTTTTTATGGCATTGCATCTGCGCAGTACAGTGCAAGCAGACCGCGGGTCAGACTGCCCTCAGTCTTAGCATCAGAGAAAGGGTAGCGCAGGCGCTACTTGTGGACTGTCAAAAGAATCTGGATCTTCTACAGGGCCTATTGGTCTATCTAGGCTGGTATTTTGAATCCCGATTGACGTAGCTGCTCCATAACTGACCTCTCAAGGATCACCTTCCACTGTCAACCCCAAAAGTATTCTCTTTGTACATACATCCAACTAGCAATATCCATCGTCTTTGACTTGGGACTCCACAAAACTCCGCTGGATGATTCACGTCCCGCCCATTGCAATGGGAGCGGTCCTATTCACAACCTCAAGTTTCCGGCTCTCCCAACGCGGACCATGAATGAGCGACGCGCCGTACTCAGCTGCTTTCTCCTAAGTTCCTGGTATGTAGCCTGGTTCCTGGAAATTCCAGTCAAGTACTGAATCCGTCGCTCGTGCGTGACAGTGTATCGCAATTCTTGTGCAGGCCAGATCCAATGCGTTGGACAGCGCACATGAAGGAATGTCTAGAGGTCTTGAATGAGAGAAAGGAGACCTCCAACGACGCGGTCCTTGTACAGCTTGTTCAGATTCAACTCGTCGTGGACAAGGTGATCAGACGGTCGTGGGACGAAAGCGAAATCACCGCGGATGGTTCGGACGTCCCCCGGTTGCCGACATCCTTTTTCATACAAGCGATGCAACTACAGCTGCAGAGCATCAGAAATCAGATTTCACCTGAGCTGGCGGAAAATAGTAAGTAAAGGGTCCCGAGTGTGTCACGGAAATCCAACACTGATCTGTGACTCAGAGGTTGTGCTTTTCCATTTATACCAAGCCGAAGTGGCCCTATACGAGACTGCACTGTCGAGATCAGCGACAAGAGTCGAAGACGTGGATGTGACTCGTCTCAGCCATCTATATGCCTGCCTAGCAGCCACTAAAAACTGGCTTGATCTCCTTCTCGCCGTCAGTCCTGAAAAATATGTCTCCCTGCCGGTAACGATTATCTTCCAAATCTCACACTGCATGAGTGCCTTGTTCCATCTTTCTACATTTGACTGTCCGGGCTGGGATCGAGAAGCTGTTGCCCGAACGGCTGACCTCCAGTCCATCTCACAGCAGGTAATTAACCGATTGGATTCAGTGGCCGAAGCGGCGGGCATTCAGAACGAAGGAACGGATGGGGATTCGTGGAGCAAGGCGGCCAGCTTCATTCCTAAACTGCAGGCTAGTTGGGCGTCTAAACTCCTAAATGCTGCAACTATGGACTCAATGGAACAATCATCTTCTCTCCCAAGTGTTGATGAGGGCTTTCTCGAGACCTATCTCAATTGGCCGGATGCCGCATGGTTGATGGAACCGCTGATGCTGGGGACTCAGAATGGAGTGTGATGGTCTAGCTTAATCTTTTGAGACTACGACTTATATTTGATCGACCTGAATGAGTCATTTGTCACCGGATTGATATTCGAAATGTGTTCATAGTTCCGAATCTCGTCTCAACGGATTTACCAACGCTTGAACGGAACTGGAGACGGGATTGGCCCAACTCCGTCCGATATTAAGGTATAACATCCAATTCATGAACCTTCCTCCTAGAATCTGAAGTAGCTGCTTTATTGCATATGTTCAGATCGTCGAAGACCATCATCAAGATTTCTTCATTCTTCATAAACCATGTGCGAACAATTGGAAGCGGGAGAAGCTCCCCTGTCTACTGAAAGACAAAAGGGAGCGCCTTCCGGACAGAATACGCACAACACCCCGTCAAGGACCCTAGAGCTATCTGAAACAAGAGAAAAACCCGAGATTATTTTAGGAGATACCCGAGAAAACCTGGCCAAGCCCATCTCCAACCGAGAAGAACAAGCCCCGGAAAAGTGGATTAAAGGCATCCCCTTGATCATGGTAACTTCAGGTGTTACTCTGGTCATATTCCTGATGTTGCTGGACATGTCGATCCTGTCTACAGTTTGTTGTTCCTCTCTGAGTATGCTGACCTGTCTCTAAATTGGAATAAATAGGCCGTACCGCAAATCACGAACCAATTCCACTCCCTCGAGGACATAGCCTGGTACGGCAGTGCTTATACGCTGGCAAGGTACGTCAAATATCTTATATTCAGGAATAAAACACCAGATCTCTGATCCAAACTCCCTGATAGCTCTGCCCTTCAGCCTCTAACAGGGAAATTCTATACTTACTTCACCTCCAAGGTAGTTCCTATCCCTCAACTCTCCGGTTCACAACGGTCGGCTGATTCCCGTGCAGTGGGTGTTTCTGGGCTTCTTCGCAGTCTTCGAACTGGGCTCCTTGATATGTGGCGTCGCTACTTCGTCGAAAATGCTCATTATTGGCCGAGCTGTTGCCGGAATGGGATCTTCGGGCATGACCAACGGCGCCCTGACTATTGTTGCTGGTGCTGTTCCGATGCATAGAAGACCAGGTATGCGCTCTTTAGGATAGGTTGATCAATGGAGACTGACAGGCCGATAAGTTTTGGTTGGCATCATGATGGGACGTATGTACGGACCCCGTCAGACCATAGAAACACAGGCTGAATGAATCATCGCAGTGTCACAGATTGGACTGGTTCTCGGTCCTCTGATCGGTGGTGCGTTGACCACATTCACGACATGGCGATGGTGTAAGATGACCGGGTCCCCGTCACTGTTAGAACCAGGCCCTGACGCCTAATATTAAACAGGCTTCTACATCAATTTACCCATCGGGGCACTAGTTGCTGCCCTCTTGGTCTTCACTCGCATTCCCGAGCAACGAGAAAAGGGTCGAGCGGTCGAAGTTCTACCGACATTCTTCAAGACGTTCGATATACTCGGCTTCGTGCTCTTTGCGCCCGCTGCAATCCAACTCCTGCTGGCCCTTCAATACGGAGGTAACCAATATGCATGGGACAGCACAACCGTCATCGGCCTGTTTTGCGGTGCAGGTGCGATGTTTATCATCTTCCTGGGATGGGAGTACCGCATGGGGAAGGATGCCATGATTCCATTCCATGTCATTCACAACCGGATCGTCTCCTGCAGCTGTGTGGTTATCATGACTCTGTTCGGAATGACAATCACTGTTTCGTACTATTTGCCGATATACTTTCAGGCAGTCAAAGGCAAGACCGCGCTGGTTAGTGGTGTTGACTTGTTGCCGGGTGTGCTGTGCCAGATTGTCATGGCTTTGGTCTCGGGGGCTCTCAGTATGTCAGCTGTTCCATATTTGTCGTCCTCCGTACTGATGGTGTCGTGACATAGCTGGAAGAATAGGCTACTATCTCCCCTTCGCGGTTCTCAGCGCAATCCTCAACGCTGTCGGATGTGGTCTTCTGTCGACCTTATCACCCACCACTCCCACCAGCGAGTGGGCCGGCTATCAAGCTCTAACAGGACTTGGTCGAGGAGCAGGAACACAGACCGTAAGTCCAATTCATCTTGTCCATCATGCGGTCAGACGTGTATCTGATGAAGACACAGCCCATGATAGCCGTTCAAAACGCTGTCCTTCCCGACGAGATGTCAACAGCCATGGCCATCCTAACCTTCAGCCAGACCTTCGGCGCTGCTATTTTTCTTGCGATCGCTGAAGTCCTTTTCTCTCATGGTCTGAGAAACACTATCCCGCAGTATGCCCCTGCTGTTGACCCCGAGACTGTGATTGCTGCTGGTGCGACTGGTTTCCGGGGCATTGTGTCCGAGGCGAGTCTTCCTGGAGTTCTGCTCGCTTATTCCAAGAGTCTTGGACATATTTTCTATCTGGTTACTGCGCTAAGTGTGGTGCATTTTATCTTTGCATGGGGGATGGGCTGGAAGAATGTCGGCAAGCCTAAAGAGGACAAGCTGAAAAGGGAGGAGGAAGGGAAAGTCAACAATTGAAGTCGAACGTCTGTAGACCTGGGAAGATAGAAACAACTCCACTCACGTTGATACTTATTCGGATGAGAGACTTGATCATAGTTGGAGAAAACTGATATTCATCTCATAAATCAGAAAGCACTCAAAATGTGGATATAGAGCTTAGAACATTAATTGACATCAAATTCACCCCTTTTCCAGCATTTATTTCATAATAATAGTCAGCCTAATTCTTTTTGACAATATCCTTGATTAATGAACTCTTCAGGGATTGATCGTTAACATGTAATGAATGAAACACCCTCTGCAGTGTGACTCTATATCCCTTCAAGGACCAGATTCCTCTTCAGGCAGAACCCACAGTCTCATAAGCTCCTAGAGCATTCAGCTCTCGCAGTCTGCTGTTTGATACGACGACACTATTCCCTGCGATTGTGAAGATCCTATCCTAACCTGTCCTCACATCTCTGCTTCTCCTGCGCTAGCCAATGCTACCTTCAATATAGGGTGATTGGCCGTAGCGGGTTGATTAGTCTAGCCTTTGGCCCCATTTCCCCGATCAAGCAATTCCCTCTGTTGTTTGTGATCACGGGCTGCTGGGCTGCAGAGGGTAGTATTGCAGGATGTCATTGGGTTGCTTTACGGGTGCTACAGTTTCAGAGTGATTTAGCTCATGCTCTGAAACGGTGGTGACTAGACCCTGGAAGCAATATAAGGGTTCACGTCTCCCGCCAGGGTCCATCTCGATTCCAATAACAAGTCAATCGGACTATCTTCTCTGGAGAACAGCGACCTTCACAATGCACTATCTTGCAGCTGCTGCCGTCTTGACTGCAGGCCTGGCCTCGGCTTATGATGTCCCAGCCAACCTACAGCAAATCTACAATAAGCACAAGGTAACTTCTTCTCTCCTTCGTCATTGCAATCTCACTAACGCTGGAAAGGCGGGAACATGCAAGAACAAGCTGCAAGGCGGTTTTGCCGACGGCATCAGCGGCTCCGGCACCTTCGCCTACTGCGGCGACATCAACGGGGCCATCTTCCTTCACAGCTCCGGGAACGGCGGCCAGTACGATAACATGGACATCGACTGCGACGGAGCGAACAACAGCGGGGGCGACTGCGCCAATGACCCTTCCGGCCAGGGCATGACGGCGTTCATGGATACTGTGAAGAAATACGGCATCTCGGATCTGGACGCCAACATCCACCCGTATGTGGTGTTTGGTAACTCGGGCAGCTCGCCTACCTTTGATCCCCAGCAATATGGAATGGAGCCCTTGAGCGTGATGGCTGTGGTGTGCAATAACCAACTGGTATGTTTGCTATCGATTTGTCGACACGGGTTGAATCTGACTGGTTAGTTCTATGGTGTCTGGGGCGATACCAACGGTGGTGTCGCTACCGGTGAGGCTTCTATTTCCCTGGCTAAGCTGTGTTTTCCTAATAATGGTATCACTGGTGACAACGGCCACGGGGAGGAGGATGTGCTCTACGTTGGGTTTATGGGCCAGGACGCTGTCCCTGGGGCTAATGCTGCCTGGACTGCTAGCGACACTTGGACCTTTGAGGAGAGTATCAAGGAGTTGGGGGATCGCCTTGTTGCTAAGCTTAGTGGTTAAGAAGGGCATGCCAGCGTATAGAGTGAATAGTCGAGTCGATATGAAACTTGTCTATAGTACATCATGTTTGAAGTCTGTTGTCACAATTGACTCCTGGTCGGAGCACTTTGAACCCAAGCTTCTGCATCCTCTGCCAATCAAGCATCCCATGAGGATCAAAAAGCATTTTGGGTGACTCCATCCGCTCCGCAATCTTCTCCCAGTCTAGCCGATCATCTTTGAATTCATCCCAATCAGTGTGCAGGACGACCGCACTGCAGCCAGAACAGGCCGAGTGCGGGTCCTGCACGACCGTGACAGCATCCAGATGACCGCTCACAAGGCCTAGCGCTCTCTCAATCTGTTCCTTTGGTACATGCGAATCGTAGATGTCCACCTTAACACCGGAACGTGTCAATTCCTGCACCAGCTGCGTCGCGCTTGTATTCCGAATCTCGATCGTGTTGCACTTGCTAGCGAACCCAAGGAGAGCGACATCCCTCCGCTCTGGTCCTCTGGGTAGACTGTCGTTGATTCGATGAGCAAGGCGCCGTATCTGGTACTGGTTCATCTTCAGTACTCCCCTCCAGTACTCTGCCACCTCTGGTAACCCCAGCTCCCGCGCCAAATAAACCAAACAGCCAACATCCCTGTGGAAGCTCGATCCACCGAGCCCAAAACCAGTCGGAAAAAGTGCTCCTACAGTCTGCTCGATATGCGTGATATTTGCCTTTGTGGACTCGCAAATCGCGCGGAGAGACTGTATGCTGCTTGTCTGCTGCGCCAGCATTGCACTGGCAGCGACCTTACCCAACTCCGACGACCAGGCGTCCATGGTGACGATGCGGTCCTCCGGAACCCAAGGAGCGTACAGTCCTTTCAGGGCAGTTAGTGCCTCGGGCGACATATCCTCTGAAAAGATGTGGCCGATGATGATTCGAGCCGGATAGAGAAGGTCGCGAATGGCCGTTCCCGGGACCAGAAACTCGGGGTTGGAAAGAACTTCGAAGGAGGCGGATGGGGAGGCGGTTTTCTTGAGCTGTGCCGTTGTAAGGCTCTTCATCTATACAGATATGGCTGACCCACTTACCATTTTCTTGATCTGCAGGACGATTCCGGCTGGCCCTGTGCCCCGGTGGACGATGACCTTGTGTCCGGCTGAGACTTGGGCGATCGCCCGGATGGCGGTCTTCAGGTTGGTCAGGTCGAGGCCAGGGGTCTCGTCATCAGATGACTGGAAATTAGTATGGATTGCCGATTGAGGATGAGACAAGCTTACGTTGTCCAGAGGAGGATCCACACAAAGAAAGATGATATCCGATGCCGCTATTCCCGCGTGGATGTTGGTTGAGAAAGTGATATTACGCAGTTTTCGTATTCGAGGCTGACGCACGACCGATTGATGTATTTCAAGCTCGTTATCCGCTTGCTTATCAATGCAATCTTGCTTTTTTGGCCTTTCCGATGCCACGATGTGATCCTTCTCAAAGACGAGCTCATCCAGGCCAGGTTCAAAGACCGGCAAGCGATCCGAATTCCACGCTGTGATCAGCCGCGGATCGCCATCAACGACATGGAATTGTACATGGGGATTCTGACAAGCGAGAACAATCGCCGTCAATGCTCCTATATTCAGTTAGGCACTGGCCTTGCGTGGTCTCCAGCAGGCAACTCACCGATATGTCCAGCACCGATGATACAAGCACTGCGAACAGATTCGATCTTCCCCTCGCGCACCGAAGACTGTCCATCTCCGACGCTCTCGGAATATGTATGGCCTCCAACAATCACTCTGGGACTTTCTTTGCCCGGGGTTGCCTTGTATCGACGACGGGAAATCAGCAACGTAATGCCAGCCAAGAGCACCAGCAGCGGCAGGAAGGGCATCATGATCCAGATGTTGCGATTGACAAGAACTTTGACTAGACTTCAGCATCATTTTTCTTCGTGGTGACCACACAGAGACGCAAAGATACAAAGGAGAAAGCGTTCCAACGGCGACCTGATGATCTTTGCTTGATTGTCAAAAGAGCGGTCTGTCGTCAGCCACAGGTGCTGGACTGTGCATGAACTGGTTTCCATGAGGCTATTTTTGAACAAAAATGTCGCTTGACTCAGTCTTCTATTTGGAATATATGATTGGGTGTCCGAGGCTTGAGTTGTCCACGTTGAGTTGTCTACGTGTCTCGCTCTCGGCGAGGCGCAGAACCGGCTTGAATAGCATTAGTTATCATAGGCTCAATCGATGATAGCACACAAGATGTTGAGAAATATACAACCTCATTTGATGGTCACCGATATGTTCGGGTTGGTCTTTTCGTCTTGAAGGCGCGATCGGTCGAAAAACGACTCAACCGAGCATTATCTGGCGATATTCTTCGCCGACATGCTGGTAAGAGTAGTAAAAGTGGATCACCAGCCCGCCAAGAATATCGTCGAATCCCGGAGTCACGCAAATCAATGACTACACCCAATGGCGATCGTTCTAAACATGCGAAACTGCGCCTAGGCTAAGCTGCAGGACAAGTCAAGCCTCAGTGCGTAGTCCGAATAGAGCGCCGAGGACACCCCCTCCTTGATTTAATCCAACAGGACCTCATTTACTATCTCGAATGAAGCTGCCTGCCGCCTGCTACACAACGAGTATACCTTCAGTCCAAAACAGAGATAAAATGACAGTCAGCAATCTCCCCCGCATCGCCTGCTTCCACGGCGGGGGCTCAACCGCCGCCATCTACAAGGTCCAATGCGAACAGCTCGCTCATCTCCTCCAGAACGACTTCCAGCTCGTCTTCTTCGAAGGCCCCTTTGAGCGCAGCGCGGGACCAGGCGTTCTGCCCGTCTTCGCTGACTACGCGCCCTTCAGGTCGTGGTTTACGCAGGATGAGCGCGGGGAGCGCGCCGATGGGAGCGGGTACGACGCGTCCGGCAACGACGGGGTCAAGCGCGTGTGGAGATTGATGGAGGACGAGGGTCCAGGTGGCGAGTGGGTGGGGGCTATGGGATTCAGTCAAGGGTCGCGGATGGCGGGGGGATTATTGCTGGATCAGCAGCGGCGGGCTGCACTGGGGATACCGAAGAAGACGCATATTGAGCTGTTGTTCGGGGTGCTGTGTAATGGAGCGGGGGCGCCGATGGAGTCGGATGCTGCTGAATGTAGGGTTTCTCTTTTGTCGTTGCTATTCGGTGCTCACGGAGTTAGATGTGAACGCGAAGACGGATGAATCTCTCAACCGGGTCAGTTTGCCGACAGTGCATGTCCATGGGCTCAAAGATCCGTTCTTGATGCTGGGTCAGCAGCAGTTGGAGAACTACTACGATCCGAGGACAGCGACTCTCTTCGAGGTGGACTATCATCATGCCATGCCATGGGCGAGACACGAAGCCAAGCAGCTGGCAGATCACATCCGAACAATCTACAAGAACACTAGAAGGCAATGAAGTTGACGGCCTTCCGGTCCCTATAAAATAGATGATTACGAGGACGAATGCGTTGATCCAACGAACTGACAGATAGGATTTCAACACTGTCATCGCACTGAACCATTTCCCCTTAGCCTGTGTCTATGATTTCGTCCTGTCTGAGGCTCCTACGTCTGAATAGGACATCCTACGCCACTGTTGCAGTAGTGCCGTTCAATCATATCTCTATTGAACGCCTGATGTGTGTGTCAACGAAAGCTAGTACGTCTATAATCATTGCCTCTTTCATGTTGGGGTCGGTGTGAGATCAAAATCTTTTCATTCATGACATCGTACGAAGCATTCCCAGTTAGGACTTGAAGCAGAAAGCGGCAAAAATTAGCCAGTCAAAGCGTCAGTGACACACCACCAGGGCATGTCAATGATAGAGCATTCCGGAACAATGGTCTTAGGCAGACAGCAGAGAGACCACCTTGGTCCAGACCGAATCGAAAGCCTGGTAGGTGTCCAGGTTGCTGAGGTAGGTCTGGCTGGAGATGGCGCGCAGCTGAGACAGCAAGGTCGAGAGATCCACGTTGTCAGGGACATCGTAGACCATGGACGCAAGGCGACTGAGATCCTCCCCCTTGATGCTCTGGAACTGATCGGATGAAAGGGCTCGCACAAACTCGCTGTACGGCGACTCGAAGATGACCGTGGCATCAGGAATGCTGAGGTAGGCGGCATCAGGAACAGTTCCGGGATTCGTGACGACCTGTAATGTTTAGCATGTCGGATTCATTGGCCGTTCGGCTGGCTTACATGGTTGTTCGGACCAAGTCCCTCGCTTCCTCGGATGAGCGAGGCAAGTTGCTGGTAATAGGTGACAGCGGCGGCGTCATAGTCCGAAGGTGCCTCGTCTATGAAGATGCCGTGCACTGCGAAGGAGGAGTTTCCGCTGGCGGATGGCCATCCGGCATAAGTGTTGATTTCCTTTTCCACCTCCGAGATGTCGCGGGTTCCCTTGCCAGTGCGAACATATCCAATCACCAACGCGTTGCTGTAGGCTGTGAGTCTGGGGACTGCCGCCAGGAAGTTCTCGTCCGGCAGGGTGGTGGAGCCGGAACCGTTGTCAGGATTTATAATGATGGTGAACTGGACGTCTGGATTGGAGCTGATCCTATTGACCAAGACAGGTTAGAGTTCGCCTTGTAAGGCGAAGGAATGAGAGATCACGTACAGTTCTTCCATAGGCGTCCAGGCTCCCTCGGCTGGGTACAAGTACCAGGGGATCATGATGTTTCCTTTCGACGCGCTGGTTCCAGAGGCGGCCGTTGCAGAAGAAGTGGGCGTTGAAGTCGCGACACTGACAGACGCAGTAGGAATCACAGTCGAGGGAATCGAGGCAGTCTCAGTAATGGCTGGAGCGAGAGTACTGGCATCTATCGTGGGGACTGCAACAGAGACACTCTCGGTCAGGCGGATGGAAACGCTGTTGGTATAAGTGACCTCGGCACTGTAGGTGCTTTCAGGAGCTTTGCTCACGGAAGTGTGAGAATGGCGCCAGCCTCCATAAGCCGAGTGCTCCTGATCAGCCCCATGGAGACGATAGGGAGGGATGCATGCACTGTGTCCATGCTGGACGAGGGCCATGCAGCCCATCAACCCCACCAAAGCCCGAGAATAGTTCTCCTGGAACATGATGGTTGAAAGATAAGTAAAGGAATGACTGAAGCTAGTACAAAGGAATGACTGAGAATGGAAAAAAAGGAAGGACGCTTGCCAGAAGCTGGTGGGTTGAGGCCTTCATCATTCACCAGGGCGGGCAGCCTTCCATATATACTTGTGAATCCATGGAATCGAGACCTTTGAGGATCTGGGAACGAGATTCAATTGATTCAATTCTAGATCAAAGGCGCAGTGGAGCCCTCATCGGCTGCCACGGATTGGGCTGAAAAGAAGCGCTAACATCGGGCAATTTTTGAAGCTGAAACAAATTCTCCGCCACGGCGCTTTTCTTGATCCTTCATTTATGCTCATGATTATGGATGGATTGATTCTTTTATAATCCTCGCGTATGTATCTACTCTACGACCTATGAAAAGGACAAAGAAATCTAAAGGACCAACATCCCAGCCCTGAATCCCTGATCATAAAGCGTGACTGCGTCCCCTCCCAGCAGGTGCTCATCTTCTTTGTGACTCCTCCATTCCCTGCCACCGACTCCTCGTCTTTGACCACAGCTTTCATTGATCTATCATACGAGTAACGCCTGCAGACCCATCATCTCATCCTGTGCTAGGGTCCAGTCTGTAGCCATGACCTCCTTAATCTTCTCATCGTGAGTCTACGACCAAAGGATCTCGCACACTACTTCATGAAAGACTATGTCCCTTTTCAGGTTCGCAACACAAACATCAGCGCCTTGACTGAGCAGGAACTTGGATGCCTGAACCTAGTAAATATTCCCCACCAGGATGTGAAAAGCTATGTCCTGTATTTATTAGCATGGTTAATAGTAGCACCCTGCTAGGAAGTAAGCACTGTTAATAGACCTGCAGTGCACAGAGCAGTAAGTAAATGTAAGCAATTGGTTTGTCATTACCATCTAAGACACTTGCATCAGCCTCATGCTATAATCAGGTTCTTACTAGAGCCTAATGTAGAGGTGTCGTTCCGTCTATATCCTGGACATTCATGGACTAGGGTACAGGGATGACGCTATTATAGGAGGAGACTAGGTCTGTGATATCACTCTAGGAGGAAGCGGAAGGTATCAGAGCTCCCGTGCGTAGTGCATGTCAAGGAGGATGATCCCTGGTGATGTGGCAGGCATTAGAGTGACAGGTGTGGAATCACTATATGCCATTTTTGATTCATGTCATTTGTGGAGTGGGAGTGATATGGGGGGTATAATATTCTATATTAACAAAGAGAGGATGGGGAGGGAAGAAGTGGGATATAGGCCCAACACTATTCAAGGGACTAAGGTTATGCTGATAGATGCAGGCTGGGCTTCTGAATGACCATCTAGCATAACATGCCTTTCAAGAACCTCTATAGCTCCCTAATATCACTAGTTAATGCAGGTGCATGGGCTGGAGGGCATGAGGTTATACTAAGTTACAGAATGGTCTGCAATGGCAGCATGGCTTCTAGAAGTATCTAGGAGAACAAGTCATGATCGAGGGTTATGTCGCGGTCAGAAACACAGCAGTTTAAACCACCTCAGCATGCACAGAAGTATTCGCAGGCTTCTCTTCCTCCGCCACACTCTGCTGGCGATGCTTCTCAATCTCCTCGCCAAACTTATCATGAACCTTGTGCGACTGCCACGCCTTGACGTTCGAATCAAACATCATATCAATCTCTTCTAGTGATCGCCGCGATGTCTCGGGGTACATGAAGAACACATGGAAGGTCATGACGGTGCAGAAGACGCCGAAGATGATGTACGTCTTCCACTTGATGTTGGTGAAGGCGGGAGCGACGAAATAGGCGAGCGCAAAGTTGAAGATCCAGTTGCCGGCCGCGGAGAGACCGACGCCCTTGGCACGGTATTTGAGAGGGAACACTTCAGAGGCGTAGATCCATGCGGCAGGCGCCTGCTTCCGTTAGTGTGGTTCGGTTTTAAAGTGATGAGACACTCACCCAGGTCAGGCCATAAACGCCGACAAAGATATAGGAACAGGCAATGACGCCCTTGCCGGCCGCGCCCTTGATCTCCCAGCGCAGGTTCTTGTTGCCGTCAATCTCGTCCACCGGGTTGCCGTAAGTGGCCATGATACCGGCAATGGCATAATGCAGTGCCATGCAGATGATAGAGCCGGAGAGCAGCAGCAGTCGACGGCCGATACGGTCAATGTATGGCAGAATGATGCCGGTGGTGACGAGGAAGATGACATACTGAATGGCCGACGAGTAGAGGACGGTGTCACCGGGCTAGAATATATGTCAGCCGACCTCCATCAATGTCCACAAACAAGGAAAATTACCATATTGGCCATCTGGAAGATATAAACCACATAGTACATGGCCACGTTTCCACCGAGAAGCTGCTGCCACACCTGGACGCTGACACCGCACATGGTACGTTTCCAGACGCGCGGACCAAACAGCGCGAAGAAGGAAACATCCTTAGCCTCCCGTGCGACCCGCACGGCTTCCTGGACTTCCTCCCACTCGACCTGCACTTCGGGATGGTTGCGGTCGCCGTGCCCATGCAGCAAGGCCAGCGTATCCAGACTTTCCTCCCAGCGCTCCTTGCTGGCCAGCCAGCGGGGCGATTCAGGAAAGAAGAGCAGTGCGACCGCCAGGATGAGACCGGGAACGGCTTGGACACCCCAGGCAATGCGGAAAGCAGCAGGAGAGTGTACGGTCTCGGAGCAACCGTAGGAGATCAGGTACATAATGAGGATACCCCATTCGATGGCCCACTGCTGGATGCCGACGATTCGGCCACGGATACGGGCGGGAGCAAGTTCGGCGAGGTAGACGCAGACCTGAGACGAGGTGATGCCGACTATCGGTCCCTGGTGAGTATCTGGCGAGTATTATTGAATAGGAGGCGGGAAAAATACCTGAAAGACCACTGACGACACGACCGGCGACTAGGTGTGCCACATTCTGTGCGCTACATTGGATGGCGGCCCCGATGATCCAGATGATCGAGGCGACGATGAGGGATAGACGACGTCCAATGCGGTCGGAGATGAAACCAGCTGCAATGGCACCGGCGAAGGATCCAGCAGACATGGAGGCAGTGATCTATCCCGGGAGTATGTCAGGTTTTTTTCCCGAGAAGCGGACAGGGCTTGACATACGCCTCCTTGCAAGTTCGAGTCCGGAGAGTTAAAGTAGTCGAGGTACTGGTCTGTGCCTATCCACGCGCTCATGGAGCTATTGAGGAATCAGCTAAAGCCATATGCACAGCACAGCACATCTTGGGACCTACCTGACATCGAACCCGAATAGGGCACCACCGATGGTGCCAAAGGCGGCGAGGACTATCATCCAGTCAGTAGTTGAGCATGATTGACGAGTCCAAGGGCGTACCATATATGTTGGAAATCCGATACATCGTGCCAGAAATAAGTGCCACTGATCTGATGAAGCCGTCAAACTCATATCGGCTCCGAGTGCACCTGGCTGGTTATATACCAGTCTCGTCAGGCCTTGACGACGGCATCTCCAGGCCTGGTTCCACCCGAAGTCCGGGGATGGTGCCAGAATCACAGGGGTAAGAGAAACACACGCCTTGGCCCGGCCGAGCAAAACACCCCGCAAGAGGTAATGATCGGCCAATCTGTAGGAAAGCCGGGAATGGGGGAGGTCTGGAGGGCAGCGGAGAGTCCGGGGACAGGCCCTGGAGACTCGAAGAGAACCAAACGGACAAATCACCGGCTCTGGGGAGAGGGAAAAGAGAGGGAAAAGAGAGGGAAAAGAGAGGGAAAAGAGAGGGAAAAGAGAGGGAAAAGAGAGGGAAAAGAGAGGGAAAAGAGAGGGAAAAGAGAGGAAAAGAGAGGGAAAAGAGAGGAAAAGAGAGGCCTAAGTGCGTCACCGGTGGAGTATCGTAGCAGTGGCCATCCAGTCGGTTGTTTCGACGACGGAGATTTTCCCTCTTTGTCGCTCGGCTGGAGGAATTTAACCGACTAAAGTTCTCTTCTGAGCATTTATCTACACCTCATGTTCCAAGGAGAGTTGACCGTTCCATCAAGACATCAACTAACCGAGAGGTTTGCTATCATAGTATCAAGGGTATTATCCGGGGTAGAATGCGTCTGAGGTACCTTACCTGCCATTGTTCCTTGAGACTTTATGCTTGGCTTTCCTTTGATCATTCTTTCTCGAACTACGGGATATCAACCTGGATTTCTCGGGAGTCAGTAGTAGCATGATAACATCGGGACGATCTCTCAACTCGGTCGGGATGGCGCTGCAATTTCGACGGCGGCCAGCTAAAGACGCCACCGACGACAGATTCCAGAGCCAAGACCTATTGTTGAGGTCTTTTTCCCGGTTAGTCTGATATGTGACGGTGACTCTAAGACCGAAGAAGCAGCGGTTTCGTATAAGAATTACAAGTCGCTATAAGTGCTCTTGCTCTGAAAGATAATGGAGGAAGTGACTCATATAAACAGCTTTGAATGAAGTGTCCGAATCATATTCTCTATTGGTCTATCACATCTATCTCCCTGAATGCTTGCTGCCAATGCTATTCCTTCTCAAAATGCACCCATCCCATCAGTCGCTCCGCCTTCTCTGTTGTCCAGAATCCTTGGTTACCCGACATGTCAGCCCGGATCTCAGCGTCAGGAAAGTACTTTCGCGCCAGCTCCTCTGACGGTATGTCCTGCGTGGTCGTCGGAGCAACAATATTGAAAATCTCGCACCCCTCCCAATTGTCGCATTTCTCCACGGCCAGCAGGCACGCCCGCGCGGTAGCCACCGGATTCACCCACCCCCAGAGCTGCTTCACCCCAGCATGCTCCCAGTCATTCTGGTGGACCTTTTGGACCCTTTCCAGGGGCGACACCTCGTGGATCCGCAGACAGGCGATCTTCATCCCGCGGAACCACTCGGCGAAGGCTTGGCCCTGGATCTCCGCTTCTCGTTTCGCGAGGGCATACGAGTCCGTGGGATGTGGTGGGGCTTCTTCGTCCAGAGGGAAGTAGTCGAAGTGTAATGGTTGGTTGGAAAAAGCAAGACCGATGGCGTTGACCGACGAGGCGTAGCAGAAGCGCTGGATCCCGACCTCCGCGGCGGCCCGGAAGCCGTTGAACGCGGAGTCAACGTTGTTGTTGTGGACGAGGTAATCGTCCTTGTTGACAGGATTGGGGATTGCGGCGAGGTGAATGACTGCGTCACAGTCCCTGAAGGCGTCGACGGTTTGCCTGTAGCTCTGTGCCACGTCGGCCGTGCGCATTTCGGTGTTGGGCACGTCACCAGGGGGCTGCTCGGTCCGGTTGATCTGGACAGTGTGGTGTCCTGCTTCCGCGCACACCTTGACCAGGACGCGTCCTACGCTCCCACGGGCTCCAGTGATAGCTATCTTCATTTTGGGCCGGTCAATGCAGTGTGAGCAGAGGGTAGGTTGAGGTGTTCGGCGGCTTATTGCAATGGGATCGACGACCCCAACGAGGCAGGTGGTGACATGAGAAGAAAAGATCAAAAGGATCCTCATGGTCGCATGATATGGTACGATGGAGAGAACATCGCATTCCTGACGTCAGGGACCTCACATCACCATGGGGTCAGTTGAGGATTAACGCCAGCCTGTAGTCTGACGATGCATAGTCGGGGAACCTTTGGGGACAATTTTTTTGCACGCAAGCACGCATGAGTACATGATAGGATGTTTCGCACAGAGATGTGTGCTTCCCATGCTCTTCAAATGTTCCTTGACCGTCGAATTGAGGAGAGTTAGATGAGGCCTCATACACTTCCTCGGACCTTGGTTCCGCACCAATGGATATAGGCAAAGGTAGGTATCAAGATGCGCAAAATAACTTTCTCACCAGCAAGGACATATACAAGAAGGAAGAGAAGCCAAAATACTTCTGCAAGATGAAGAGAACAAGAGAGACTGCGAGCGTTAGAACAGTCGAAGCTGATATGGCAGCAACCTTAGGCATCAATTTGCCTATTCGAGTCTAGTGAGCAGATAACGAATCCGATAAACAATCCAAGCACGTGACTGCTTTTCCCAAATTTTCTCATTTGGTTCAACCGAGCAAGAGAAGCTAATCCGTCATTTCCGGTTAGGAAAATAATCCAGAAGAACCTGTCCTAGAGGCAAGCTGTAGACTCCCTTACAAGATCCCAGAATACCGTATGTCCTTTAAAAGAGAAATGCGGAGGACCCGCCAGCGAGGGGCAGCCCGGGGCTCACGTGACACAATGTGCGGGATCCTCGCTTATTGGAGATTTGCATGACGGCGTGCTCGAGGATCATGCAGGCTTTACGGCGAGCATTCCCTGCGACAAGAGGATCATCCTTGTTGACTCCGGCTGGCAAAAGAAGTGCATCCTCGACAACACTCGGCAAAATGATCCTGAAAGAGACGACCCGTCTGGAGCTGCCGGCGGCGGCCGACATGCACGTCCACCTTCGCCAAGGCAAGATGATGGAATTGGTTGTGCCGCAGATTCGGAAAGGAGGCGTCGATACAGTCTTTGTTATGGTCAGTACATTGCGTTTCTGTAGGCTATGGCTATCGTGGTTGACTCCGACCAGCCCAACCTGGTCCCTCCCATCACCAGCGTTGCCCAGGCGCTGGAGTACAAGGCCCAGTTGCAGGCCATTGAGCCGAAGGTGAACTATCTCATGTCGCTGTATTTGAATATATGTCTCTCTTGCCGAGTCACAGATGCCTCTACTGACTGTTCCTCACCAATCCGTTACCCCCGAAACCATCCGAGAAGCGGCCGCGGCCGGTATCACCGGCGTCAAGGTGTATCCTCAGGGTAGGCCAGCCCACGCCTCCCTCCGTTTACATGTTGATTGAATCCAGGCGTCACCACAAACTCCGCCGCCGGTGTGCGGGATTACGACGAATTCTTCCCCGTCTTCGCGGAGATGGAGAAGCACGACATGGTCCTCAACCTGCACGGCGAGGTTCCCGGCTCGCCCGGCTCGGACATCAACGACATGAACGCCGAGGAGAAGTTCCTCCCCACCCTCAAGATGCTCAATGACAAGTTCCCCGATCTGCGCATCATCCTGGAGCACTGCAGCACCGAGGCTGCGCTGGAGGCTGTCCGCTCCTGCTCCGCCTCTGTGGCGGGTATGTCCTGCCTCTCTGCTTTGCATGCGTGCTACTGACCTGCACAGCGACCATCACCGCCCACCACCTCTACCTCACCCACCACAGCTGCGAGAACCCGCTGGCCTTCTGCAAGCCCCTCCCCAAGACCTCCAAGGACCGCGATGCTCTCATCCGCGCGGTGTGCAGCGGCGATCCCAAGTTCTTCTTGTAGGCCCCTTTCCCCGGTCAAATGAATATGTGACTGATATCATTCAGTGGAAGCGACAGCGCCCCCCACCCGCGTGTCGCCAAGCAAGGCGGCGCCGAGGGAACGGCCAAACCGCCTGCTGGCGTGTTTACTCAGCCCTGTGTTGTGCAGTATGTTCTCCTGGCGCTGGAGGAGGGCGTCGAACGGGGTGTCATCGCCGACGAGGATATCACCCAGGCGAAGCTGGAGAATTTCCTCAGTGTGTACGGACGCAAGTTTTACAAGTTGCCCGAGGCGAAAGAGCGAATCGTGCTCGAGCGGAAGGGGGACGTCATCCCTGAGAGTGTGAAGAGCGAGGATGGAAGTGTGGAGGTGGCCTTGTCCAGGGGGGGAGATGCTGTGTTTAGTCTGACGTGGAAGAGCTCATAGTGGTCATCTCTTCGAAGTGAAAATACTGAAAGATTGCTTGAGATGGAGGGTTACAGATAACTACAGGTACTCTGACCGACTACATACATATCGAGGTCATCAAGCCTCTATACCAGGAGTTACAGCCATCAGAAGTGCGCACCCGCGGGAAGGTGTTGTCCGTTGACGATGGGCTCTGAGCTGCTAGAAACCACTGTGAGCTATTGACAGAGGCTAATTTATGAATTTTGCGGAGGTGTTCTCATGAATGGAAATTCAAGTATATACAATACACGGAGAATCAGGTACAATTCCGCCAGCGAACTTACCCAGTCTTTGCGGGCATTTCGGGGAAATCAGCCACCACACCATCGATACCCTCCTTGGGGGGTCCGGCATAGTTGCGGTAACCCCAGACCCAGTACCAGAGAGCCGCAATAGCCGTAAATCCAACGAAGACGACACAGGCGTAGTTCATGGTCTCGAGGGTGACGACCTTGTAGGAGGGCATGCAGAACAGAGGGATGGCCAGAAGACTCCATGCTGTAGGCCCGTCAGTAGTCGGTTTCCGACCGGATGCGAGCGACTTACCCAGCGCAACCACATTGCAGATGCTGCCGATGATCCCCATGTTGAACCTGGCATTGGTGATATCCGCGCGACGACGGAAGAAGAACGAGACCCCGATGGGACAAGCGTAGCTGAGAGTCAGGAAAATGACACCGACCCCGGAGAAGGCGTTGAACGCGGCGGTCGAGCCAAAGTAGATTGCACCCAGCGCGATCTCGACCCCCATCCCCAGCATCATCGCGTTGAGGGGAATGTCCAAGGTGGTGTTGACGGTCTTCCACAACTTGGAGCCGGGAATGCCGCCGTCACGCGCAAACGCCCAGGTGCAGCGGGAGGCGGCCGTCACACAACCCACACCGCAAATGATGCCGAGAATGAAGAGAGGGAGCAGCAACAGAAACGCTCCGGTCGAGCTGCCGAGGGCATCTTTCAGGATCACGGGGGTGGGCTGACCGGAGGCCAGGTTCACCAGCATGGTGATATCGGGCAGGACAAAGGTCAGGGGCAGCAAGAAGCCCAAACCGGCGACGAAGTTCAGGACGATAGTCCACACCATGGCTTTGGGCACCTGAACGGCAGGCTCGCGGACTTCCTCGCACATGCTATGGGATATTAACGATTGAGGTCGTGTTGCGACTAAAGTCAGAGAGACTCACGAGATGATCATGCCAGTGGCCGAGGTGGCGTATGCGGCCTGCAACAAACCGATACAGAAAGACCAGCCGGCGGGCCAGCCGGACTGGGGCTCGAAGTCGGTGAAGACCCACTTACCAGAGTGTCTGCCATGTTTGGCAACAACGAGGACGCTGACGATCAGGGCAATCAGGCCGATCAGGGTCAAGAAGATGGCAGAAGTCTAGATGGACAGGGACCAAGGCATGAGAACGGCGCATTGGGAGTCAAAATAACGAAGGAGATGGAGATTTGTTCTAATCGCGAACGAAGATGGAAAACATACCTCCAAAAGGGGGAGCCATTTGTTGCCTAGGGAAGAGATCGCATGGGTCAACAGGGTGATGGCGAGGAAGATGAGGTAGATCTGGTAGGTCTGCAGGCCATCTACAATACCGACACCGGGCGAGGATTCGAAGACGTTGAGACAGGCGACGAAGAACAGGGCGGTGCCGAAGTTTACAGCCAGGGTGATGGTGATGTTGCCGAGGACGTAGGACCACCCGCAGATCCAGGCGGCGGCGCGGCGGCACCAGGGGGGCGAGAGGGCAAAGGTTTGGTAGTAGACGCCTCCGGCAGTGGGATAGACGGAGGTGATCTCGGCCAGCGAGATGGCTACACACAGGATAATGAGGGAGACGATGATCCAGCCCCAGACGATGTTGGAGGGGCCTCCTCCGGCGAGCGGGTAGAACAAGGTGGTAGCCAGACCGTAGGGGACGGAGGACAGGATAAAGCACATAAAGGCGACCTGCAGGACTGAACGGTTGCGGGAGAGTTCTGGAGTATACCCCAGATGCTCTAGGACGGCGTCTGCCGAGGATTTGTCGGTGCCATGCTCCATGATGGTGTGGTGGAGGTGGAGGAGGACGGAGGGGTTCCGGAAAAAGGGCTTTGTCGCGTGGGGAAGGATACAAGGTGGACGATGGGAGGAACGGCGATGGCGATGGAAGATAAAGATGGGTATGCGTCAGAGAAGCATACTCATACAAGGATCCGGGCTGGGTCAGACTGCGTTGGGCCTTGAGCTGAAGGAAAGGATCGTGAGCTGCGATGGACAGAGGGCGATGTTGATGGTTATTAAAGGATAAGGGAAAAAAATTTGGAGGAAGCCAAAAGCAAAAGCAAAACTGCAAGATTTAGACTATGCCCACGTGAGAAATGGTGCAGTTCCGTCTTTCTCGAAAACACTTAGGACTCTCAAGCAAGGATGCAGCGGGGCATGATTCGGACTAGAGAAGAGGGGAGATATGATTGGATTCAGCGACAGCCGGCGAAACGAAACAAAAGGGATTGAATGACGACGGTGGAACACCTCGTTTAATTGCCTCGAGGCCATTTGCTGCAGTCAGGGCTGGAGTTCCACCAGACGGGGGCTTGGGCTTGGAGGATCCACCGCAGTGACAGACAGTCTGGAGATCTCCGGGTTGCTTGCTTGCTTGCTTGCTTGCTTGCAGTGCAGATAAGATTGCCTATTAGAGGAAAGATTTGACATTTGACTGTGGAGTTTAAAGAGAAAGTACATCTATCTACTCCGTATCAGTTACGCCGATGTAGTTAGTAGTACGGATATAGGACAGACTGGACGATTTTGCCTGTTTGGGAATGCCAGGGAGGACGATAAGCAGGCTGGGAATAGAGTTTGCCACGGCCACAGAAGACCAACAGTTATCTAACCTCTTAGTATTCTCTATCCGCTAACTACCAGGAACTAAAGACTACGGAGATGACGTCGCAGCGGAAAAAGTCTGCTGTTGGTACCGTTCGTATTCAGCCACTCATATCGCAGCATCAGGAACAGACTTTACGCCACAGTAAGAGGTAAGCCGAGGAGGATTAATCAAGGTTTCTCTAGGTAAGGAGGAGGCCGAAGAGGAATCGATTCCTCCACCGCGTCTACTGATTAGTACCACACATCTAGTTATCTGAGCCATATTAACTGGCCCCATTACAAGACCACTACAATAGCAAGAATCAGCAGTGTCATCCACTTCTCCACATGCATTCGGATCCTCTCTCCTGTGCCTGTTTGAGCGGGTGCATTGGCCCCCGTTCCAGAGGCACTGGTGGCAGCGCTGACTCCAGTACTCTTCACCATACCTGAACCAGCCGCGGTCGAGTTCGTTGTTGACTGTTTCTCCACTGCCTTCTTCGAAATCCCGGTATTGAACAATGGCAGTGTATCGTTCTTGGTCCAGCCGCACTTCTCGACCGTCCCCCAACCGTCCGACCAATCTTGCGTATCGTCAATGAGCACGCTGCTGGAAACCAATTCCAAGCGATTACCCTCGTCGTCCATGCTATTCATATGAACACCAAACTGGTAGTCGTCATAGGGATATTCATGTGCGACCCAGAAATAGGCCAGCGCGCAGGTCCAGTCGCAGTCGCATTCCGGGTAGTAAACGCCGCTCTGGCCGATATAGCAGTATGATCCGTCACTAATCCAACAAGAACATGTCAGTACCGTACCCGTCCACACTGGAGATGATCAGCTACGTACTCGTCCTTGGTGCAGGATCTCATCAGGGTATATTGCAGGATGTGTCCCACCGTCACCACCGGCACGAACACCTTCACACCGAAATCGTCCCAGCCCTTGGCCTTTAATGCGGCGTCGCTGGCCTTGTTGCAGGTCTTCTCGACATTCGCGACATACTCCGACAGAGACGACTGGCAGGTGGCCGTGCAGGCGCGGTCAAACATGGCCGAGTCGTAGTCGGGCAGCCACCACCGGTCTTCCTTGGCCACGGCCAGTGCGAGCAGAAAGTCATCGCAGTCGATCTCCGCGCTGTATGCGTCCTTGCATTCTTGCGAGGTGGTGCTGGCCAGGCTGGCGGTCGTGTAGTTCCAGTACTTGGTGGGGGTATTCAGGCTGAAAGTCCAGACGGGGACAATCGCCAAAAGGAGTGGAAGTAGGGGGTGCATTTCAAGGCTATCATTCACTGATCATCAGAAGGAGTGACAGATTGAAAGAGTGACTTGGTTGAACTGAAGGACAGTGACTACATCAACCTGGGCCCGGACTTGATGGTGGCCAGGTCGGCAACAACCAGGGGCACTTGTCGTCCTTTATGGCCAGGGCAGGTTACATTCTGACAACAAGACTTGTTGATGACTCGTTGTCGCTCGAGAAGCGATTGAACTAGGTCAGGGTCCGCTGGCTCGGCATGAACTGGTGGCTTTTTAGCGATTGAAGCCATCCATGTAGTCACCTTACACTGCATTTCACGTAGAAGACGTACACTGATATAGCAATTTCGAGCAATGTGGAATGACTCTACTTTCAACATCGCAGTCTCCTCAAACAACCGACGTCAACAGCAAAGGATCAACAGCAGATCGCTTGAGCCAACTGATGCTGTTGAGCTTGGATGAGTTGCCAAGAGACTCTCATCAAACTACCAAGTTACTAAAGGGCCAACTCTCAGGGTCCAGTGGGCCTAGGGCCTATCACAACCCCAGCATTCATAGTGTGTTTCCATAGTCTGTGGATGTCTCCCTTTCGTCCTCGCGTATTGCCCCTTTTGATTGAGCCGCAGTGTTCCTGTTTGTTCCGACGAATCATGGCCCTCTGCACATTCTTGACCTTGAGAACTCTCTTTGTGGCCTCTGCTGAGGCTTTTCTTGGCTCATCTTGTCGCCAAGATAGTTGCCTATTCTACGGAGTAGATAGATTTGAATGGGCGACTTTATAGATATAGAATCAAGTGTACAACACAAATTGTATTGCTAATCTCAGACTCTCTTGGAATGATATACTACAAATACTCCAGGATAATGCTATCCCACATGAAGCCATGCCACCTGCTGGCCTTGCTTACGGCAAAGTCGATCGAGTTCCAGCCAGGCTGCAGCTTCCCCTCGGGAATCTCAAACTGGAACAGCCGCCACTCACCGGCGGTCGTGGCCGAGCGATACAGACAGGGATCGTTCGGGAGAGTGGTCAGGTTGCCGATCGGACTGGTCGCATCGCCATTCAGGAGAATCGTCGAGGTGGTTCCCGACGAGTATCCGGCCAGAGAGACGGTCAGGAGAGCAGCCGAGCTCTTAGCCGCCTCGAACCTAATCGACCATGTTCCCAACGCGGCCTGTCCGAAGCACCAGTCCGAGGTCTTACTCTGGCCAATGGTGTAGGTCAGGTTCGCAGGGCAGTTGGCGACCAGCGCGTGCTGGTAAGCAGCGCCGCCGTACTGGAACCCCAGCGACTTGCGGTCAAAGTCGCCGACCTGGAAGATTCTCGTGCGCGAGGGGACCTCCCATCTGAGCGTGCCCAGCTTGGCCGTGTGCGACTTTCGCACCGTCACGTCGTTCTGCAGAAAGGACGAGGCGACGTCGGCGATCTGGCCGCCGTTGGACCACGCTTGCAGGCCGTAATCGCCAGTGCGCACGTTCTCAAAGGTGAACTGACCCTTGTTATCGGTCTGTCCGGTGTAGTAGTAGGTAGTGCCCATGTCCAGCGCCGTCTTGTTCGGGTTGTTGTCGCCCAGGAAGACGGACGCGCCTGCGGCTGGTCGGCCGTCGGAGAGAACCAGTCGTCCCGAGACGGAGCCACGAGACTGGTAGGCTTCGTCCTCGAACCATTTGTAGGGCCATGCCTTGAATTCCCTGGTCGCGCGGGCGGCGGCGTCGGTTTTCGATCCGTCGTTCTGGTCGACATGTCAGCCGCATCATCTGAGAAACTGACGAGAAAGACATACCAAGTACCACAGCCACGGGCCCCAGACCTTGCTGTCGGGGAAGACATCGCTGGACGAGACCATGAAATGTGTGCCGTGGATCATGTTCAGCTGCACCGCGTCGCCGGTCGAGCTCTCGCGATGCACCATGAGTTCCTGCTTGAGATGGTCCCCGTTGTAGTAGTCCTTGCCCGGATTAATGTACCACGAGCCAAACTCATCGCCATAGACACCGTAGAAGTCCTGGTCGCGGGTCCACGCGGTCCAGTCATACTTGGTGATGTAGGACCCGTCGGCCAGCTGCCATGTCTCGTCCTGGACCTTGGTGCCGCTGGCGATCTCGGCCAGCGTGGGAAGGGCGCCGTCCTTGATGTTTGTCCGTCCGTTGGGGAAGCTCGTGTTGTCCAGGCGCCACAGAGTCCGGAACTCACCCAACGTGGGGAGGGCATGGTTGACAAAGTACTGGTACGCGCCGACCAGGTCTTCGAAGATCACCCAGTGGAAGTCGCCCTCCTTGGCCGTGAATTGGATATCGAGAAAGTCTTGTCCGTTTGTTTTTCCTTTGCGATAGATTTCCGCCGAGGTCCAGTTCAGATCGGATTGCGCGCCGTCTAGTCTCGGTGTTGGTGGATGGTCAATTACAGTTGCGGAGCGTCACTCACTGTAGCTGACATAGTGTCCCACGGCATTCCCTACCAAATCCTTGCCTTTGTAGTAGAGCTTGACGCCGTACTGCTGTCCAATGGTGACATTCCACAGGTCGTTTCCGATGATATGAGTAGAATCGTCGACATTTTGCAGAAAGGGCCCCTTGGCGTGCACGCTGGCCGCCAAGGCCAGACTCACAAGGGATGAGAGTCGCATGGTAATCGATTCCTCCGCAGGGATGCAAGGATGATTCTATCCCTAAGAGCATCAGGTCAACAAGCTATTTGTACCCCGGATTTTCCCTGACACTCTGAACCGATCGGCCCCTTCTTTGGGATGCCATGTTGCTTTCGGGGGAAGATTACCACGAAATGCGGGGGGTGGGGGACCGAGGCGTCGATGCTGTATACGAATGGTGGAATTATTCCTCCATTTCCCCGGATTGCATCTTTGCCCTGAGTTTGAGGAGAGGGCATCATTAATTGGAAGAAACTCAAGGGAGCTGCTTCGGGGTATTTGAGAGCGTCGTTGCGCCAAAGAGGGGACACTTATCCCGAGCGAGTTGGAGCTGAAGCCATAAGAAGGGAATATTTCGATGAATTCCTCTCATAGCAACCAGACCACAGATAACTTTATTTCCTGTCGTGTTTCTGCGTTGTAGTGAGGACTGAGACTGAGACTATGGATGATATGCTCGATGTTGTCAACACGAGGAGTCTTATCCCTAAAATAGACTGCCTGCATAATACGAAGTATGTGCATACTGTCCCTTTATTGCTGGATGATCCTAGCTAGATGATCCGATTACATACGAGGAATCCTACGAATGGTATGGACAAGAGGTCCATCGCGTAAGGTTAAATAGAATAAGCGTTGATACCGATTCGACGGTCCACTTTGCCTTGCTGACTTGGTGGACTCCATACTACTACTGCTCTACCAGTGATATCGATCATATCGTCCATGATCCTATCGATTTCCTATCGATGATATGACTCCGTGTCTAACCGCTTAGACAGAAAGACTGAACGATAAGGGATACATCTACCAGTAGGGAAAGCAGTAGGTGTATATTATCCCTGATAAGACTCCGCTTCCAGGGGTCAAACTGTTAGACTCAACTTAACTTGAGCATTCGTTCCAGAGAAGGGGCCAATGCACACGTGGTATTCTATCCTTTTGCTTCGGAAATGCTGTCTCCACTGTAAATATTCTAGACTTGAGATGAACCGGATGTGGAATTGGATATCCAGTCATTGATGTTAGATTGTATGAGCAGTACATCTAGATCTGACAGTCTACGGAGTAGGATCAACGAAATGGTATTCGGGCGATTCGACCTGCATGAACAACAATCCCTTGCATTTCTTGATGAGCGTCGCCTGGTCGAGTCGGAAACAACCCTTGTCTTGTCCTACCTTGCCCTGTTCTATTTAAAGTCGAGTCCTGGTGTCTTGATGCGCTCCTCCGTTATAGCTCGGCCCAGGGACGCTGAGGCATTAGGCAAAGCACATGAACAGACTAAATTGGGAAATCTGGTAGGGTCGACTGGGTTATCATATGGTGAAACTCAGCTTGAGTGCCATCCAAGGTTACATTCCCAGCAGCCACACGACCGAATTCCAGAACGATTCCCTGCGAACCAACCTCTGATCGATGACTTGATATGCGATACGACGGGCTCCCGGGGACCCCGGTTGACTGGATGCATGCTGAGTGGCAGACTTGCGAGGGTTATCTGTCCAGCCCAGTTGATAACCAGCACGCTAGGACGGTCAGACCAAAAGGGCTTATCTGAAGCTAAGCATTTCAGCCATTTTATTGGCAGACAGGACACGCATGCAGATTGTGGTGGTGTTCTACTAGATAGTCGGTTGGCCTTCTTTATATTACTCGTGTCCCCTGACTGTCCTTCCAGTTGGTCACTGCGAATCTTCTTGATTCTATCGCTTTGGTGTCTTTCTTTACCGGTCCTACCATCACCATGGAGGCTCCCATGTACGAGTCTTCTAGTAGCCACAAAGGCCCTCATGAGAAGGAAGGAGCCATCCATTCGACTGTAGACGTCGACCATGGCGCCGACACCGACCTCCACCGCTCCCTGAGCACCCGCCATCTGACCATGATCGCGCTGGGCTCTTCGATTGGGATGGGACTATGGCTGGGAAGTGGTACCTCGCTGGCCAACGGTGGTCCTGCCGCCATCTTCATCGGATACCTGCTCAGTGGGACAATGATCTGGGCGGTTTCGCATTCCATCGGGGAGATGGCGATTGTCTATCCGCTTCCCTCGGCCTTTGTGCAGTGGTCCTCCATCTTTATCAGTGAGGCGGCTGGATTCACACTGGGTTGGACCTACTGGTTTCAATTCTTCATCACCTTGGCCAACGAACTGCAGGTGTGTCTTCTTCCGTGCTTGTCGAATGCTAGAGCTGACTGCAGCCATAGGGTGTGGTTACCGTGCTCAACTTCTGGACAGACAAAGTGCCTACGGCAGCGTGGATCAGTATCTTCTGGGTAGTCATCATCTTCGTCAACGTCTGGGCCGTCAAGTTCTTTGGCGAAGTCGAGGTCGCCGCCTCGTCAATCAAGTTCTCCTGGATCATCGTCGTCATCATCTCCTTGATCGGTATGCCTTCACTCTCTAGCGTGGTTCGAACATCATCTAATTCCGATAGTTGTCTCTGCGGGAGGTGCCCCCGGTGAAGGCCCCATTGGGTTCCGCTACTGGAATGCCGAACCGTTCACCCACGGCTTCAAGGGCTTCCTGTCCGTCATGCCTACCTGCATCTTCGCCATGTCAGGATCCGAGAACACTGCGCTGGTGGCCGCCGAGACCAATAACCCCCGCAAGTCGGTGCCTCGCGCGGTCGGATCGATCTGGCTGCGTCTGTCGCTATTCTACATTCTGGGGTCGTTGATGGTCACAATCACGGTCGATCCTCACGATCAAAACTTGTTCGGTGCGTCGGGTACCAACGCCTCTCCCTTTGTCATTGCCTACCGTAACGCGGGACTGGAACCACTGGCGCACATCATGAACGCGGTCGTTTTCATTTCGGTTGTCTCGACGGGAAGTATCCAGGTGTATGCGGGCTCTCGCACGCTGATGGGTCTTGCGCATCTGAAGATGGCACCAAAGGTACGTACTTGCATCCACCGTGGTATGGTATCCTCGATCCCAGCTGACTTGTTACAGTTCTTTGGCAAAGCAGACAAAGTCGGTCGTCCGATCGCCGGTTTGGCCCTCACCCTGGTCATCGGCGGTGGTCTGGCCTATCTGAACGTCGACAACAGCGGTGCCGAGGTCTTCACCTGGTTCTCCAACCTCACTTCCCTGCTCACGCTCTTCGGCTGGGGCATGATCTGTCTGTCGCATCTCCGCATGCGATACGCCTGGAAGGTCCAGGGCCGGTCGCCCTCGGAGCTGCCTTGGAAGTCCTGGACCTACCCCTTCGGGGCCATCTGGGGTCTCTTCTGGTGTGTGCTGCTCATCATCGTCGAGTTCTACCTGAGTGTGTGGCCCCTGGGCGGCAAGCCGACGGCGAAAGGCTTCTTCGCCAACTATGTCAGCGTGGTGGCGATTATTGTCCTCTACATTGGAGCCATGATCTACTACAAGGGGCCGTTCCTGAACGACGCCAAAACGATTGATCTTGATGAATTCCGCCGGTTCTACGTCGACCATCGTGATGAGGAGGCCAAGGCTGAGAAGACCGGGGTGAAGAAGTACCTGTCCAAGGGGATTGGACTTGTGTTCAACTAGGCACTGCCACTGGCCACAGGCGGGGTATGCCTGCGTATATAGTAACGCATCACACTTGGGCAATGCAATTGTACAGTCTCATCTCAACCAATATACATCCTGTTATGCAAATAATGAACCGAGCTCGATCGGACCGAGGCATGTGCGGGGTCGAAATGCGGAGGCGATCAACGCCCATATTAAGTCTGATTAGTGGTAGTAGTATGAGTTGTATGGCATCGATGTATATAGCCAAGTCAACAGGATGAACTTTGATCTTCCTTCAGAACTCATCGCTCATCTCAACCACCTCGACTCCTTTATCGAATCGACTATCCTCCCCCTCCAGCATGCCAACGACAACAACCGCTTCTTTGACCACCGCCGGGAGTACGCTCGCACGGACTGGGCGAGGGGTGGACTGCCGATGAAGGAATGGGAGGACCTGCTCAGTATGTTTCATGCACGACTAGATGAAGGTCGAAGCTAATTGCACCAGACCAAGCTCGAATCCTGGCCGACCAAGCCGGGTTCTACCGATTTGCCCTCCCCCAGGTCTACGGAGGCCAGGAACACCCGGACACTAACCTCTGGATGTCAGCCATCCGCTACCATCTGGCCTCACATCCCGTCTACGGAGGCGGCCTGGGTCTCGCCAACGACCTGCAAAACGAACACAGCGTCGTCGGCAATTTCCCCGACGTGCTCATGATCCAGCATTTCGGCTCGGAGGAACAGCGCCGCACCCTCATCCCCCAGCGTTTGCGCGGCGAGTTCCGCGCCACGTTCGGCCTCACGGAACCCGACCACGGCAGCGATGCGACGTTTCTGGCGACCGTGGCGACTCGCGTCGGCGACGGGTTCGAAATCACCGGTCGCAAGAAGTGGCAGACCGGGGCACACCACTGTACGCATCTGATCATCTTCGCAAGGACGTCGGGGACGCCCGGGGCGGCGAAGGGAATCACCGCCTTCTTGGTACCCCGGGAGACGCCCGGGGTCAGAGTCTCCAGCTATGAGTGGACGTTCAACATGCCCACCGACCATGCGACAGTGGAACTGGACCAAGTGCGCGTGCCTGCGTCGGCGGTGCTAGGTCCCGTCGACCAGGGTCTGGCCATCGCGCAGACATTTGTACATGAGAATCGCATCCGACAGGCGGCCAGCTCCTGCGGGGCGGCCAAGTACTGTCTTGACCGGAGTATCGAGCGGGCACGCAGCCGGAAAATCTGGGGGGAGGGCAAGACCCTGGCGGATAACCAGGCCGTTCAGTTCCCGGTCGTCGAGCTCATGACGCAGGTGGAGATGTTGCGGCTGCTGATTCTGAAGACCAGCTGGGACATGGACCGGATCGTCGCGGCTTCGAGGGAGGCCGGAGACGGAGTGCCGCCGTGGGTGCAGATCGAGAGGAAGTTGAGTGACAAGGTCGCAATGTGTAATTTTTGGGCAAATCGATTGTCTTGTCAGGCGGCGGATCGAGCCATTCAGGTTAGACTCGGCTCCTTGAACAATGACGCCTGCTAACTGACTGGTAGATCCATGGTGGCGATGGGTACTCGCGCCATTATCCGTTCGAGCACATCTACCGGCACTTTCGACGATATCGCATCACGGAAGGGGCTGAAGAGATTCAGATGCGCAAGGTTGCTGCATATCTATTCGCATTCAAGGGGCCAGAGAAGGCGAAACGAGCGCAACAGGGCAGACTGTAGTTTGTAGCATATCGCCAGGTAGCTTGAATATTGAGAGAAGATGCCTTAGAGCAACCTGCATGCATAGAAGGCCACATCGATGAGGCCAGACTCAATTTTTCGCGTTCAGTGAAAAGTCCAATATTTCGAGGTTGAAGTGTTCCTAGAGACTCACTGGTTGGGATCTGTGAGTGGATTTTCGTAGTGGTGAGACCAGAAGCTTACTGAAAACGTGTCTGATTGTCTGTCAGAAATATGATTATAACGGGTCATGGAGTACCATTTCTGCTATTATGCTCTGATATAGCTATACTATTGCCAACTGCGCGAACAGGAGGTGTCCGCGTCATATCAGGAAAGGATAAAATGCGATGCGATCGATGGTTGATAATCAGCCAGATTTACGGCTTCAGATGGATGGACTGTCAGCACTAATAAACGAACGTCCTGATTGGTTAACCAAATAAAAGCTCCTGTCATAGAGTCTTTGATATTGCCACCCACTGGCCCACTGCTGATACGAGGTAGACACTGCTGTACTACGTAGTGTCCATAGCTAGCTGACATTCGCGCTAAATATAACAAGAACGTGTCAGCTTCAGGGAATCAAAGATACTCATCTGATGATTCATCTTGCTTGTTCATCAGTCTGAGCTGGACTAACCATGATATCCGCCGTCTGGCCGCACACTTCTTACGCGGAGGATCAGCCTCTTCCGCACCTCATTCTCACCACTCATGTCCTCGATCGCGGCTTCCAAGCGGGTTCCGTAGTCGGATTGGCTGCTGGAATCGTCCACGTCGGTTTGACTGCGTTGCGCTCCACGGCCCCCAACTTCCGCATGTCAGCCAGCCTTCTCACGCGATCGACTGGGTTCGGCGGCATCGTCGGCTTCAGCAGCATGGCACTCATGCTTCCTGTTCGTATGGCGGGAAAGGAGATAATCGAATGGCAGGATCGGAGCTGGAGGCTCCTTGAGAACAAGGGACAGATGGAGGTCGATACTTGGAGTACGATGGGGGAGCTGTTGGGAATCGGAACGACTACGGCGCTCGTGAGGAAGAATGGAATGTTGCTGCGAAGGCCAGGCTTTGTGAATATTATAGGGGGCGCAGGACTTGGGGGGTTGGCGGGCATTATCGGGTATATGGGATGGAGGTATGGCGTGAATGGAGGGCATACAGACTGAATATGAGGCAGAAAGCTGGGGATCCTATATACTGTATAGGCACAAAGTAGGAAGAAATTACAATGATCATGACATCTCTCCATCCTCACGGAGTTGACGCTCTTCATCCGGAGTCCTGAATCCTTTCCACATCATTGCGATCTCAGGCAATGAGACGCGTCTTGGCATGCGCCCGTCGTTTGCTTAGCAAGTAGATCCTCGGTTAAACAAGCTGCGATAAAATTGATCTGCAATGATTGACGGAGGGATGTAGGCGCATTCTACTCCTGGAGGACGACGATCCATCCAAATCCTGTACCTAATTGTGAGGTTGATATGCGGATAGCAAGACCTTGATCGTCTCTGAATGCGCAGCTAACCGGGTATAAGTGTGAAAAGGAAGCAGAACAATTATAGAAAGAGAAATTATACCGTATGGGCTTGTATACACATACACTCGATCGACTGACTTCATGCAGCAGCTGTCTGTCATATGTGTATCCCCGGATTCAAGTATATATATCTGCGACGAGTGCCCAGAGATATCAATCCATGACGTGAAAACCTGAGATAGTTGAAGAATGAACCTTGACTTACTTCGACCTGAGGAAGACTTCCTTCCAGTCGACAGTCCAGCATCTCAGAAGTGTTCTTGTTTTCTCTTCTACAGCAAGACTCCTTCCCCTGTGCCTGAGTGCCTGAAAGTCACATGACCGCATTGCTCGGTAATCCGCATAATCTAGTGCATAACTGCGTCATATGCCAAGCACAACCCACCGGTTTGCTCAGTTTGCATTCCCAATCATGTGATGCAAACAACAGAGCCATGGATGAGCTGGACACTGCCAACTTGTCAACACCCAACATGTTTCAACCTTTCATCCTTCTGTTTCATCTTTCTGACATGGCACGACCTATCTACCACTTTGAATCACCACTGGACAATGCTTTCTGATACAATCGCTTTGTGAAAGGAATAAAAGTGATGCTGCCGACAATGATCCACCACCTCCGACGCAGATATCCACACCCGACCGGCCGTGAGCAGTTGGGCCGGCAAGGCGAAGCGAAAAGTCCCCACTGGTGCAAACAGCGGTGAACTCCCTGGCGCGAATCATCATGGCGGTATGGCACGATTTGATCGACTTAATCGACGCGTTGGCCGCCGTTGGCTGGTCGCATTGATTTTCCTTACCTGTCCGGGAAGTTGTTTACAACGCGATGCGGTGCACGTTCTCTGAGCTACCTCGGCGTCGACACCATCTGGCAGTTTGCGATGGGTAGCGATGAGGAGCTCCCACCTTTGCTGCATGCTCATTGGCAGCCTGGAGAGCATACTCAATCAAAAGATAAAGACCCAGTGAAAATTTGCGACCATGGGGCCTCACGATATCAGACTAAGTTTTGGTAAACAAAGCCAAACTGGTGTGATTTGAATTTTTCATCAGGCCTGAAGCTGGTATTTAGACCTGCCTCCATGCCCTCCTTCCGTTATTTTCTCCATCGTACGCAATCTTCTCTGTCAGAAGATGGACCTGACCATCATCCGTTCCATGTCGTCGCGGTTTCCGTGGTCTCTTTCCTCCCTCCTATCCCCCCGCAAACCTCAGGCACTGGCATCGGCATCGGTGTCGGTCTCAACGCAGACCGTACCCAATAGCCGACCGCCATCTGTCAAGGTTATCACACCGTCTCCCGAGGAAGAATTACAAGCTCGTCGGGAGATCGCCCGGAGGGATGCGGAGGACTGGCTCGAGAGCCTGGTCGGGCAGGACAATGTCAAACGTCGGTTGAATGAGATTCAAACATGGATCAGCATTTGTCAGAGACAAGGGAAAGATCCAAAGCAGGAGTGGTACAATGTTGTCCTCGAGGGCAATGAAGGAACGGGTAAAACTACTGTCGCCCGCATATATGCCAACATCCTCTTTTCGACCGGCATCACCGACATGCCGACCTTTCGAGAAATCTCCGGAGCCGCGCTGGCCGCGCAGGGACCCGAGGGCCTGAAGCATTTGATCACCAGCATGGTCGACGCCGCATCCCCCTCGGCACAGATTGTTGGAGTCTTGCTCATCGAGGATGCTCATCTGCTGACAACGTCCTCTCCCACTCGCAGTCAGGAGATCTTCGATGGCCTCTTCGAGGTGATGGAGCGTGCGACCGGACGCGTCGTCGTCGTGCTCGCCGGTCACCCTCCACACATGGAGGGGCTTGTTCGGTTTCAGCCCCGACTTGAAAGAACAACCTGCTGTACTCTGCACTTCACCGACTTCAGTTCCAATGACTATCTCACTCTGCTGGGCCAGTCGCTGCAGGAGCGTTATAATGGCAAGATCGAGGTGGCCGGTGGCCTTGACGGTCAGTACATGCAAATGGCCGCTCGTCGACTTGTCCGTGCGGCCGCCGGAAACGGTCCGAGAAATGTGCATGCGGTGCAACGTCTGCTCGACAACATCACTCTTCGCCAACTCCAATCGCTCATGGCCCAAGAGCCGGACAATCTGGAAGAGGTCGATACATTTTCCTTCTCGCCGGAAGATCTGCTAGGTCCCAGACCGGCCGATGTACTGGCCAAAAGTCGGGCTTGGGCAGACCTGCAGAAACTTGTTGGACAGGAAGCGGCCAAGGCATCAGTGGGTGAAGTTTTGGACACAATTGAGGAGAATTATTGGAGGGAATCCCGGAATCAGAGACCGTTCTCCGTTCGAGTCAACCGTATCTTCGTTGGACCACCAGGGACTGGCAAGTCCACGGTGGCGAGGCTGTATGGGCAGGTGTTGGCAGATGTGGGTCTCCTGAGTAGCGGAGAAGGTGAGTTGTCTATATTCGAAACTGAAACGCAGCACTAACAACGAAGGTAGTGGTCGAGATGCGTATCTCGCAGAGACCCGACGGCTCTCAGACGGTCAAAGACCTCCTGGATACCTCCATCGGCAAAGTTCTCTTGGTCGATGTGTCTGATCTTGATGACTCGTCCCGTACCTTGCTGGACACTCTCGTCACTCAATTGTCGCTCACTTCTCGCCACGATCGCTGTGTGATCCTGGTTGGAACTAGCAGCAGCATCGAGCCTTTGATTCAGCAAAAGGATATCTTAAAGGTTTTCAGAGAGCATCACATTGTTCATTTCCATTCTTTCACCAAAGAGCAGCTGCGGCAGATTATCGAAATGAAGCTGCACGACGAGGGAGTCCATGCCACCCCTGAGGCGCTGGACGACGCCGTCGAACTTCTCGAAATTGCTCGCATGCGTAAGGACTTTGATAACGGACGAGCAATTGCTCACCTGCTCGGCTCAGCTCACTCTGCGTACGAACGCAGCCGGTCCCAGGGCGACCTCGGCCAGTCACAACTCAATCGGGTTCTTGTGCCTGAGAATTTTGAAGGCGATCCTTTGTGTGGCAAATCCAAGTTGGATTTCCGCGAGGAGTTGAAATACACCCTCGTCTCGGACGATCTCATCACTTTGCTGGAACGCTACTACCATGATTTGAAGGCTGCCTGGTTGCTAAACGCTGACCCAAGCCGGCGTGTTCCCCTTGCAATGATCTTCAAGGGCGCCTCTGGAATCGGAAGGAGAACTGTCGCACGGTTGATCGGCCGCCTATACTATGACATGGGGGTGCTAGCCTCTGGAAAATTCGTGGAATGCTCTGCAACCGATCTGATCCCCTTGGACGCCCGCTCCTCGTCGACCCAAGCACGCTCGCTTTTGAACCGTGGGCGTGGGGGTGTGTTGTTTGTGGAAGATGCTCACCGGCTTAGTGAGATGGAATCCGCTGCTCAGACGATCAATGATTTGATTTACCTTATGCCCAAGTACTCTCGCGACACTGTGGTGATTCTGGCTGGATCTGGCCCTGAAATGGACCAGTTGTTGTGCAACCAGCCCCGCCTTTCGAGCCTGTTCCAGGAAGAGGTTGTCTTCAAGAGTCCTACACCTCGTGAGTGCCTCCGTCTGCTTGACCAGCGCCTCGAACAAGAGAAGATCCCTGGCTCGCGGCCTTTCCTCACTGATACTCGGACGGAAACATACCGCGAATTCACACGCGCTATGCAAACTCTTTCGTTGTTCCCTTGCTGGAGCAATGCCCGCGATATTGACGTCCTGGCCATGTGGATGGTGTCGTCTGTTTTGCGCGCAGTCCCGCTGGACGGTGACTGTGTCTCTGCCCCTCAGTTGACGGAAGAACAAGCCATGGCGTGCGTGATCAAGATGTATAACCTCAAGCGCGATCGCCTTCGTTACAACCAGGATCCTAAGGTGAAATCGCTGCCACGCAACCTTTCGCAGCCGAGGTCTTCCCCTTCCGTCAAGAGCGGCGTCAGATTTCCCGTCTAGGGATAACTTGACATCGCCTTTTAACTCATCTTTTACCTCAACTTTCTTTAACCTTACGTTGTTATGATGACTTAATGTGTTATGTCTCATGTACCAGACTGTCCTTGATTGCTTTGCATAGGTGGAGCTCTGCTTTTTTCATGCCATGAGGTTTTTCGCCTCCATGGGGTCAACATTCGCTTTCGACGAGCATCACGATTCACGTATTTCCTGTTCTGCCATTCGCATTGATTAATGATGTACTACGACCAGAATGATTGCATTTGATGATTTATAATGTGTATGACATGTCATAGTCTAGAGACTGCTATCCCTTCACTCATCCTCCGCCTCCAATTTAAATCAACCTGTTTCAGTCAGTTCATGCTTATGTGCTAATTCTCAGTATTTCCTCCTGACTTACATCTGCAATATGATCGTATCCCAGCGCTTAGGCACTAATTCTGGATCTCTCCATGCCAGCGCTTCACCTTCGGGGGTCGAAACCATCTGCCCATCGTGCAGGTGATAGAGGTATTGTTGCAAATTTCTCGGTCTACAACCATTTTCGTCCGCTGCTTACGACATACTTCAAAGACAGAGTGCATGGCGCTTGCTTTGCAGATACTCGGGGGAGTCTTGGTGACATTTGGGCTGTTTGGAAGTCGAGAGAGACATTCGATGGGGACGGCTCCGTCTTCACAGGTTGAATTTTTCGCCGCCACGCAGGACATAGTTCACTGAATTCTGAGCGTAGTCCGTGCTCCATTGTCGACCGACGGAACTCACACTGGACTCATTGCCCCTTTTCCTTCCCGTTGGTTGTGTTTAGAGGGGTGCTCTGTCCTGCCATCCGCCGTCTAACGCAATCTTCAACCGCGGTCCTAAGTCCGTCCTCAAGCCCAACCAGAGGCTTATATCCGAGTCTTTTCTTCGCCTTGTCGATGCAGAAATATCTTGTCATGCAACTGAGCCGAACTTTGGTCCTTGTCAGAGGTGCTTCGCCTAGGCGAAAAGCCCAGAAGACCCACTCCAACAGTCCTGCCAGCAGTAACGCCCATGGTCGACTGATCACCCATACTTGTTCCGGCCGCGTTGTGTCCCCTGCATATCCCCAAACCAGGCGCGTAAAGTCCCAGAAGCATCGAGGTTCGTCATTGGTGATGAAAAACCCCATCCACCTTAACGTCGTCCCCAGGCGGCTCTTTTGGGCATCCGACCAGCGCGGCGGCAGCAAGGTAGTGACTGTATGCCACGTTCGTGTTCTCGGTAAAGTCGAACAAGTTTTTGTTATCGCCAATCTGCACCTTCGTCTGGCCTCGGAAACAAGCGTCCAGAACACCAGGGAGCACGACCAGGTCGCCGACACCAAAGATGCCAGAAGGCCGGATCGCGCAGGTCAGGAAATGGGGCGAGGCGTCTCCCGATCGACGATTCTGGGAAAGTACATATGTCTCGGCGAGAGCTTTGGTATGCACGTAGAATTCTGGTTGCTGGTCGCCGAGGATGACGGGGAAGGTCTCATCGGCATTCTTCAGATCGGTCTTGGCGTCGCTGATGACGCTCGCAGAGCTTGTGTACACGAAGGACTGTGTTCCAGATTCTTTTGCGATCTGGACCAGGTTCTTAGTGCCCTCGACGTTGACTTTGTACATGATATGATCTGGTGTGTCGAATTTGGGACTGGCGGTGTGAATTACCACGTCGGGTTTCGCTTCATGGACGATCTGTCGCATCGCGTCGACGTCCGTAAGGTCTCCTAGATGATATGTAACGCCATTCAGACGATGAGAAGGCGGTCGGAGATCAATTGAGTGTAGGCTTTTGCAGCCACGCTGCGAGAAGAGCTGGAGGATCTGGCTGGCAAGACCACCGCTGCCACCGGTCACGAGAACCGTGCTTAGCCTCAAGGGAGAACGCTCTTCAGCCAGGGTAAACATGATTGCCGATGGTAGGTATCTTAGTATAAATGTATTAGGGAATTAGCATGCCATAAATCTAGTGGGCATGTGGGTACAGTACAGTTTGACTTATCCATGGATGTATATTGTATACCAGCACAAAGTACAAGGAGTGGATCTAGAGATTGCGTAGATCCTGGTCACCTCCAGCCCACCCCTGAACCCGACAAGATCGCACATCATTGTTTTTGGTTATGTAGCCATTTGAGTGCGGTGAGGTATGAGGGAGGTTCCTGCTCCCGGCAGGCATAACGAGCCACTCCTCTACCGTCGAGGCCTTCCACACACTGGTGCTGCGAGGGAGAAGCGTATCTAGAAGGAGGACATGCACAGCGACTGGAACAACAGCAAAACCCACAGCGCATCTTGCGGCGACTAGTGTGCTGCGCAGCTGTTGTAGGTGGTTCCCCTCGCCAAGATGGAGGCCAGAAAGACCGCATCTATTCAGTTGGGATCGAAAGTCGCGGGATGGATCAACGGATGGGCCATGTTAAAGCGTCTTAAGAATACATCACAATATTCCTGTAGCGCACTCAGAGAGAGCAATGGGGAGTCCAGCGGGGTGGATTGGCCGACGATCCCCAGCGGCTGGGCCAGAAAGACAAGCCGTAGGAATCCTTGGCGAGCTTCTTCCGACAGACGAAGAGAATGGTGCTGAGGATCAAACGAAGTATGGGACTGCCAAGCACCAATCTATATCGAGAGTTGTGCTTTCCGCTTGTCCTGACATGCAGCTCTGATATGTTTGCTGGGACATGGATGATGAGCCGTCACCGATGCCTCCTCCCCGTTCGACAAAAGATGCTGCCTGCAGAAGCGCTGACGAGCCATCCTGTGGGAAGTTCCCTATTTCGACATTAGGATGCCGTTGATGCTGTTAACAAGGTTGCCTGCCGTAACAGGAAGCCTAAAGCGCTCTCCATCAGCATGTTTCGAGAGATTGATGCCAGACTAGGAGTCGCATCACCAGGTACAGACAGCGCTGTCCTCCTCTCCAACAAGGAAATTTTTCAGAAGAGCCTCCGTGACGTCCGAGGCGAGCATGATTGGGCTCTATTTGCCACCAGAAAGTTGGCCATATACACACTCGTCATCTGGTGTATATGGTTCACTATTGGTGAGTAACCTCAAGCGCTGTCCAGAAAGAATGCCAGTGACCGACTCAACAGGCATCGCGTATCCCCTCTATTTCAACTTTCCGCCTTCGTACCTTGCAAAGATTCACCGAAGGCTCATCCCTGTACCTTACATACCGCAACTACTGTATCGCGTCGGCCGCGTACTTTGTCACGACCTTGATGGGTTGAGGCTGGATGATGGCCGTATCCTCGATCGTCACAGGTGTCTTTCTGTTGGCTATGTGGCGTCAAAACTTCAGCTGCAATGTTAGCTTTCGCCTGCGTGACAGGGCTGCTGGGGCATTTTGGTAAGTTCCATAATACATATGTTTAGCCGGATCAAGTCCCCATCGAGGAACTGGAACGGGAACAGCAGCGTCGCTTCTCAGACTAGGACTCATTGCCAGTCTGATATCATCACATACCGGATTTACCACAGCCCCAATCTATGCCAGCGTGGGTGGTGGTGGGCGCATTACGCTTTGGGCTGCCGTTCAAGACTCACAGTCACGTCGCTATCTGAGTTGCACGATCTTTCGGGGTTTAGCCACCTAGTCTAGTCACCGGCAACGAAACAAAGAAGTTGTGAGAGACATAGGCTTCATAGTATATCGGCCGAGTGCTCAACGGTCAGATACCCTGTTAGCAGCGGGCCTTACAGGTTGCCTGCCAAATGGCATCCAATACCTTGATATAAAGTTAATCGTCCTTCCCCTCGTATGACATCACCTGGAAGGTGTGTGTAACAATAGGCCAGGGCTGAATACCATCTCCGCTCTGAAAATCGAAGTATGATATCCTCTCTCTCGAGAGTGTTGAGATGTAACCCGCCGCAAAAGCTAACAGAGCTTGCCAGTGCCTTCAATCCAATGACAGTCCTGAACTCCAGCCAAACCCATTTCGCGTGGCGGAGTGAGTGCAAGGGCGATACGGGCAATGTGGGATAAGGTTATGATGGTGAGCCACAATTCGCATATGGACAGATGGATTGGTTCACAGTTTGTTACCCCGCATTTTCATGGCACTTAGCTGGAGAACAAAGCGGAGAAACTCAGGAAACTCTGGGGTAACTGGTCGTCGAAGATACCTCGGATTAAGGGACGTGGATAGCTTGGGCCGCTTGGTATCTGAGCTTCTTTCCCTTGGCAGTTCCACAGGCAGTAGTGTCTTTTTCATAGTTTACAGAAAGCAGTCATTCGTCAGTCATTGACTGTAAGAGTCTGTATGCCGATTAGGAAGGTGACTGAGTGATCATATCATGATGCGAACAAACCGTCCGCACAGAGTGACGAGAGTATTTAAATGCAGCTTCATCCCTGTCTATCATTCTCCTGACAAGTCTGCGCCACCAAACTTGGCTTGAGGATAACCATTGACTGCTCAATCTATCACAATGAGGAACCATATGGCCGCGGGGTGGTTCTACTCCCCAAGTCAGATAGGCCGGTATATTGCCACTCGATTCACCAGTCTCAAGCCTCCAAGGGTAGGCAGCTTATTCTCCCACCATATCTGCTTTGGTATCTTAGCTGAGAATGTTCCAAGAACAGAATCCGCAATCCTATCTCCGTTCTGCGAGAACTGACCACCCACCAATGGCTCATGTTCCTTGTTGGCTTCTTGGGATGGACCTGGGATTCATTCGACTTCTTCACCGTGTCCATGACGGTAACTGAGATTGCAAAAGACTTTGATGTCTCTGTCACCAGTGTTACCTGGGTAAGTCAAGTCCCCTTCCATCTACCCTCAAAGCAGGCCACTGACATTTGTTGCTCGTCTGCTAGGGAATCACCATCACTCTGATGCTTCGATCAGTCGGCGCCGTGATCTCTGGTTTCTTTTCCGATCGATACGGAAGAAAATGGCCGTTCATATTCAATTTGTCAACTTTTATAGTCCTTGAACTTGGTTCTGGATTCTGTCAGACGTTGCCGCAGTTTCTCGGTGTCCGCGCTCTGTACGGAATAGCAATGGGAGGTAGGATCGCCCTGATAGACAATATCCCCTGCCGGTTTGTTGACGGCTCTATTCAGGTCTCTTTGGCCCGGCTGCGGCCACCGCTCTCGAGGACCTTCCCTACGACGCCCGCGGAGTGCTATCAGGCTGTTTCGAGATGGGATATGCCGTTGGATACCTCCTCGCAGCTGCATTCTACCGGGCCCTTGTTCCCACCACTACTCACGGCTGGCGCAGTCTGTTCTGGTTTGGCGCTGCTCCTCCAGTCCTCATCATCATCTTCCGCTGGATGCTCCCCGAGACCAACCACTTCCAGGTCATGGTTGCAGAGCGCGAGGAGCGCATCCGGCAGGCTCACGCAGAGGACGAGCATGTCCGTGCTATGGGCCTCCGATCGTTCTTGAAAGACTCCGGTACGGCATTGAAAGAGAACTGGGTGCTGATCATCTACCTCGTCGTCTTGATGACGGGATTCAACTCTTGCTCTCATGGAAGCCAGGACTTTTATCCCACCTTCCTGAAGGACCAGGTCGGCCTCGACGCAACCAAGGTCACTGTCATCACGGTCGTGGGTCAAGCCGGGGCCTTTGTCGGCGCGAATTTCTTCGGCTACATCAGCACCTTCTTTGGCCGACGCTTAACCATGATGGTGACCTGTATTATCGGCGGTGCTTTGGTTCCTGCGTACATTCTGCCACGCAACATGAGCTTGATCGCGACCGTCTTCTGGGAGCAATTCTGCGTCGGTGGTGTCTGGGGCCCCATCCCAATCCATCTGATGGAAGTGAATCCCCCTGCCCTTCGCTCCCTTCTAGTCGGATTAACGTATCAACTCGGAAACCTTGCCTCGTCTGCATCTGCTACGATCCAGTCGACGATCGGTTCAAGGTATCCCTTGCCCCCTACTGCCGCTAATAAGAAGCGATTCGATTACGGTAAGGTCATGGGGATTTTCATGGGTGCCGTCTGGGCATATATGCTGTTCTTCCTCTTCTGGGGCCCCGAGATGTCCGCTGAAGAAAGAGACGAGGAAGCAGAAGCAGCCAAGTACCTGGAAAGACTCCGTTCAGAGGGAGTCAGTCTGGCTGAAATTGGAGTCATGCAAGCGAGGAAAATCAAGGGACCCGAGATGCCTCCTCGAGGCAATGATGTCGAGAAAGGGGACAACGCCATTACCGAGCACATCGAGTGAGTGGTAGAAGATCTGGGCATGGTCCTTGTTATCTGCATGCCCTGTAAGAGCTGAGATAAAACGAATTGTTTGTGACTGGTCACATTCCCTATGAAGCACCACTGGCCATAATTGAGTCCATCAGCGGCGAAGGTTAGGCTCCTATTCGAAATGCCATTATCCGTCCCATCCGTTATAAAAGATCGTGACTATAGTTCAGACTCGGTGTATAGTAGAGCCCAAAAACTTCTCCTTGGCCTCTACATTTCATAGTAGAGATGGAGGTGGACAAATCAGTAGATTGTCGGGTGTCGAACTAAGTACAAGCAGATACGCATCGAGAAAATCCAAACCATATTCAGAGCATAAAGACAAAGGATAACAAGTCGCCAGCACACCCTCATTCCACAGGCGAGAGCAACCACTGCTTAGTTTCTGGATCCAAGCATCGTTGCTCCGCCTCCTTCCATTCCTTGATGACCATATCCGCCTTGGCTTGCGACCGTGGTGAGATGCGAGCGGGGAATTCCTCTGGCATACAGACAAACCCTTGGGTCAAACGATCTGCATCAGGCAAGATGGGCTGCCCCTTTTCATCCAATGCTGGCTCGACATTGAAAGCCCACATCATGCGCGAGATTCCCAAGAACAGGCTCCGCTCGGCAATGTGGATCCCAGGGCAAATTCGACGACCAGCACCAAAAGTGAACTGATCTCGCTTGGTGGGATCAGGGTTGGCGGCTGCATCAGCCAAGCTTTGACGATCGTGCTTGTACCGATCGGGATTGAAGACCCGCGGGTTGGGGTGACGCTTCTCGTCCATGTGGATGGCCCACACGTTGTTAATGACACCAGCCCCCTTTGGGATAAGATACCCCATGTACTCGTCATCTTGCGTGACGGCATGCGGTACCGCGCCGAGAATGGTCGTGGGCATCCAGCGCAGGGATTCTTTCATGCAAGCGCGAACATACTGCAGGTCCTGCTCATCATCCATTGTCGGCATGCGATCGGGACCCACGACGCGGTCAATCTCCTCTTGGACCTTGCGTTGCGCCTCGGGGAAGAGCAGCATCGCCTGAACAAACGCATATAGAGTGCTGGAGGTGGTGTCGGAGCCTGCCTCCAACAAAGTTCCCGAGATATATCCGGCCTGGTCGTCACTGAATCCGTCGGACTTTTGGGCCTCGGCCAGACCCACACAGAAGCAGGGCTTAATCTTTCCGTCGCGGATATCCTGTTTTGCTCGCAGCCAGTGGCCTAGATACAGAGCCTTCTCCCGCCGGTGGAGTTCCTTGGCCTTCTTCTGCGTCGGGAGCATAAAGTCCGGCAGCCTTCTCAACCACGGGAAGAAATCAATAAGCGCAGCTGTTCCGGTCTGGTTTATCTCGGCAAACTCAGAGAAGCCGTCAAAAAGCTGCTTCATTTTCTCGTCCTCGTAGGTCGGCGTGCGCCACCCAAAGACCATAGTGGTGGTTAGGGCATTGGAGTAGCGACGAATGCTGTACAGGAACCGCTCGGGCTGAGTGAGAAACTCGTACATCATCTGTTTGTTCTCGAGCATCTGGTAAGGGACGTAGGACTTGGCCGCGGTCACATTGAGGAGAGCATGAACCATTTTGCGAAACTGTAATCTGTTAGGCACATACATGTCTCTATTTCATGATTCCAGGACACGTACTCCTCGCCATACTGGGCCGTATCCCTATCTCGAGTCAGCGCTGCCAATACATTCAGCTGTTCGACATTGAAGACCTACCATCATGAGCAATCGAAGGCCTCCGCTGCATAGCGTTTGGCCGATGTACATTTCCTGTCTGTGCGAGTAGATCGCACTTCGCTTATCCAACAGGGCTTTGACAGCCTCATCGCTCGACAGTACGACCAGGGTCTTGGTCCCGAGAATCAGACTGTAGATGGGCCCGTATTCTTGTGCCCACTTCTGGAACTGCAGATGGGCATCGCGAGTGGGCATCTGCCGGCTATGAGCACGACATTAGAAGAAGATGTGAACAGGATATGATCTCACCTGATGAATGTTACCAATGAGAGGTAAGGTCGGAGGTCCAGGAGGGTAGTTCTTGGGCCGTCGACCTATGGATAGCAGACGGAACACCAGAAAGACAAGGGCTCCGACAGCCCCAAGGAGCACTAAACGCGGCATGGTAACAGATCTAGGACCTCGCGTCTGAACTTGGCTAAATCAATCGATATTAAGAAGTGGCCCTGTAGTGAGCATAATCCATCTGCCCCATTTATAGATGCGAAATCTGGGGTTGATTGTCGGTTACCTAGTGGGATGCACCCCGGATCGGAGGAGGAGGCGGGGGTGTCGGAGGTGGTGGTGGGAAGACGGGTAGTACATCCCACTCGTGGGTTCGGAAATCGCCACTGGTCAAAATATGGTGGCATATTTGAGCGACGATACTAGAACAGGCAAATTATAGTTCACTCAGTGTGATAGAACTGGTTGAGTCGGTCAATCCACAGCGGTGGGCATGTCGCCGAGGTGCACTCTTTGGAACTCCGAAATGAGTTCATTGACTTGGCGCATACTTGTTTGATCGTATTTAGATAGAATGGGATCGCTCTGTTCACTGTCCTCGGGCACGAGTTCTCCTCCGATCGCCTTGTGCTGCTCTGCCTCCGCTGCAGACAGTCGGTCGACTTTGACACTTGCAAGAAGCCAGAAATCGCCCGCGTGGCGACAGAATCCCACTCGCTGCCACATGGTTTCTGCGTCTAAATTGCGCTCATCCACCGTCGAATGCGGCAATCGCCCAATTATTGTGGTTTCATGGAGGTGCCAAATATTCTTGAAGTTTCGCAGCGCGTTATGGGTCCGTAGGAGAAGATGCCCTGCGCTGAAGAAACTTTGATACTGGAATACCAAAGAGTGAATACCTGGGAATGTCAGTATTTTGGGAAAGACGAGAGTCCGGCTACGGAAAGATCACCGACCAGAGACGATCGTGAAGAGATTCAAGGGACCCAGGGCTGCCACGGCTTGTTGCATCTCCGCTGTCAGGTCGTCCATGCACAGAGTCTCGAACAGTGCACGGAAGGAAAACTTCCAACAGAGGCTCGTAGAAGGCATCCAATTCTGAATTGCATCGTAACACTGATCGGCCGTAGATGCTTGGAAACAAGACTCGGGGGCTGCCACGTGCATCTTCATTTCCTTAACAACCATCCGTGGTGGCAGATTGTTGAAAGTAACAAACGCCGTATCCATCAGGAAGACCCAGATAAAAGTCCTAGTAGTAAGTGTTAACTTGCAATCTCTGTACGTCTGCTTACGTCGACACAATACCTGATCAACTCTTCCCTGGCGACAAATTCGTTCCAGTCAAACTCATCCCTGTGTTTCGAGTTGTAGTCGATATGTCGCGCTGTCGTGATATCAAGATCACGAACAATCTGGTATTAATCAGCTAATCGTCCGTGATTCTGGCCTGGCGGCTTACCGAAAGGACGGTGCTAAAGCGATGTCGACGAATGCGCTTCTTGCTGACATCAGTGCCTTCCCAATTTTGGTACAAGCAGACCATGTAAGCGGCCTGAAGAGCTTGGATCTTCTGTCTGTCCCGAACAGGGTGGAACGGTGAGACGGGATCCCGGTTGAAGTCATCATCGGCAAAAGCAGCCTCTTCTACACAATTGAACCACATCCGCGCATTGTCGTTATCTTGAAGGTTTGGCGAAACACAGGCCCCTATAGTTGTTCCCGTCAGCACGGGCCACGTGCAATATGAGAGAGCTTGCTTTACCAATAATGGCCATAGATGCCAGAAGAATGGGCTTGGAGCTCGCCGGGTTGAAACTTGGTCGATGGAGGAAGTTCACGTTTGGAGACCAGATCGACCAATAGAGTTCAATATACTTCCGGAGACTGGAAGGAGAGAAGAACTGCAAACATAGTTGCTCAATATCCTGAGACCACGAGATGGTCACACAACTATTACGCGGCTTGATCGTGACGACCTCCTTAAGTAAGAGGAGAATCTGATGTGTCTGGAGCGCCAGCGGGTCATTGAGCCATTGCGATGAGACTCCGTACGAGTTGCTGCTGTCTCGATTGCTGGATTGGTCCACATTAATGTCCCAAAAAGAGGCAGTGAGCCGTTCTTTCTCCTCTATGTTATAAAGGACGTCCAGTCTCTGCTCCAATGTTCCGCATTCAAAGGACGAGACGAAGCCAGTCCGACTGGTGAAAGTGTCCAGGAAATGGAAGAAGTAGGGGCGATCGGCGCTCGTCACAATGAGATCCTCCCCACCCAAATTGAACAAATGTTGCCATGTCTGGTCGGAATATTGCAGAAGATCGAGATCAGGACAGGCGAGAGGGTCGAATCCAGTGCTGTCCAGCCGCTCGTCGTCTTCGGTGCGGGGCGTCCACAGATCAACACTCGCCGTTGCCAGAACACTACTATCACGACCTAGAGAAGCTGACGTGGAAGCTAGGTCCTCGACCGCCAGTGTATCATTCTTCGGTGTGGAATAAGCGCACTCCACTCCCTTCTTGGAACAGTTCTGGCACGGTCGGGCGTTGTTGCACGCTTTCTTTTGACGCACACAGCGATCACAAGCGCGTCGGCGCGTCGCTCCCTGAGAAGCGGTGGAAATAATGCGGTCGCAGGTTCGGAGGTGTCGTCGTAGGACATCGGCTCGCTGGAAGGTACTCGGACAGGCCGGGCATCGATGGGGGCGGTCGGCGGAGTGGGAACTGCGATGGCGTTGGAGATGCTCCCGTCGCTTGTAAGATTTGAAGCAGATGGAACACTGATGAGGATTGATGGCTAAGCTGACATGAGTTGTTGGAGATTTCATCCTGAATTCATTTGTTTCATTTTCTTTGAAGACTTGATGCGACGCACAAGCGGTACGGACTATGGGAGTAGAGATAAACGGAAGATCGGAGGAGGAGAACAGCCGGGGAAGTTTTGCGGGGAAATGGGCTCATTATGTAAGCTCTGCATAACAGCAGGTATAACGCATATCTAACCAATCATAGGCAATCCTTGTGCAGGTCAACTAATTGTACACAAGCGCAGTACTTTCTGGTCAGAACTTGTCCGACATATTCTCATTTCTGGTGACAAAGGTCTTTTTGTATCTGTTAACTCTCTTATATAAAAGCCTCGGTTGACGGGGGCATGTTTTACTTGCAAGATTGACTGTAGCGTGGTTGAAATGTATATTCGTTTGTGGACGTGGGTATTTTAGTTGTGGATAAGGAATACTCTTGGTGTAATAGAACTACCATCACTGCTCCAAGAGAAAGCTATTCAACTTGTAGAATATGGCTTTAGAGTATATATGAAATGAAATTACTTATAGTCGATTTCGAACACGATGACTACCTATTATGCCTTGAGCTTCCTAATCTAGTCCATCCTGTAACACACCTACGCATATTCTCTAGAAATAGTGTGTACCTAGTAAAAATAAAAGGTAATTCAGACCGAATCAGTCTAGGAATTGGAGCGTTTCCATCAGGTACTTTACAGCGGATTAGAGAGTTCTAGGCTACGAATGCCTGTCGCATAGTGCTTAGGGCTTTTCAGCCACTGTCCGCAGCCAGATAACAATCAATCCTTGTGGTCGAAGCCGACGAGAGCTTACATGCATGATTAGTACAAGTACTCTCGAGGCCATGCTCTTTTAAAGCATCTGGACCACCGGGAGTCAACTGCTTCCTACTGAGCACTTCCAGAGGAGTCAACCACGCCCACAAGATGCTAAGCTTCAACACCTCCCTCCAGTGGCCAGCCATCATGAACCCGGCTATCTTGATTCTCTGCCTGGCCATTTGGCTGGTACGAAAGATTACTCGCCGTCGAGACTTCTACAAAGACCTGGTAGGTATATAGGTATGCTTTGTATATCACCCAAGAGAATGAATATTGAACCTTCGCAGCCCAAACCACCGCACTCATGGTTCTTTGGCCATCTCGCCCTTTTCCAACGCATCGTCAAGTCATTACCTGATAACGCACACCCGCATGCCATTGTGCTCAAGATCCAACAGAGATACAAACTCCCTGGAGTCTTCTATCTCGACAATTTCCCGCTGTTCGCTCCGATGATCATCATCTCCGATCCTACCGTCGCAACCAAACTCACCAATGCAGAGAACCTCCCGCGCCATTCCGTCGTTCAAGATGTGATGGGAGAACTGGTCGGACAGCACAGCGTGTTCTGGAGCAGTGGACCTGAGTGGAAAGAACTACGGTCAATTCTGACACCTGGCTTTTCCACCACCTTTCTCCTGGGTCGGGTCCCTCGCATGCTGGAACACATGCTCATATTTGAGGACATCATGGTCAAGATGTCCGAGTCTGGGGAGTCGTTCCCGATCCTGGGAAAGCTGATCTCACTCACCATCGATGTGATTGGAGATTTGATGCTGGACACCCAGCTGGCCGCCCAAAGTGAACGTGGATTCGACCCGATTGTCAAAGAGTTCCGCGCAGCTATGAAGTATACCTGGAAGGGTCTCAACTTCTTGGAGAAATATATCAACTTGCCCAGTCTACGCTATCACTCCCACAAATTAAACAAGCTGCTGGCTGATGCAATCGTACATCGTTACGAAACCCGAGCTTTCGAAGCAGACGAGACCAGGGCTGGCGTCGATCTCTTTCTGAGCAAATACTCTCAGTCCCGAGTAGTCGGGACAGAGGCCGTATTAGACCCGTCCTTTTTGGAACAATGCGTGCACAAGTGTGTTTATCTCCTCGGATATTCCAAAGACATTACTGATTGAAATGTAGTACAAAGGGGATGCTGATCGCTGGACACGATACGACCGCTGGAACTATCGCGGTGAGTTTTCTTCCTGGCTGAAATCTCAAAATGAGATCGAATGACGAATTACCATAGTACTGCCTTTTGGAATTGTTGAAACACCCAGAGATCCTCGAGCGAGTCCGCGCTGAGCATGATGAACTGTTGGATCCCAGCCGGGAGACGACGATTCAGATCTTACGCGAACAGCCACAGAGGCTACACCAGCTCCCTCTGACTACAGCGGTTATCAAGGAGACTCTGAGACTCTACAGCCCTGCTTCAACGATCCGTGTAGCCGGTGACGAGTGAGAATCGCCCTTTTCCCCATTCGCTCCCGGAGTTCTGACCCATCTACCATGCTATCCAGTACGCAGGAAAAACCTACCCAACGAAAGGACACGCTGTAAGCCTTTCTCCACAAAATAGTATTCTGATTATGGAGAAATGCTCATCATCACTCAGCTGTGGGTTGTTCATACCTGCTTCGGACGTAATCCTGATTTTTTCCCCCTGCCGGACACCTTCGATCCGGACCGTTTCCTCGCACCCCCTGGAACCATTCCCAGCGGCGCATGGCGCCCATTTGAGAAAGGACCCCGCAGTTGCATTGGGCAGGGGCTGGCTTTGATAGAGATTAAGCTAGCCCTGGTGGTCCTCTGCCGTCGCTTCGACTTCTCTTTGGCTTATCCTAAAGGAAGCCCCAGCCTCCCCCTCATGGGGGAGCAGGCATATCCAGTGATGGAATTCGTGCCAGTCCCGGCCCGCGGAATGCCAATGACTGTAAGGCTAAGAAAGTAATTTGGGTAAGAAAGGATTGACCAGGATCCGTCTTGTTGGTTTCTTCTTGGTAGATAGATAAAGCGAGTTGCGATTTATTCTCGTACCACTCAATATTCTAGACGCTGAAATTCTCGGAAGGAAATAGTAGCAATGTAAGAATTTAGTTGTATGTAACGTCAATTATTTCATCAGGGCTAAAATACCCTAACCTATGGTGCTAAGCTAGTGCTATGCATGAATGCACCTTGCTATCTCAAGGCAGTGGCCCCCTTACAATCGGCCCGTCATATGCAGACAGAGAGAGGGGCTGTACCTTTCGCTGCTGGTCGATAGTCTCACCTGCATAACGCAGATACTCGCCAAAAGTACCCGGTCTCATATCTGCATCCTCGTTTCCTGGCGCTTCCCAGAAGCTTGCGAGCGGCGGGGCCCGCATATACCCATGTCCGTGGTATAGCTTCATGACCGTCGAGCTGGTCAGCAAGTAGTCCACCAGCGCCTTTGCCTCAGCATGCAACGCAGGATCCACCCCCTCAGCTGTAATATCGCGTGGGCAGGTCAGCATCTGGAACAGTCGGGGAGTGTTCAGTCGGGTGCGAACATCCGCGGCAAAGGCCTCCTGCATGGGCTCCAGCAAGAGAACGTGTTTGCGGATGTACTCCGGGCCATTGAATCCGCTTGCGTCGTCGACGGTGACTTTGATTCTCTCCCAGGCCAATAGATTCACCCAGTAATCCAACAACAGCTCCTCCGTGCCAGGATGAATGGACATGAGCACTCGTGGGTTTGGCTCGGCCGGCACTCCGTCGAAGATAGGATGTCGAACAAGCCCCTGGCTGCTACTGCGCCCTCTCCAGGCTTCCAACATCACCCGATGCCATCTCTGGATGATCTCCTCCCCTTTCTGAGTAACAATACAGAAGTTCTGCATGCTGCCCCAGCTATTCTTGCGATGCTCGTGGGCGAAACCCCCAATGCGGTAGTCGGACTCCGGGTCTTTTATCTTCTTCCACAAGCTCTCCTCGATATCGCCCAATAGCATGACGCCGATATCAAGGTAGATTCCTCCATACTGATATAACAGAGGCAGGCGAACTAAATCCGATACGTGCTGTCCGGAATGGGCTCCAGTCATGTTGCGGTTGACAATGGCCTCGGGCAGGTTACTTGCATCGACATAATGGAGCAGATTAGTCGGAGAGCCTTCCACGTAGTCGAGGACTCGAACTGTCCAGCCAGGTCCCAGCTTGCGGACCCAGCCAATGACGTTTCGCTTCTGCCAGCTATGGAGCTGGTTGAAGCCTTTATCCCAAAAGGCCCAGACGTTCTTTTGAGAAGTCACTTCTGCCGGGGGATTGATCAAAGAAGCGCTGATTTCCTCATCCCTGCGAGTGTCCTGGGTGGAGCTAGGAAGGATGCTGGTACCAGCTGGCAGCTCAAAGTCGTGCAAAGGCATAATGGAGTGTAGTAAAATGAGTAGAAGCGTCAGAGACGGCCGATGTGATTGCGAAAGACGAACAGACAAGCAGCACAAAAAGACGGGCTTTTATGCCTTGACAAGTGTCAGTCAAGCTAGAGCGTGGCTAGGCTAGTAGTGACTGTGGATGACCATTCAAGATTATACACCTGATACCTAGGTTGGCTCGTCTCAGCACTGGTCAGCAGGAGAGAAAGGCTAATCTCAGCCAACATCAATGCATTACGGACATTCTTTCTCCAAGGAACAGAGGCCGTAAAGAATACCAAGACCGGTCTCTACAAGATGTTATAAGCGCTCCCCTTGTCATTATTTCCTCTTTACCATGAATTGCAAAGATCGGACACATCACGGCGATCAAATCATGTTTACACTGTTCATTCTTATGCTTGGTGCGGTTGCCTGGCGGCTGTATACATCCATCAAACATCTGTCTACGATCCCTAAAGAAGTTCCATGGGTAGGAAGAAAAGGCACCTTCTCCTCGTATCTATTATCGCAGATCAAGGCGATACGGAATACCCCCAGTGCAATCAATGAGGCATATAACAAAGTATTCACACTCTATTCCTGTGTATGGCTTATGCTTATACGTTGATAGTACAGCAAGGATGGGGCCATCTGTGCTATCCCATTGCCGTTTAGTCGGCCAGAAATTCTCGTGCCTCGCTCCTTTGTTCGATGGATGATATCCCAAGGGGACGCGGTTTTGAGTCCTCTCCCCGTGCAAGATGAGATTGTCGGTCCGAAATATGTCTTCTTGAACCCGTCCGTTCATGGCGACTATGCCGTCTACAATGTTTTGCGCGCCAACCTCAACAGACAGTTACCCAAGCTGATTCCAACCATCATGGAAGAGCTGGCTGCACGAGTGGATCAGCTCTGGGGGATGGACACCGACTGGCGAGAGGTGCAGTCGCATCCGCTGGTGAGGAATGTGGTCGGGCGAGTTTCTGGCCGGATCATTCTCGGGAGTCCCTTATGTACGTGTTGTTGATCGTGGAGCCAAAGCATCCAAGAAAGTGATGTTGACGTTTGCTGCCAGGCTACGACGAAGGACTGCTCGACAATTTATCCTGTCTCGCCAATTGTGTTTTCCCCAGTGCTCTACTGCTTCGATTCTTCCCCCCTTTCTTGCATCCTCTGCTTGCACATCTGACTACGATCCTGAATTGCATCTATAAGCGCAAGGCACTCAAAGTCCTCACGCCGTATATTCAGCAGCAGATCGACTTACTTCAAACTGACATGATAAGAGGAGAAAAGAATTCTCACAGGGATGACATCCTGACATGGGTCATCGCAGACGCGTTACGCCGAAATGAGCCCCGAGAGGGACTGGTTGATCGAATCTGTTGCCGAGTCTTCACAGTCGTCTTCGCTGCTATTGAAACCACCACTCTGACCATGTCAAACACCGTGTTAGATCTCTGCGCGAGTGATCCATCTTTGGGGGTCTGGGAAGGTCTGGCCGAGGAGGGGCACCGAATGTTCTCTTCCTGTGCAGGCCAAGCGCCAGACCAGGCCATGGTCAACAGTCTTGTGCGAGCTGACAGCGCTCTCAAAGAGACGTTGCGCTTGCGTACCTCGATCAAAGCCCTAGCCATGCAAGTAACAGCCCCAAGCGGGATTACCCTGGACGGAGGGAAATTGCGACTGCCTCAAGGCTCCAGGCTTAGCGTCTCCTCCTGGGGAATCCACCACGACGAGGAAATTTACCCCAATGCGTCCACGTACGACGCTTTCCGCTTCTCACGACCGCGTGAAGGTGGTGAGAGCGCAGCGAGCTTGCCAGATGCTCCCACCAATGATAACGATAGCAAGCATCTCATGGTCTCGGCCAGTGAGACTTATCTCCCCTTTGGAATGGGCCGGCACTCATGTCCTGGCCGATATTTTGCCGCAATCGAGCTGAAACTATTCCTGGCTTATCTTGCTGTCAATTACGATATTGAATTAGCGCGCGAAAGGCCAGCCTTCGTCAGCATTGGGCATTTTCCCATCCCTCCTTTGAACGGAAAATTGATGATTAGGAGGAAGAGGGGTACAGTTGGAGCTGGCGCGGGACACCCAACAGGGATATAGACAGGGGAATTGAGTCTAATATCTCGAGTTCCGTTTGACATGAAGCTATGGACGGTTTGGTTTCCAGGATTCAGTCTAGATTCACATGTGCTGGCAATGTATTCTGTGTATTGCCTGATGATCAGATCAGTTACTCTGGAGCCATGGAAGGGCTGGTCTCCAGTCACACGGTGGTTTGCATAAGGGTTGAGTCAGAGTTTTAGCACGTTTCCTGTCATCCTCGTGTCAACTTGGAACGACCAATTGGGCTTGCATTCCAGGACTCTATTTCAGTGTACTCGATAGTGCTGGCTACAGGCTAAATTAGTTCCGACGGGCTATACAAAGCAGCGCTAATGCAGTGAGACTATGGCCATTGTAACATAAGAAGCAAGCCAAGAGGAACCGTCCTGCTCTAACGGTTTCTTTCCCGCGCCGTTGGCGGAAGGATTACTCCGTGTTATCAGTGCGATAGAATTCGGAGTGAAGCTACTGATTCCATCAGACCGGAGGATCCAGGCCCTTACGATACTGGACCAACGGACCGCGTAGTGTAGAAAGAAGATAAGATCACCATCAAGCCATACGTCTTCTAAATCATCTTTGTGATCAGCATCAGCCTCAACCTAAAGTCTGACTGTACTCGGACTGAAGCACAGGGCTAAAGATAAGAGCTGGCCTTAGCCTCAGCCACCCATTGTTAAGACGTTCTGGCAGATGAGTTATTTGCTTCCGCCAATGACAAAGAAAATCTCAAGACTGTAATTTGTACTAGCTTCTCGGCAGCATTCGCAATTTGCATCTACAGTAAGCGCCGGGGTTGTATGGCAATGATCTGGTCTCAGACTGGCCCAGGCCGACGGACTACGAACGTTGAGATTGCGAGCAGGGATGAGTGCGGGGTGTGATAACCCTGGTAGGAGTGTCTTTCAAGGCAGCGTTGTTTTCTCCTCTCTTTGATCTCTATTATTGGTGCTGTTCTGCCTTGAGAGTTGCCCCTAGAGAAGACACCTGCATGGGAGTCCACGAGCATTATTAGCTCGATAACCAATATTTCCGGTGCCCTAGCGTCTTGATGTATGCAGAATCTGCCATTGGATGTCTTGAACTTATCGGATGTATACTACAAGTATCGGAAACAGGCAGAAGGGTACAATATCTGCTATACTCGCTACCATGACCTGCCCATTACTATCTAGCACCGCATCCACAGAAGGATTGAGGCCTTTATATGCCCCGGTCAACATAAGTGGTAATACGTATCAGACCTAGTCATACGCGAGAAAACACCTCACTTCGATGCTGTACCGCGTAGGAGCATCCTGCACATCTAACCACCGAAAGCTGGTATGAGGAACGATTCGTGCATCGGCATGTTTCGGCGCACTATCGTAAATCTTGAATGCAAGCACCTCATCCGGCTTCTGCTCTGGATAATAGTACCACTGATGCAGCCCCTCCACCCCTCCCATGGTGAGAAAGGACTCGGTCTGATGCGGCGTCCCCTGGTAGGCGACGTGCACTAGTTCATCCGTTTCAGGAACGGTGCGTGCATCCGCCACGGTGAGGGGGTCCCTCAAGATGGTGCTGAGGGGACGCCAGAAGTTGATGACTTGCCATCGTCGCCCTTCGTACTCCTGGTATGTCTGTGGCCGGATTTTCCTGATAAACATCGGGGCGTGAACGGGGGCGAAATCCACATGTGGCCGAAGCACGGGACCATTGTACGAATTGTAATCGGTGCCATATTTGGTGCTGTAGGGGACGTTGCGGACGCGGTGATTGAAGATCATCACTTCGGAAGCGCCGAACCTAGACATGTCAGGATTCAGGAGAACCGGATGAGTGGAATGTCGATGCGTACTTCTCCTTGATCATCTGCATCATGGCTGGATAGTAGACCCGTCTGATACTGTCGTCATTCGAATAGTCGGCATCTGGCTTCGGATGGCTGAAGTACTCGAATCCGTTCTCGTCGACAGTCTTGTCCAGGCCTCGAGCATCATGGATAACGACTGTTCTGTCGTCTGTGAACTCGGGCTTCAGGAACGGCAAATCTTTCTCCGTAGGCTTGACCCCATCCTCTGCTACTTTGGTGTAGAATATATGCGCCAATACGTCCTTCCGGGGGCCATCGCCAGCAAGAACAGTGCGAAATCTATCTTCGGCCCGTGGGTCTGTCTCGCCCTGAATGTTGACCACTTGGGTCTCGACGGCGGTAGCTACTTCAGACATGGCCTGGTGAGAGGATGAATCAGAACAAGAGAGGAATTGAAATAAGCAGTGAAGGTGTATGTCCAGAGCGACAAAAAAGAGATCGACCCTTTTATATGTACCTGGAGGAAGCCTGCCAGAAGCACCTCCTCCTATGTGGGTGTTAGTGCTTATGCATCAAGAATTTGATCATAGACCCCTGTCTCAGCCCATGAGAGACGAAATTATCGTTCAAAGTTCGGTTGCTGATCCTTGACATCTGTCACTTGACTATCCGAATTGTTTTCCATGTGGTCCGTTGCATTCAGACTGAATTGGTTATACATCTCCAGATTCTGCGTCTACCTACAGATATCTCAAGATAAACCTCAGAGGCAGGAAACAGATCAGGATGTCCTTCCTTGGATGTTTAGCTAAAAGATAGCTGAAACGCCAGTCCTTTAATTACCGTGCATTTTGGATTCAATCTCTGTCAGAATTATGCGCTCATCCTTCTCTGCCAACGTCCAATTTCTTTCGATGATCTTTTGTCTGTGAGGACTCCGAACTCGGAATGTGGCCTTGACTGAAGCCGGCAAGGAATCCTCATCCAGTGGCTCCTTGTCTGCGGCTGTGATATTGAAACCCCATAGTAAACGCGAAATGACAATGAACAAGCTTGATCGAGCCAGGCGATGACCTGGACATGCTCTCCGGCCAAAGCCAAAGGCCGAGACAGGAAGCCCTGGATTCTCTAGATACCGTTCTGGGCGAAAGCTGGAAGGGTCATTGAACACTGTATCGTCCATGTTCATACCAAATTGATTGGCAATGACCGTTGCCCCTCGGGGAATGGAATATCCCATGTACTCGTCGTCTTGTATCGCCGCATGTGGCACGGCAATAGGGGATATGGGCCGCCATCGCAGAAGCTCGGAAATGATCGCATTGATATACGGCAGACCTTCTATGTCGTCGAATGACGGCAATCGATCTGCACCCACCACAGAATCAAGCTCCTGCTGTGCCTTGCTTGCCACGTCGGGATACAAGGTGGTCACCAGGACAAACAGGTCCAGCACCATTTTGGTCGTATGAATGCCTGCCACGTACAGTTCCCCAAGCGAGTAACATACATTGTCCCAAGGCAGCTGCATGACATCCTTTTTCTGTGTGACTTCCTTGCTCCAGTTCCAGCAATCTGCAGCAAGAGCCTCCTCGCAGCATTCTCGATACACAATCATGGTCTTATCATGCAATCTAGCGACTTCACTTCTCCATCTCCAGAAGATCCGGGGTAGACGGTCTAGAACCGGGAACAAGTCGATAAGGATGGCCCAGCAAGACGCCCCTTGCAACACAAAACCAGCCATTTGGTTGATTTGCTCCAATCTCCGGTGGTCATCGTCGTCCTTGCCTCTTCCTTTTCCGTACACCAGCGTAAACATCACATTCGACGTGTATTGATGAAAGGAGTGGGAGAAATCGTCGGTCGAGAGAAACTCGTGCAGGAGATGCTTGCTTTGGATATCTTGCAAATGACGATATGCAGTGGTGTGATGAGCACTCAGCAGCGAGCCATGCAAACGTCGGTTCAACCTCCATTCAGGGCCATACGGCATGAATGCTGCCGCCAGTCCCTTGTTGAGGTACTCGTCCATCCATACTGAGGGCGGTCGAGAGCTGTAGATGCTGCCTCGCTTCTCCAGCAGATCCTGTGCGGCTTGACGAGTTCCGAGGACGACAAACGTACGGCTTCCAACCTTGAAGCTCATAACAGGGCCGTACCTTTGATTCCATTTTCGAAATGTGGTCGCGATATCTTTTTCAGGAAATGGTCCGGAGAGAAGGGTGGGGCCTGGAGGCAAAGGGAGTTGGGGTGTTCGACGGCGTATCAGATGCAAACAGCACCACACAAGAACGATGGCCAGTGCAATGGGGACGACCGATTCCATTCTTGAGAGCTTGGACGATGCCTTCGGAAGCCCTCTCGTGGGTCATGGCTCCTCTTTATCCGACATGGAGAATGATCTGCATCAGTGGATGAAACCTACAATGATCTTATCCGATTGATCAAACCGGATCAGATACGTCAGAATGCATGGAGCCACAAGCCAGATTTGGCCAGTCTTGGGATCGAGGCTAACAACTGCTGTATCTCCGAGTTCCAATGAAATCGGGAAGGTGGAGTGTCCTGGCGCGACAAGTTGATGCATCCATTGACCCGTCGCCCACACAAGACCAATCACGGACAACACTGGACCGACAAAGGAAGACTGTTCCGCACGAGGCTGATCTGTTCCCATTAGGGAGCAACTCACCGCTTGTTTGAGGATCGTTGGGTAGGTTTTGATCTCGAACACGTTCGTGCTTCTTTTGCTGTATCGCCAACGCATAAAGTACCATAGCCACCGCGCTAGGAGAATGTCTCCCACATACGCCCCGACTTCTTCATATCACCACTTCACTCCATTTCAATTCTAGACGATCGAGTCTCTGGTTAGCCAGCGTAAAGTCGATCGTATTTCCTATGCCAACCAGCTAAGGAAGCTTATGCCGAGATAGCAAGTCTGTGCTCGGATAACGTCCATTGTTAATGTCTAAAGCTAATTTACTCCGTCTGGTGGCATGTCGAATGCATCTCGCATCACCCGTCGTTCCTGCTCTACATGCAGGGCTTTGGATCCCACTGCCACGCTGGCAATCGGGTCCCGACCTGCAAAACGGATCAGTTTCCCACTGTGGTGTACAGTCTGCCCGAAGATGGCGTCGAAGCGGCGCATGATATGGCTCCCTGCGTCTCCATTGAGGGGCTCTTCTTGAGACCAGACGATGTCGGTTGCGTGAGGATACCGATCCAAATTGTCTCTGACTTGGGCCCAGGGAAGGGATGCAGTTCTTCGAACGGGTGATGGCTGTATCTTTGATGCCATGTGTTTCCCGGTGCTTTGATATGGCAGCAAATACCTGGCCAGAGCAGAAGATCACACGGTTGATCTCTTCAGGCGGGTTGATTGTGGCTCGCTCATGCTCCGGGTCGTCGAGGAGCGGTTGAAACTGTCTTTCGCCAACAAACTCTTCAATGTCAGATCGTGCCAGAGGGTGTCTCAACAACGACTTGGAGAAGAGGATGAACAACGCTATAGTTCATATCAGTAGTGCTCAAAGGGGCTGGGTTGCAGAAATGGCATACGCTTTCTGAACTCTCGATGGATTTGGCGCCGCAGCACATGGAAGAGATTCGCCGGGCTGGTCATGCAGACAATCTAGACGTTGACGTCCTGATGCTGGCGTTTCAGTTGTTCAGCCGATGGAAAATATCGAGAATCTTCGTAACCCAGCTGCAGGAACCGTTCCAGCCGCCATATCCATGCGGAACGCTGGACCAATTTGGCTTCAGCAGAGGCAATGTACTGATCGATGATACACTGGGCATTATTGGCAAAATCCCCCGAATTGTGGTTCCCACATCACTAACACATTCGGATCCGCCAGCGTGTAGCCATACTCGTATCCCATGACACCGAACTCGCTTAGCGACGAGTTGTAGATTTTGCGGCACAGCGACGGTCCTGAGGTCATTCTGGGAGGCATTGGCCGAGCTGAAAGGGCGTCAGAGGAAAGGTTGCCCTCTCTCTGTCAAATGAGACGTTCTTGAAGAAATGCGAGTGACTCTTGTGCATGATTGCAACGAAGTCGACTTGTTGGCGCGTCTGAAGATAGGGCTGCCGGTAGGTAAAAGCCCCTGGGCGGGCGATTGTTCGACGAAGCATCTAATCGAATTGCAAGAAGGGTATAGAACTTGTCTTCGTTCACTGACGTTATGGTCCAACTACTCCACACGCAATGTTGTAGCTATATTTGATCTGTGAGTCTGCTCGCCTTGACCGGTGGAAAGTATTCTTGCCGGTGGTGCAAATCAGTGACCCAGCCCGGATGCCGAGATAAACACACACATTGACAGACGGCGAGGAGTAGTAGTGAGCTGTACGTTGTCTTTTCTCGCAGGAGATATCTCGCCAGCTAGGACTGGCATTGACGCACCAGGAAGGTTCAACAGAAACGATGAAACACATATCACAGCATCTCCTCCTCGGCGACAACCACTTTGACTTTCATCCCCCAGCCTTCTCTCCCCCCGATCCAATTCTTCCTCTTGCCTACCTTGTGGATCTTGCGAATATCCCGCTCCAGTTCTGACTTCAACTGAGTGGGGTCAAACTCCACCTTTTGCACCAAGATTTTCAGTTCAATGCCCTTCTTATCCCCGTGTTTGCCCAGATTGCTGGCCCATCGTGCCTCGGTTACGATGCGCGGTCGGGCCGGGTCAATTAATCCAATGGGATAGAGTCGGCCGATCACCAGTCCCAGCTTCCCCAAGTATCGGATCCACCAGACCTCCTCGCTTGTCAGCAGCTCCCGCAGCCGAGACTTGAAATCTTCCTCGCGCGGGGGCAGTTCCCCCCCAAATCGCTCCTGCAGCATCAAGGCCAGGCGCGCCCGGTCGGCATGGGGGATGCCGTGAGTGGACGAGAGGAGACCGGTGCTGGTGCTGTATAGCGCGGCGGTCGAGGATAACTCCTTGGACATGCTGGCATGGACGAAGAGCACATTGGCAAAAGCCTGGATCAGGCTCCCGCGGATCGATGCGGGGAAGGTCCTCTCTTCGGTGCGTCGGGGGATGGCACCAAACATCAGGTAGGCGATCGCCTGCGCGGACGGACGGGCAAACGTGGTGGTCGCCACCTCGAGCGGATCCTGCTGTCGAACGAAGGGAGGAATGTCCCGGAAGAGAATACCCTCGCGGACGCCGCCCTGGCAGAAGTGAGCTTCTTTGATGCCGTATGGCACCGCTTTGGCCAAGACGTTGATCAGGAATGCGACCGAGGGAACCTGTTCCCGACGGCGATCGGAGACGCGGAAGATGTCACGAGCGGTCCGAGCGACCTTTTTGAGGACTTTGGTGTTTTCAAAGTCCTCCTTGGGAGCGGAGAAGCCGTTGATGATGGAGATGGGATAATATTGGCCGCGAACCTGATGAAGGTAAAGCAAGAGATATCCCCAACCACGAAAGCCGCCCCCCGACAGGTAGAGCGGGAAGCCCCCGTCTTTCCGGGCTTTGTCCAGCAGCGCATCAGGAATCTCGAGCTGCTCAAAGGCCATGCGGAAATGGCTGTCCATCTCGCGGCGGAATGCCTCCTCCGCCCGACGGGCCTCGTCTTTACTCTTCCCCTTCCGCAGCTGACTGAGTTTCTGTGTCAAGGCGGCTGCTCCGTAGGGAAAACTGAACGAGCCCCTGGGGCTGATGCGTACGTTGCCGGCATGCGAGACGATCCAGGTCATCTGCATACTCCCTCCCCCCAGATCCATGGCCAGTCCTTCGATGTCCGAGAAGCTACTGGCAATCCCCCACGCACCGATTGTTCCCTCATGTTCTTTCCGCAGAGTCTCAACCGGAACGTTGGTGGCGCGTCGGATGGCCTCCACAAACTCTTCTGCATTGAGTGCGGTACGGGTGGCCTCGGTCGCGATGATGCGCATGTTCTTCGGGGGAACGCCGATCTCGGTACACGTAATCTGGAACCGAACGATCGCACCGACTACCGCTTTGATGACATGGTGGGGGATGGGGATTTGACAGCCGGTGTCGTCGTCAAACTGGGCGTCGTAGAGGGAAATGTTGACCCGACGCGTGTAGACGGTCGGCAGGATGCGCGCGGTCGGGGAGGAGAGGTCGGAGACGGAGCATCGTATCCCGTTACTGGACAGGCTGATTAGCAGGCCTGGTATGTAGGTTGGTCAAGGAAAGAAATAAACGAGCTTACCTGCCCAGATCGACTACTGCACGAAGATGTCGTCGCTTCGCAGAGGGTTGAATGAGCGATGGGTCGGGCAGGAGGGGCGACACGCAGGGCCGATCGGGAAATCGATCACCACCACCCATAATATTATTGATCCCCTAGGAGATCAAATAACCTCATCAAATGACCAGCTATGGAGCTATGGACAAACATAGAGGAAAGGAAAGCGAGGGGCTTCAACACGACAGATTCTTTCATCTCCCTCGAAGGCTGCTGACAATGGCCTGCAACGTGTCATGACGTCAGCCGTCTCAGCTGTTGTAGCTACTCTCTCGTATACCAGTAGTAGTACTAGATCAATAGATCAATACTAAGGAACGAGGTCATAAGATTATGGCCATTGTGAAAGAGTGTTTGAGTTGTGGTGGTGGAGGATCAACTGCATTCTGCCGGCGCAGAGATCTATATCGCTGGAGGATTGCATAGAGGCACCAAGCCTAGTTATTTCAAGACAACTTTATTGCATCGAAATGAGCTTATCTTTGATTTAAGATGTCCCTAGCATAACTAAAGGGTGCTATACTCTGTAGATGAAATTGGAAATGATAGTGCCTGACTGTTGCATATCGACCGAGTAGACTATATTTGAACCTATTCGCCTGATGGAAATGGGTCGACTGTCACTCTCAGTGACCAGGCAAAGTGCTATGTAAAGCCACATTCCTCATCACCAATGACTTGATGGAAATGAGTACACAGGCCAAAGGAATGCATGATCAGGTATGATTCTGGTTGGAATGAGATCTCTCATTCTCCGTCCGGCTATACTATCTATCTACTACATAGCAAGGAATGTACATAACCACAGTAGACCAGCCTACAAGTACTACTGACTGTGCCAACGCCACAGACGCCATCCCTCGTCTTGGCTCTCAGCCTCTGCGCCTCATTGCGCCTAATACGTAGTATCTTCACGGCAGGAAGACAAATTGCATGGTCGAATTCTGATGATAAGGTGAGGGGATTGGGCAGTACTGATCACAAAGATGACTGTGTTTGATTCGAGCATGAAGATCATTATCTACTCTACTCGGTCCTACCAAGTACTAGATAGACATCTCCCGGTCTGCTCACTTTTCACCGACCGGACCCGGCCCGGGAGAGAGCCGGCCAAGTGGACCCGTAGCCTATTCGGTCTACAGGCTTCATTCGGTAGCTATAGACAATCTATCGGATAGGATTAGTATCGATGAGTTATGAGATATCACCGGATGTGACGGAGGTTCTCTACTCGGATCATAGGCAGAAGAGGCGATCCGACTGGAACGCATCCTGGTAGAATATCACTATGGCCGAATGTCGGAGATGCGGCATGGTTTCGGCGGCCATGTTGAACGCCGTATATGACGATATAGAATCCGTGTGATTGTTCAATTCACACTGGGACGGAGATATCCAAGTGTTCCCCATGGACATCCCCAGTAGATGCTCTTCCACGATGCGGGGTTTCGTAACTCCATGGAGTACTCCAGAGTCCAGATGATCATGCCAGGTTTCCCTCCTTGTCCATTGTCGAACCTAACAGCTTCAGAATCTGGAGTAGTACCTGTTACGCGATCAAAATCCCTCAATGGTCTTCGTGGATGCGGAGGACCCCGAGGATAGGTCCCAGAAATGTCTCTTGCGGTCCTATGAGATGGCCAAACGCAGAATGATGTCGTCTCCAGCGTTGACCCCAGAGGCTGACTGATTCAGATATCAGTCAACGCCTCGATTGTGACCGTCACTGGCCAATCCGAGGCGGGAAGTTCATCCAGGAATGGTGATGATCCACTGCGCAGTGGAGCACAGCAGGTAGGATCTGCTCGACAACTTCATTCTCGCACACAAAAATCTGGCGACGGTGGAATCGTGCATATGGCTAGCATCGGTCTTCGATACGTAATCCCCATGACTGATGATTATCGTGAGCGGCAATAATGACACATACTTATCAAGATCAATGATGCCTGGAACTTCTCCGTCGACATATCATATGGAGTAGTCAAACCCTACGGAAGATTGCCAAGCGCCAAAAACCTAAAAAAAAGGAACGCTCGGTTAGCCTGCAGCCACCGTTGTAGCTTTCTTCTAGAAGACCTAGCTACATCCCAATTTATCTTCTCCACGTTCTCCCTCCTTCTGGACCATTTGTCTCCCTTGACTTCCTCGTCGTCGTCTTCTAGAGCGTCTCACCATGGCCGTCTCAGGGGATCTCGAGGCTCCCGCCGTCATTAACGACCCAACCACTGACGATGCCACTGTCGAAAAGAAGGAATACGCCGATGGGACACCGGCAAATGACCCTTTTGGAAATGAAGAATGTGGAGAGGTCAAATATCGTATCATGTCGTGGTGGTAAGCTTCTATCATCTCACCGTCCATTCGCCCGTCTAACCGAGTTGCAGGCAATGTGGAACATGTAAGGTTCCAAACACATCTTCCGTGATTCTACAATGGAGCTCTAACAAGAGATAGTGATGGTTGCCGAGAATATCTCGCTCGGGATTCTGTCTCTGCCATCAGCCGTGGCGACGCTGGGGATTGTCCCGTAAGTGTCCCGAGGGATCAACTGCCGCATTTCTGCTCCTCCTAACCACTCGCGATACAGAGCTGTGATTCTGCTTCTTGGATTGTCCGGAATCTCATGGTACACCGGCTATATCATGGGCCAGTTCAAACTCAGGTTCCCAATGGTTCATAGCATGGGTGATGCTGGAGAGCTGCTGATGGGTCGCTTTGGACGCGAGTTATTCGGCATCGGCCAGCTCCTGTTTTTGATCTTCCTGATGGCCAGTCACATTCTCACCTTCACCGTGCTCTTCAACACCATCACCGACCACGGAACCTGTACCATTGTCTTTGGAGTGGTTGGATTGGTGGTGAGCTTCATCGGAGCCCTGCCGCGGACGATGGGTAAAGTGTATTGGATGTCCATGGCGTGTATGCATTCCTTCGTTTCTATCGATTGATTCGCAGAGCAGACTGACCGTGTAACAGCCTGCATCAGTATTGTGACAGCCACCATGGTGACCATGATAGCCATCGGAGTGCAAGCCCCAGATGATGTCCACGTGGATGTGACCACAGATGTCTCTTTCCAGGATGCCTTCCTGGCCGTGACCAACATCATCTTCGCTTACAGTACGGCCTCAGTCTGCTCTTCCTTTCTCTCTCGTGGCTAATTCCCGCTAGTCGCTCATGTCGCCTTCTTCGGATTCATCTCTGAGATGCATGATCCTCGGGACTTCCCCAAATCCCTGACTATGCTCCAGGTCGTCGACACCAGCTTGTACATCGTGACTGCTATGGTCATCTACCGCTATGCTGGCCCCGATGTGGCGTCTCCCGCTCTCTCGTCCGCTGGACCTCTGATGAAGAAGGTTGCATACGGCCTGGCTATTCCCACGGTCAGTGATCTGTCGTTCCCATCCCTGCAGGAAACCACTAATCGATCTACAGGTGGTTATTGCCGGTGTAGTGTTTGGCCATGTGGCGTGCAAGTATATCTACGTGCGCATCTTCCGAGGTTCCGCCCATATGCACCAGAACAGTTTCCTGGCCATCGGGACATGGGTGGCCATCGCGTTGAGCGTATGGGTTGTCGCATGGGTGATCGCCGAGTCAATTCCCGTGTTCAACGAGCTGCTGAGTTTGATCGTATGGTACCATACACCTTTGCCATGACTACTGCTAATGACATCTACAGAGCTCCTTGTTTGGAAGTTGGTTCAGTTGTAAGTTACACATATCCCGCTGGATTGATGTCATTACTGACTTGATAGACGGATTGCCCGCCATCTTTTGGCTCGTTATGAATAAGGGCCGCTGGTTGTCATCACCCTCCAAGATTTTGTTGACCATCGTCAACATTCTCATTCTGGGATTCGCTTGTGCCATCGTAAGCTCACAACCCTTTTCCTTGTTCAGGTGAAGCAGAAGCAACTAACCGAGACCAGTGTGGCATGGGTCTCTACGTCTCGGGTAAATCGATCCATGACAGTTCATCCAAGGCAAGCTGGACTTGCAAAAACAACGCCATCTAGACGTTTGACTCGAAAGAGTACGATGGCAATGGATGCGCATGGGACTATGAATAGAGCACCTGTTTGGGCAACGATAGTTATAGAATTTTAGACATTGCACTGTGAGCAATAAGATGACTACCTGACACGTGCATACTTCGACTGTCCGACCTAGCTCAATAAACGAGGCATCTTTTCACTGTATACGCCCATATTCCGACCAGAAACATTCAGACGCAGGAGCTGTGCGACAAGTCAAGGACCGTGATCCTCAGCAAGTACCCCCATGAATCTTCACCGAACCAAAGTATTCCCACCCGACGGGAAGCTTGATGCAACTTTGGTCCGAGGCCTTGGAGATGTGAACGCCGTTGCAGTTTCTCCCCTCATAAAAGGTGGCAGTGGCCTTTTGGAAGTTGAGTTTGACCCCTTGGATCTTGTAGTTGCCGCTCATATTGGTGCAGCCGCAGGAGGTGATCTTGCCAACATAATCGCCGCCGCAGGATGCGCTGGTGTAGGGATAGACAATGGTGGCGCTGGCTGAGGCCAGGAGGGAAGCAATTGCAAGGAACTTCATTGTAGGAGTCGGATGTTTCAGGATTTGGGAAGGTTTGAGATGATTTGGCTTGGTTGAACGGACACTACGGAGCAGAGGTAGCTCTCCTTATATATCTTGAATTTTGACAATAGCTCAGGTTACTCAGCGGGTTTCATGGAGAACCGAGTTCAGGCACTCATTAGAATAGAAAAGAGATCACCTGGCATTGAGGCATCAAATGTCTCGTATTTCTGCATGCCAAGTGAAGCGGTTTGCTGGACACGAAAGTTGATGCGAAGCAGCGCCAGCCATCACCACCGCGATGTAACGCTGCCAGCAATGAACGATGCACTGCTGTCCAGTATTCCATACTGATTGGTCATCTCTGAACTAGAAAATGCTCTCCAGCCTGCATCATCGCAAGTACAAGTGCAATCTTCGGAGTATTGCCCATGTTGGGAAGACTCAATCCCAGGAGGCTCGTTTCCTTGAGATAATTGCTCAGTTGCTCAGACAGGCACGCAAATACAGTATGAAAATAGAAGCAACGTTGTTTTCTCTTTTACAATGATTTGCGAAGCTGATCTGGTATACAGCGAGTGCACGTTTGTATCCAAGGCACTAGTTCTCTTGTCCTCGCTGTGGAACAACCATTTCCACTGAGATGCTCATGATTCTCAACACCAGCATTACGTACGAGAGTCGCAAAGTGGGCAGTGGAGGGAGTCCATCTGTCTGGACAAATTGAGACTCCTCCGACAGAATGGATCGATCATTCCACCAAATGGACGGACTGGACGCGAGGTATGCGTTGAAGCTTGACGGCCGAGTGAAGAGGGCGTGAAGGGCAAAAAGTGCGCCATACGAGCGACCAAACAGTGCAGTACGTGCGAGGGAGAGGTTCGGACAGAGCATCGACATAACAAACGGATGTATCACACTGGTAATCAAGTCGAGAAAAAGGTCTGCGCCCCCTTATTGCTGGGGCTGGGGCTCCCCGTTCGGTCCATCGGGAGGCATGTAGTGGTTGCATGGAGGCGTCAGATCATACGCTCGTCCCGGACTGAACACGGCATCCTGCAACGGATAGCCAATCCCAATAATGAGAGTCCCTGTTTCATGCGGATCGCGCGATTTGCGGCGTCGTATAATCTCGGTTGCCGACAGGAACAATGCGTTACCGTCTACCAGATAACTACGAAGTGAGCATGTTAGGTGTTGACTGATAGAGAGAATGGGTCTGTATGCGTACATTGCATTCGCCGTGGTGCGCACATCAAGCGACTTCCAGTGGAGAGGCCACGAGACCTGAATCAGGTATGGCTCTCCTCTGCTGACGTGAAATCCACAATGGCAATCGGCAGCGAAATGTGCAAAGACCCGGGTGGAACAGCAGGCACTGCCGTAGAGCAGACCATGGCCAAAGTTGATTTGCAGAGAGATCCTGATCCGAAAAACCTCCAGGCTGGGGTGCAAAGAGCAGAAATGCTACGGGAAGGATGGACAAAGCAGGGACTTGTTGTTGCATTTGTTGGGTATGACAGCACAACAAGTGCCATGAAGATCTCGCTGATGATGTTTTGGCTCTCAGATTGTTCCTATCCACCCTGTCCATCAATTTTGCCGACTATTCTACTCAAGTCTACGCCCCGTACATCACAAGTGCGTTCAAGCAGCATTCCGCGATGAGTGCAGGAGTCGTCATGAACATCACCAGAATCTCGGCGTACCCGATCATTGCGAAACTCGGTGATATAAGAATATTCGTTCTTTTTTAAACGCTTTCAACGTCGTGGTAGACGGCGAACCCCATGTCAGGTTTTCGGAAGAGCAGAGATGTTCATCTTGTCCATTGTGACCTCCGTCCTAGGCTATGTGATCTATGCGGCCTGCCAGGACATCGCTCAGTATATGGTATTCCCTCGGAGCTATCATATCTGTATAAAAATCGGTAGACTCTGACGTCGATCTTCTGCTCAGACTGCCGGAATCTTCGAAGCCATCGGATCAACTGCTTATGCGCTGACACAGCAGGTCTTTGTGGTCGACGTAACCAACCTGATCTACCGGGGCGTCTGGTCGACTCTTCCAGACTCGCTCACGACAATTCCAACCCTTTATTTGGGTACGATCGTGGCCGAGCGGATCCTGGATCATTCGACATGGCGTTGGGGTTGGGGAATGTGGGCGATTGTGCTACCTGTGAGCGCTGTTCCACTGATTGGGTCCATGCTCGTCCACCAGCACCGCGTCACCTCTCAGGTGATGGTGCCTCAAGTCAAAGACGCCAAGTTAGAGTCACCCTGGTGGCAGAGAGTGTATGATCTGCTGTGGGTTCAACTCGACCTCCCGGGAGGTTTCTTGCTGGTTCTTGGGCTGTCCCTGTTTCTCATGGACAGTTTGGTGCAGGCCATGCGACATGAATCGAGTAAGTGATCTCCCTTGTGGCACTACGATGTTCTAATGATAGGGTTTGGCGAACATCGTCCTTGTCATCTGTCCTGAGGATGCATGAAATAGTCTCAAATTATCAAGGTAGATTAAGCTGAATTGAGACTAATCTTATAGGCAGGCACAGCATGTATACCTAATGCTGGCGATGATCCGGCAAGCGAGCAGCATACAAATTCAACGAATGACAGCGTAGTAAACGCAGAACCAAGTAAAGAATGTCCACAATGTTGAGACCTGTCAACTGATATGATTAGCAAGGAGATCCAGTAGTCAGGATGTGCTTCGCCTCCTGAGCATAAGTGCATCCGTTGTTGACATTGGCGTCCGAAAAGCCCGCGGACCACATCATGATACCTCCAAAGGCCGCATTGTCCTTGTACTCGGCCACGAGTGAGGCCAGAGCGCTGGGCTCAAGATAGTACTGGGCGCCACTGGACGTTCCAGTCGCACCTAGCGGCGACGCAGGGACCCCGATAAAGACCTTCGCGTTGGCCGAGGGAGTGTTGGCCAGGTTGGACACCCATTGATCGTAGTTGATGGGGCCATTGACGGAGCAGCCGGGGTTGTTGTAGAACTGGACCCAGAGATAGTCAAACTGCGCATTGGTGACAATGACCTGCATGTTGGGCTCCGGGATGGGACACTGCGGCGCCCCGGTGATGTAGTAGGTGTTGGCCGGGTCCGAAGCAAAGTTGGAGCGCAGCTTGCTGATCAGATACTGGTAGTAGTTATTCCCGGCGTAGCTTTCGATGTCAAAGTCCCAGCCGTTGACAAAGGTACTTCCAAAGGGTCGAGGCACACTTCCATCGCCCTTGGTATTGCCGTACGCCTCCCAAAGGTTTTGACCGATCGTCTCCGCCTCGGCCTGAGAGGATAGGGAATACGCGCCGACGGCCCCTCCGAGGGACAGAATGACCTTGACGCCCTTTGATTGGCAGGTCTCGATGGCCGTGGCGAGAGCGTCGCAGTTCTGCGGCTCGCCTGAGGGAGAGATGTAGCAGGACTGGCCGATAGTGCCGGAGGCGATGCTGTTGCCATTTCCGTACTCGTACAGGAAGGCCAGGACAATGATATCGATACCGGACGTCGACGTGCAGTAGGTCGCCAGATCGTTGTTCTCGACTGTGCCGCCGCCGTTCTGGCCCCAGTACACAACGTTCTGAGCACTGGACCCGCGCGAGGACAACCCATGGGGCATGGCAGAGATGCCAGCAGCCATCAGGCTTAGGATAGTGAGGACTTTGACAAAGTACATGGCGTCAAGTGGGAAGGAGGACTAGGGGTTAAGGAGTGGCAGAAGTAAACAGGATTTCAAAGAACGACAATAAGGGAACGGATAGATTCGTCAAGAATCTCGAGGACGCAGTGATCCTAAGGACTGTGAGTGCGTTGGGAATCATCATGAGCAAGAGCTGCATCGCCTGTTTTATATCCCGTTTCTAACCATGCCTACTCCTGTGGCCCTTGAACAGCACTTTCATGCAACATACATCCGGGCAATATACTTGACGCAGCATCTTGGTCGTCTCCATGCGATGGTAACTTCATGAAGTAGGATAATGGTCATATAGCGTTGCAGCTGACAATTGAAAACTGCTGGAGGAATCATGGGCTGAAACACTCAACACCCGTAAGTCGTCCTAGAACAATCACTTCAGGCAATTCCATAGAAAGATGCTGAACGAATCGACCGAGAGGAGATCGGCGAAGACGATGTAACTGTGATGGCTCTTGATTGATTAAGCTCATGCAACCGTGCATTGGGCATGACTTGGCCTAGCGAGTTTGACCAGCAGACCGGAGAATATATACATAGCTAGATCTTCTTTGGACTGGCTCGAGGGACTGATTTGACAAGGTTCTCCGATTGCGACGCTGTAATCTCCGCAGCAACAACCCTGTCAGCGTTCAATGTCTCTGATACGCCAGTTGTCGCTGCAGGGAATCATTATCCCGACACTAACGAGGAGACGCTTCACAAGAGCCGACTAGCAACTACCGGTGCTTCAGAATGAACCAGGGTGTTGGACTGAATAGATTGAGTCTCTGCAGTGTTACATTGTCGTCGAGGCTTGATACAAAGGCTTGATCTTCAACCAACGCTGATGCCCCTCAGGGTGTTATACTCGGGATTGACGCTGCTGCCTGAGTATAAGTGGTAGACTGATGATATTCTGAGCCTTGCATGGTAGTAATGATATGGTCCTAGTGGTGTTAAACGACATGATATATTAGTAGGAGTAGGATTTGCTCGGTACCCACTATTGCATAAGACAGGTTTACTGACATTATTCTTAGGCATATCTGCTACATCCCGCCGAAGCATGTGTCCTGCAATTCCAACAGTCGGGAAAGAGCTAAAAGCCCATAGTCCGGTCTTCAGACGACTTCTGAGAATAGTCCCATGAATAACGGTCGAGATTGACCGCCAAATGGCTGCCGCTGTGCTATTCATGGATCATGGAGTATCCGGCAAGTTCCGAACTTCCGGCTGTCATTTATTTCTCCTGAACTTTGAGAATTGAGACATTGATCTAGATTGGACTTGGAGTCTATGGAGAATGAGAAAGAGGAGGTCAACCATCATCTCCTTGCCTCGACTCGTACTTCTAGACCCTCAGAGAACAAATGTCTCGCCGAACATCTCGCAAGACTGACAGAACGAGAAAAAGCTCGACGCATCTCTAGAACCTCAAATTGCCCGATCAGGAAATTAGTGGACCGAGACTATCCGCGGGCAGCCAATCGACCGACGGGATGGCTTCTAGTACAAAAGCCACACGCACACCGACTCGCGCATTCAGGGGATCACTTCCGAGAAGATAAATATTTCAACTTCAAGCTCTGGTCGAGCATGTTCTATTCACCTGTGAAGTCGCAGATCTCGAGCATCATGAGGGAGCTCTAGAGTGCAGGATTGGTCCATTTCTGGAACACCACAGCAAGGCCCGTTGGAAGAGACGAACCCCTGATCCACAATATTAGCAACAAGAACAGCCTGCGGCCAGTCACTTGCTGCAATGCTGTCAAAATATGAGTATGACATCCGGGAGCTTCCACCAGACGACCGCATTCGGTTCAGTTTGAAGTACAGGAAAGCTCTCTATCTCATAAGCAAGGCGGCCATCGGGGCCTTTCACCTCTACTTCCTCGTGCGCTTGCTCCTGGTCATCACTGCACCCCAGCAGACCTGGCAAATATGGCTTATGCTTCTTGTCGAGTATATCTTCGCTCGTAAGTCATCGACGAATTCAGACGCTTTGTGCAATTTCTTTGCCCGATGGAAACTGACTACAGGCCAGGTATGCCCCGGTATGACCAGCTCCTCACGGTAGCAGCAGGCCGGTCGTTGCAAAGCCGTCCCCGGGACCGACTGCGACTCCATGGCAGTGACTATCTGCCTCGGGTCGACGTCCTGGTTCCCTGCTGTGGAGAGCCGACGGATGTGGTGTTGGACACTGTCCGCGCGGCTTGCACCATGGACTATCCAGTCACTCAATTTCGAGTGCTTCTGCTGGATGATGGGGCATCCCCTGCGCTGCGGGACGCCGTCGCAGAACTACGCTCGCAATGGCCTCACCTGTCCTACCACACGCGCGGACAGCACTCTGGCCGCGTGTTTGCCAAAGCCGGAAACCTCAACTTTGCGCTCTTCTCGTTGCAGGATGAGGTTCAGCCGGAGTTTTGTGCCGTTTTGGATGCCGACTGCATGCCCACGTCTGATTTTCTGCGAGCCACGCTGCCTCATCTGCTGAAAGATCCGCAGGCCGCTTTGCTCACGACCAGGCAATACTACTATAATCTGCCCGACGGTGACCCGCTGCAACAGTCTCGTGTGCACTTCTACACATGCCACAATTCCGAGCTCGACCGCATGGGAGCTGCCATCGATGCCGGATCTGGTGCCGTCTTTCGGCGCAAGGCCATCGCCGATGTGGGCGGCTATCCCACCTTTTCCTTCTCGGAAGATTGGCAGCTATCCCTGATGCTGCAGGGCCTCGGGTATCGGACGCTTCAGGTGCTGGAACCTTTGCAGTTGGGATTGGTGCCATCGTCGCTGGATGGGCATATCGCCCAGAGGAACCGATGGCAGATTGGTCACTCCCAGCAGCCGTCCGTGTTATTCTCCTCGGCAAATCAAGCCATTCCTCGGCATCTGCAATGGAGCATTTTCCTTAACGGAGTGTCCATCGTCTTGGGCCTGGTTGGATACATGGTAGGGTTTGCGGCAGTTCCCGTCCTCTGCGCTTCGGGACGTCTGATTCCTGCCGCATCGCCCTTCTTGGTTCGGATCCAAGTCATTTTGGCGGTTTTGCAGATTGCCTTGACGTGGATACATGGGTTGATACAATCCGCCCACACGGGCTTTCGGATCGGGCCATTCGCCCACCTGGAGAACAGTTGGCTTGCAAGTAGTAAGTCACCGTCGGACAGCCTCGAACGTTGCGAAAACAGTACTAATCATCGTCCAGCCCATATTTTCGCGATAATTCGATTCCACTGCTTCTCGAGCAAACCAAAGGGTTCTTTTGTCACGGGGAGTAGTGCGAATTCGTGGAATCGCTTCACGGAACTGCCCATATACAAGAAGCTCCGCAAAGATCTGTTGGATAACGGACTGCTATACAGCCTCTTCCTGTTTCTTGCTACTCTAGGCACATTTCTGCTGTCATTCTATGCGCCCGCGAGCAGCGATTATGCCGCTGGCGCTACAAATTCTCCCAAACCATTGATCATGGAATTGCTTACTACTGTGGCGTGGCCCCCTCTGCTGCATATCGTCTATCTCACTGCCAGCAATCTGTGGGTTCCAGTCGGATATCTGCTGCGTCGTCCGGAGTACGCCGAACGGAGATCTAGGATGGCCATGAACGACCATGGTATCTCCTTCCCCCAGGAGGATGTCCAGATGAAGCTCCTTCACCAGAGCTGTCCTCCACTGGGCTCCTACAACCATTATGTCCTAGTGCCTTTTGTGTTGACTGCCATTTTTGTCGCGGCGTCTGTGTTGTGAGTTTTGCTGGACATGGCACTTAAAAATGGAGAAAAAGAGCATGAAAGAACATATCAAAGAAGATTTTTTGCCCACTCCATGGAGCGATTTGAGATCGGTTAGAGCCGCTGTCGGCTTGAAAGCAAAGCCAGGTAATTGTAGTAATATGGCATTCGTATCTATTATTGGAAAATTCGAAGCATAAGAGCGCAGCCTCCAGATCACAATTTCTGTCATACATACTGCTAGATCATCACACCCTATCAGCCAACAAGACCTCATTTTCCTCACTCTTTCCGCTCCAGACTCTCATAGTGTCAATGTAAGCTTTGATAGTATTCCAGCCGACAGAGTAGAAAAGAAGGCTCAGCAGAGCGATGGTGTACCCCAGGATCTGTAAGGAGCTGATGGGCGTGTGCCAAAGGAGGACCGAGATAGCAATGAGTAGAATGTTCTTGGGAATGCTGATCAGCGTCATCGCTAAGCCGGACGTTTTGCCAATCTTTGTGGGTCAGTAAGAGTCCATCATCTGTTTCTCCAGTCGACTTCAAAGGTAGAACTCACCAGTAAAAAGATTGATACATTGAGCATGAATCCCATCACGGCACTCAACGTCAGGACTGTCCATCCAGTCTGTGCGATGGAACTCCACACAAACGAAGCATATTCTGTCTGACTGGCAACCAGCGAGGTCATGACAGCACACGCAGGCGCAAAGTAGTAAAGACTGACCAGCGGGTCCATCTTCTGTGCACTGTCGGACAGAAGAATCTGGACCATGACGAGTCGATTGGCGTCGAAGACGAGACTCGCGAACTGGAGACCGAAGCCCAACCACGAAAACCTAATCTCTCCCGACACAGCCATTGCAACGCTCAGGGTTATGATGAGAATGTTGATGAGTGCCCCGATTGAGGGTTTTGCGACCTTCCAAGACCAGCTCGTGATCAGTGTGACTACAGGGCCAGCTGCCTATAGATCGTTAGCATATCGCCCCTCGAGGCCCGCAGAGAGTGAAGTACCTTGAGCATCTGGATAAAGGAGATATTCAGATAGAGATAAACCACATTGCTGCAGACCAGAGTCCCGCAATACAATAGGCCAATGGGGATGATAGTCCGACAGTACATCCGCGCATCCATGGGTATATTTTTCCGGCCCTCAAGCAACCTCGTCGTCCGTGCAAGGACTTGGGTGACAATGGTCGCAAATATTAAATGCCAACATGTTAAGATGATAGCTATGGAGGATCAGTAACTGCGCAGAGAGAGGCGCAATGGAATCGGTATTCAAGACTCACGATAATCTGAGACAAGGTCAGCTTAACGTAGCGTGGGTAGGATGCGGGAATATGTCAACATACGGAAGTTCGTAGAATTGATGATCCATTTATTCAGGAGAATGGTAGAATTGGACCAGAATATCCATGACCTGAAGCGTTGGGAGGGAAAATGTGAGCATCTGATTGACAGCCAGGGTATATCGAACGGTCTGATCACTCACAGGACATCAAGGACAAGATGCCAGTCGGACTTATGGTCGCCATAAAGATCATGAACTGCCATGGAAGCGATGACGCTCCATGGATATTATACTAGGTTGACCGTCGACTACCCAGTGTACGCACAATAGAATTGATAACTCTCTAGACCAGTTGCTACTGGGGACACTTATATGCACCTCCACCGACCTAGCCTTGGACCGACTACTACATTGTTTTCCAACTCATGAAGACTAGATCCACATTCCGACAACAGAAGACAATAGCACAGAGAGCAGAGTGGAGTCATTGACCTCTTTGATATGATTCAGTGGACGAGTGCCAGATGCGGAAGTACCTATAGAGATGGTCCGTCCAAGTACCACTGATCCACGTCGGTTCAAGACGAAGTGCAACCCTACAAAGTGGGATGACAATGATGTCTCGGAAAAGAAATCGCTGTATTCATGATGATACAGGCACACAGATGGCCTCCCTGACCGCTTGCTTCAACATGGCGTTATCAACCTATTACTTTCCAACGTGCAGTTACTTTTGAGACGTTACGCAATAGGATCCAAAATACGCACACCGTTAGACTGGGTCAGACGCAACATGAACATAGACACAGCATATATATGAAATGAAAGTAACCAAGTATAGTGCACTACCAAGAATGAGTACAGTAGGTGATGAAATAGCTCGGCCAGGCTCTGCATCGAAGAGAGGGCTGTCATGTGCTGCCAGACAGACAGAATCTTTATCATCAGCCCAGCTGAAGGGGTAGATCTGCTTTTGTGGAAGCAGGATCAACGGGTCTTTCAGTCTTTTGTTGCTCACATATTGCTCCTCGCAGAAAAGCGAACAGGAAGGCTGCCGCTGCTGGACCCGATTGCAGACATGCCGCCTCAACGATTCATTTTGAAATTCTCGGTATAGTACTTGATCATAAGACTGAGCATGCCTGGCCCTGTCAGACCTTCTACAGTCCCGTCGCCGGTTCCCTCGGGGTGCTCCATCAAGACGATGATGTTCATGAGCCAAAACGGGTGGCCCGGAGGAGATGCCATCCAGCCGTTAGGCACCGCTGCCGAAGCCATGAGGTCGTCGCTGTGAGCCATGCGTCCCATAAACGCACGCTGGACAAGGATAGAGTCTTGTGATGCAAGGCCAGCGAAGTTCCATGGCCTGTGAAGAGCGGTTCAACAGGGATTAGGGCTTCAGTATCTACGTCCGCATACATTCTGTATCATGAGGAGAATACCGTCGGTGTCCATAGTACTGGAAGAATACACCTGCCAGAAGAACGTATCCGCCAAAGAGATACATGTAAAAGTTGCGGACGAGGTCGGCTCGCAGGATCTCTTTCGGGAGTCCTGAATAAATGTCCCAAATCCACGGCAAATATTTCTGAAAAGCATGTTGTTTGTCTCATCGTCCCATAGTACCCTCAGCCAAGAAAGCAACGACGAGGACGATCGAGAGTCCGAGTGCATGATGGAAGGCTTGCTCCTCTACAGGTAGAGAAGAGTCGTGATGGACAATTGAGATTTTCCACAGGGCTTGCCGAGGACCTTGCATATCTCCCACTTATTTGGTTGGCAGTGATTTCGACGAGTGTTACATTCATTGTGCACCACCCAGCATGGTGTCAGAGTTCTGTTTAGGATGTTCTTGGAATAGATTTTGGCATCAACACCAAGTACTTACTAGAGCCGGACAATCGTTCGAGAAGTTGGCCATATGACAGAATCATCTCGCCGAATGCATCAAGCAAAAGGACAGGACATGCCAAGATCCCAATGCGGATCAATGGGAACATTCCTCTGCTTGGACCTCTGATGCATATAATGCTCAGTAACTGCATTGATCTGCATGCGGCAACTTGGCCGGGCAATGGAATGTGGAGTTTTCACAACACCAAAGCACATAAAGTAGTACGTAGTATAAGAGGATAAATATAAATAGTATGAATTTGATCTTACATAATGCAACCATCTCAATCCTTTATTTTATTTACATAAATGCAGATTCAATTGACCGGTTTCTATTTATTGTTGATTGCTGATACCTGTCTTACGCAGAGACTACCTCCTTAAAGATTCCCGATGGTCATTCAGCCCAATTGTAATATACAGACAGATATGGCCCTTTTTCCCTCGTGTATGCAAAGGACAGCCACGCTTGATATCGCGTTGCCACTTCCAGATCCTTGCCTGGACTGCAACCCAACTTAGCAACTGCGTGAACAGAGCGAAAGGAGAAGGGCAACGATAGGATAACAAGAAGAGACGGGGATGGAAAGCACAGGGGTTCAACTCACTAGTATGCCTTCAAATTGTTAGTGTAAACATCTGCTTGGCCTGGCATATCATGACGCTGGAAGAAAGCAGTCAACGTCTGCGCTATCTTAGTCTCTGAAATCCCTATGAGCGGCATATAAAGCTTGGGCGTGGGAAGTAGCTGGCCACGCTTCATCTCATAATTCAGCATAATGGGCAAGAACGGTTTGACCAGGACGCCCGAAGGACTGAGTGGGCCTTGGATAATACCGAGCTCCGTCCAGAGCTCACGCAGGATGCCTAACCCTATTGTTGTGTCCTCATCTGTAAGTCGTCCGCCTAGCGTCCAGTGTTCTTCCGCTCTGGCAATTGTGACATGAGGGTCGGCAATGTAGATCTTAAATCGAGTATCCGCGGGGTCAACGAGGTCGCAGGAAAGGAAAGCAGCGTCGATTTTGATCTGTTGGAGATGGGCTTCGATCAATTTACATGCACTTTCCAGGTAGCCTTCTGTGTCGACTGCTCTTATAGCCCCAAAACATGCGCTGGCGACAGACTGCCCCGTGGCTGCGCATTTGATACCCGGAAAGAAGTATTCTTTGGCCACGATGCCAGTCTTGGTCAAGTTCAAGGCCAGAACATACTGCGTCTTCACCTCAAACTTTGCGAGTTGCTCCTCATTCAAGTTGCGCTCCTCTTTGGCCGTCAGTGTCAGATGCTCGCTGAGGGAGTGATGCAGCTGTATGTTGACGCTATTGACAAGCAATTGTAGCTGGGAGAAAAACGCGTTTACCGCGATGCGATTGAATCGATCACAGCCGGTGCTTGCCTGATAGTTGACGGGCTCAAAGGCAATACGCGCGGTCGATCCTGATTTCTGGAAGTTCTGACTCAGCTCGACTGTCATGTTACCACCTAGGGTGCACCGGTATAGGTTCCTTTCCGGTGTTGGATACGGACCAAGCACTGGGACAATGAGCTGCGCAAAGAGACACAGGTACTCGTATTGCTGATGGATGCTATACATCCCGTCAACGAGGAACTTTGCGAGCATGGGTGCGACGTGATGCCAGTGCTGGTATTGATCCAGATCCGTGAAGAGAATCGCCTTGCTGAGTGTATGATAAGGCACGTCTTTGGAGATAGGGGTCTCTAACTGTCCAGATTGCCCCGTTTGGTCGTTGACGGCTGTTGTGCCGGAGGCAGATATGCCAGAAGGAGAAGCAGTCATCCTGCCGTTCATTTGTTATTCGATATGAAAAAGAAAAAACTAACTATCCACAGGAATACTCCGCCGTCTTGCAGGAGTTAGTTTTGACTTGGATATTGGAGACTGTGCAATATGAGGCTCAGAAGGACGACGAGGCTAGATGGGAAAATGAGAATGGAAGAAAAGAAACGGCAGACCCGTCCTTTTTTGTGACAGAGGGAGGACGAGGTCGGCCATACACTATCAGCTCGATGACAATGAGCTGGCGGATATGTTTGCGCTTCGTCACGGAGCCATTTCTACCAATACCGAGCTGTATCTCTTGGAGATGTGTAACACTCATAGACCTGTTGGCGTAGTAAGGCCAGACGTCGCTTTCAGCTGACAGAGGACTGGTAGGTCAGTGCAAGTAAGGTATGACAATCACTTTACCCTCGAAAATACTTTACTGGCCGACATGACTGCCTCTACTTCGACATGCATGCCCAGCAACCCGCTACTGGCAGCTCTGGAACATCATGGAACCAACAGGAGTGGCTTTGAGTGGTGTGATAACTATGCAGATAGGTTGCACAGTTTTGATACACAAAACTCGTCTTTCTAGGCCAAGGCTCTCTGTGTTTCTACAGCTCGAATCAATAGATCATAAATTACCAGCATAATGTATGCAAGTCATGGTGTTACATATGTAGAATTATCTGACAGTTGTCACACTGTTGTTCTTGTTCAGCTCAGCCCTGCATTGCCTGATGTGGATATAGGACTTCCAGGCTACATGGGTTGTGCTACATGAAGCTGAGATGTGATGCTTACTTCCGAGGCTTCCAGTTTTCAGTCTCCAGTCATTTCCCAATGACTTTGAAACAAGAAATTCATGTGTTCTGCCCAAAGCAGGGTCCCCTTTGAAAGAAGAGCTGAAGAATGGGAGGATCAGAACAATTGAATGGGCTTTGAACAAAGTGGGAGGACCGGCTTGGGAGGACCTATAAGAGCAAGGTCGTGACGTTGGAAACCCGCCTTCCAATGGACTAGTAACTGGTAATCACTTCCTTCTACTGCAACACTTCTTCTGATCTGGTTCATCGTTCCACTGCATACCATGGGAAGCATCGAGGTTCAATTCGCGGATAGCACCTCGTATCTGCAACCACAGACCAACACGGAGGATTGCTTCCTAGATGATCTCATCAGTCGACATGCTCTCACCCGTCCTCAACATCCAGCTGTTTGTGCATGGGACGGGGTGCTCACGTATGAGGAACTGGAAAATGTCACCTCTCGGCTAGCATCACGTCTCCAATCAGAATGTGGAGTAAAACCCGGGATGCTGGTTGCCATGCACTGGGGATGGGTAACAGTGCGATGCTCAATACGGGAATCACCTTTCCTCCATCACAGACAGATGATAGTGACGAGTGTGATAATCAAGAAAGGATTGCCTTTCATGAGATGGAACGGATTGATCCGTCCGAGGTCTGTACTGTTCCGCACACCATGAGCTAATGAATTCGGTGTTTCTAGTTCGACATTGTAGTCGAGGTATGCAACCATGACGGACGGAACTCGTGCATTCTAAAGTACTGGGACAGCTGCCTGTCTGAAAAGCAAGCCGCAGATGTGGCGAGCACCTGTAGTACAGCTGTATCGGGACTACTGAAACAGAAACAGCAGACGGTGGCGCGGTTAGATTTGTCTAGCGATCATGATCAAGGTCAAATTGCTCAGTGGAATAGGAATATATTGAATACGATTCAACAGTGTGTTCATGAGCTCATCCAACAACGCAACGGGGCCCAGCGCGACGCAGTGGCCGTGGATGCATGGGACGGCCAGTTTACATATGGGGAGCTGGATGAGCTATCAACCCAGCTGGCGCTCCACCTAAGGTCTCGAGGCATCGGGCCCAAGACCATAGTACCGCTTTGCTTTGCAAAATGTCGATGGAATCCAGTTGCCGCACTGGGCGTCATGAAGGCCGGCGGCGCCTTTGGACTACTGGATCCGGCGCATCCAGAGCAACGTCTTCAGGACATGTGTGCCCAGCTTGGAGCCCAATTCATCATCGCGTCGGAAGATTTCCAGAACCTGGCCGGCCATCTGGCTTCTGAAGTTCTAGTGCTTGGGAATGAGCAGGCTCAGTTGTGGCAAAACACTGGACCAAACCCGTGAACAACTCCTTCCGGCCGCTCTGACAATGCCATGTTTGTCGTCTCCACGTCTGGATCGACAGGCAAGCCCAAAGGGATCGTGATGGAGCATCAGTCCTTCTGCTGCGCCGCGTTGGCTGCGCTCGATTTGATTCAGAAGAAATAGAGTCAAATAGAGCGATGCAATCACGAGATGGGCTCAAAGCCGCTGCTGCCAGGGGGCAAAGATGGGTGGGACTGTAGTCTGTTTGCCTCAGCATCATCAGACAGTGATCCCTTAGCTGTCATGGTAAGAACTGAGGTCTCGAACAACGAGGAAGAAGTGGACTTAAGTGGACTTTGAGGTAGTATTATGATTATATATTCATTGTGCAGGAAGTCCTCCCATAAAAAAGTTTGAAATCTAGTGGCTAGGCTGATGTTCCACCCATTTCTGGGCCTCTCTGCGTCCGAGATATGCCCTGTCAACACGGTGGAATCTTGAAATCTACCTAATAAGGATAAATACAGAGGTTGATACCATAACAGCAGCAAGGAACTCGGCAGCCTCGACGACCGAAGTCGGTTGGGCTCGGGTCTAATCGCATTCTTCTATTTAGTCCCGCCCAACGCCCATTGTTGTTTAGTGCTTCGGCCGTGCCAGCGTCCCTCGGAGCATGCAGCTGCTGCGCTGCACTCTTCGGTATGCGATACCTGCTGTAAATATCTGCCTCGGCGGTGCCATGCGGTATACCCTCAGGGGTGTAATCGGCCGCCAACCTAACACTTCGTTCAGGAATGCCTGAACATAGGGAAGTCGCTTTATGTCCTCCCCATTGAGAAGCTCTGCTGTCCCTATAATAGTGTTGAGCTCAATCGGTGCTTTCTTTGTGGCCTGTGGGTGCAGGATGTACGAGAGGACATTATAGCTATCTAGAATATCATAAAAGTCCCCCAGGCATTTTCGGCTTTCAAGTTAGCCCATTTGAGTATCAACATCTTCGTCGCCAATGCCAGAGTTGTGGTGATCTCGGAAGGGTGCACCTGTGGGAATGAATGTAGGGGTCCAGACTCCAGGGGATAACTTCAGAGGAAACCTCCAGAAGAAACACCGTAAAGCAGAGCTTAAGCCTCCTGTTCGCAATTGATGATCTGCCCGAAGGATCTGCGACAGGCCGGAGGCTGTTTCAGATCCCGAGCAACCGACTTAAGCGAGGTATACCGACTTGGCAATCACATGGATCGTCCCGGCTTCTGCAACTGCGGATTATCTACAGAGCAGCCAAGCTTGCTGGCCCACATCTAATACTACTCTACGGTTGCCAATTTTAGAACATTTAGCACGGGGGATCATTACATATTACTCTTTTAAGTATAGGTCCCTCCACTAGGCAAGTCGAACTGGAACTTCTGGGATATACGAAACATGGTGAGAAAGCTAACAAAACTTTATGGGCAGACATTGGTAAAGTCTCACTCGGCGAAATCCTTGCAAAGATTTCCTATCAGACGCAGGAGAAAAGGATAATGTCCTGGAGTGATGCTGCTATTCAACTCTTTTGAATGACTTCTTAGTACAAACAAGGAACACTTGACAACAACTACTTACATCGTTTAGCAATCACCAGTGGAGGTCATCCAAGGCACATCTGATACGTTGGATCCGCGGAAAACTCATCGTAGATCTCTGACAAAGTATGGTTCCCCCGTAATTTACCTAATTGACACTTGCCAGAGTCTCACTCTCAAACCGCATTAAGACCCTGGCCTGCCTGTTCTGACATCTTCATTGGACTCTCCTGTCGATTGTGAAACTGGGGATTGTCGGTTGCACCATCGGACACCAGGGATAGTTCTCATGAATGATCTAGTAGGTGTTCTCTTCGTTGATCCAAGCCCATCACTGCCCTCGCCTAACGGGCGAGAAGTCTACTAAGACGGTCTGCTGTAGTTCATGGAGGAGCCTAAGAAGGCAGGAGCTGGCTGCATCACGTGGTTGTGTTTCAGGTTTCTCACATAGCGTTGTGGATATTGTTAGAGAGCTAATCCCTCATGGGTAGCCCGAGAATGAAGGGAAAATGTATGCACCAGTGTGAATCAGAGTATATAAGGACGTCTGGCGTCTTGTTCTTTCCAGTATCAAGCAAAGCAAGCCAGTACTCATACCTTTGGTCAAAAACCTTCGACTACTCTGCCTGTCCTTCTCACTTCGTCAACATGTTGATTAAAGTCATCCTCACATTGACAGCACTACTTGTGACCCAAGTTACTGCTCATGGTCTCATCACCCGTATCAAAGGCGCCAATGGTGTCGATATGCCCGGCTTAACGAGTGAGCCCATCCTTCTCCCCCCGGCTTCCCTTTAACACTCTCCCCTTCCCTAGGTCACAATGGATTGTCATATTAACTGCTTTTAGTCATTGATGGGATACCACGGGACTGCCCCTCTGCGGCATGTGGCGCGCAAAAGGACACGGCAATCATCCGAGACCAGGAAATGGGAGGTATCAAGGCTTCGCCCTTGGGCCGTACTCTGGGGTCTGGTCCGGTGTATGCGAACACAGTCATTGACATGTTCATGGGCACTGTGACGCAGAAGCAGGCTCGCATTTCCCGTTCAAAGAGGCGTATGAGATCCCTTTCCAATTTGCGCATCAATGAGGTTAATATGTTATCAGGTCGACAATTGATCAATGATGCTGCCAGTGTAATCACTAATGCCGGCGGAACTATTCTTAACGGTACATATTACTGGATAAGCCAAGACGAAGCAGGACTGACCTTGCCTAGGCGTTCAAGACATTGCGGACAAAACCCCGTTGGGTGGAACTATTAAGAGTAAGGAGCTCCATTACATTCAGGAAGACTGAGGCTGATAAGGGCAAACAGGCGCCCAGTCCGCGGTTGATGATGCTCTCAGTATTGTGCCAGGTATAAAGTCCGGTGCAATGACAGCCCAGGGCACCACCGAGAATGGTATCCAGTTATACTCTGGCAAAGGTTCCAGCACGGGTCTTCCCACCGCTTCTCCAGATGGTGTTGTCACAGTCATTTACCATCAGGTAGACCGATTCTCCCGGAATGCATAGTCCGATATTAACTTGTTTACTCTTAGGTAAACCAAGACGGCGCTGGACCCCTCACAGCAGACATTGATCCGTCCAGTGGGGGAACCAATGCAAAGGCATTCGTGTCGGCTCAGGTAATTCAGAACATCCCGGGCGTGGCGGGCTTCTCAACATCCAGCACTATGGACTACGAGGTCAAAGTCCAGGTGCCTAAAGGGATGAAGTGCACTGGAACAGTTGGTGCCGCCAAGAATGTCTGCATTCTACGTGTTCGGAACACTGCCATCTCCGGGCCATTTGGAGGCTCTGCTGCATTTACACAGTGACAGGGTAGTAACTTGTAAGTCGTGATTCGCCTTGGAGGATACAGAGGCCATTTATGCTGAGTTGAGGAAGAGGGAGTCGGCTGGGAGTCCTTTCCATGACCAGACTGGTAAGGAGTGATTCAGCACGCTGATATTGTAATCACTGTTAGGTTAATAGTCAATATAACACTCAACAGTTATGGATTATACTGAGGAAATTTAGTATAAGTAGCATTCCATAAGCACAATACCTCCTGTGAATAAGTGCATAATCAAGATGTCACCCAGCACGCACTAGTCTATATCCTCCTCCTCCTAGCCACCTAAAGAACCTCCCCTTTGTCTGGTTTGTGTGTTCCCTCATTCCCTGAACCCTATGCCTGCTAATCACCTAGATCTGCTTCCTCCGAACCCTCCTCACCCGCCTCTATCGCACCCCTGTACCATATGCCTTGACTCCATCCTGCCTCGTTGCTGATTTGGAAGTCTGCTTCTGGGGTGTCGGAGGGCTCGCATATCTTTAAGTAGGGGAAGTATTACTACCTTTTTTACGGCGGAAAAGGGCGCGGAATTGGGGCATTGCGAGTGTGTTTGTGGGTCTGAGAAAGGCCCGTTTGGGCCGTGGGAAGTAGGCCCAAGTAACCCGCTCTAGAGAAATGGGGTGCAGGATGAGATTCAGAATACGGGGCATGCGGATTTAGTGGAGGATGCAGAGGGACGGTTGTGGTCTTCTTGGGAGTGAGGCTATTAAAGAGAGAAAGTGGGTGGGAGGAGACTGTTTTTGGTACATATCTTTGTCTATCCATGATAGCGTGTAGACGGTCATGCTGACGAGGCAGGCCGCGAGACATTCCTTGTGCCGCTTGAGTGGATCGAGTGAGACACCCTGTAAGAAATTCCGCCAGACTCTTGTTTTAGATAGCCTGGAGCTTTTGTGGGTGTCTTAAAGGGACCTCGGAGCTCAGGAAACTAGCTGATAGGGCCATACATACTTGACTGTGATGTCCGCATTCGGAATCAACTATCATGTATATTACCACCTTAGCAAAGGACATCATAACCTCATTAAAAGGTCCTAGAAAAGACCATGTTTACAGCAAAACTAGCCCTAGATAAGTGAGAGCTTTGATGGGCAAGACATATATAATTCTCAAGATTTCGCTGGTTGATATCAATAGAAGATGTCCCGGCTACAACGCTCAATACTTCGAGACTTGACGAGATACTGTACCTAGTGGGGCCCGCGAGTTTCTTTAGTGGTTGCAAGGTGGTAGAAACAAGATGGAAGGGTAGGATTGTCTACCCATAGACTCGGGATGCACTTCCAGCCGACTCTAATCCACAAACGTCATCTCGTGTACCGTGCATACTACTCTGCCACGAGTAGATGTTATTTTGTCAGTGAGATGCCCCTCGAAGTTTAAAAGCCAATGTCTCTTCCCTGTTCAAGGTACGGTATATGGCAACTCAAGGACAATGGTTGTCTCACTGGCAGCAAAAGTGCGTATCAATAGTGAAAAGGCCGTCGGGTGGCCGAAGCTATGGCCATTCAGCTGGCGGCTTAACTCTCCACTGGATCTTATAGAATCGGGACAGGCAGGCAACAACGGGTACGTTCATACCTCTTGAAATCTCACATAGACTGACCAAGACCCCGAAGCTCCCGAGCCCGCCTGGGGATATGGACCACAGTCAACATTGTCTCTACAGTTGCAATTGTAAGCACAACAGCTTGACAAGACCTGAAACCTACTGACCCATGCAAGATATTCACCAACAAGTCTATTTTCGTCAACGAGTCATTCGGCAACTGCCAGATCGCCTTTGCATCTTTCCACTTTTTCATAACAGGGTTCACCCTATGGATGGCATCACGTCCATGGTGCGGTGTTTTCGCTGCGAAGCGAGTGCCAGTCCACGAGACTCTGCACTTGGCTGTACTCATGTGTCTCCAGGTGATACTGCAGAATCTCTCGCTGGCGTATTCATCGGTCATCTTCCACCAACTCGTGCGACTACTTCTGACACCGCTTACCGCGCTCTTGAATTATCTTCTGTATCGCGCAACGATTCCCAGGGCATCCATCATACCCCTGATAGTGCTGTGTGGCGGCGTCGGAACTATATCATACTATGATGCACTACCCACGACAGACGGCAAAGTCACAGCATCGTCAAGGGGCGCGGTTTTCGCCTTCACCGGCGTCATTGCCAGTGCGTTATATACGGCATTCGTTGGACGCTATCACAGGAAATTCGAAATCAGCAGTGTCCAACTCCTCTTCAACCAGGCTCCAATGAGCGCGGCTATACTCCTGTGCGTGGTTCCTTTTTCAGAGACCTTGCCAGCGACTGCCGTTCTCTCGACATCGTTATATGTCTCCATCATGGCAGTAATACTTCCTTCCCCAGACCCTCCTATTGCACTAGCCGGTTACAGCGCTAAATGGCTAACTCTGTCTTCTAGAGTGGGATCCTTGCTTGTCTGGTTAATTTATCACAATTCATCATCATTGATGCTGTTGGCCCTGTCAGCAGTACTGTCATTGGGCACTTGAAAACTTGTATCATTGTCGGGTTGGGATGGGCACTGAGCGATCGGCCAATTTCGAAGGAAAGCCTCGTCGGTATTCTAATGGCCCTGACCGGGATGACCTTGTATGTGTGACCTTACCTAGATCGTCCCTTCCAGATTGATTACAAGCTAATCTGTGTGTGTTAAAATCAGATACATGGGTATAGTGCTTCGCGGCCGCTGAATGCGGAATGCGGCAATGATATGACCGACGAAACTGTTGAAAAGTCGGTGGTGGTCACTTTCCTTGAATGCCTATAATCTGCAATACAATCAGAATGAATTCATCACAGGACCAAGACTACTACTCCCAAAATTTCTAACATCAAAGTAGCGTAGCACTCATGTTACTATATGAGCAATGTGTGTGGGGCACCTGCATTCGGTAAATTGCTTTTCAAGGGAAGATGAACCGCAGCCGGCGAGCCCAGGAACTCGTAGTTTGAGTTCCGAGCTATACACCCAGGAGGAGCTGTTTAGGGAACACCTTGCACAGCGGCCTGAATTGCTCGCAACAAGCATCCTTGATATGCAGGCGCTTCATGGTGTATCTCCCCACTCTTGCTCCTTGTTAGGGCTTTGAACCGGACAACCATGGCCTAGGTTACACTCAAACTATTTACAAGGTAGAAAGAATCGGCCATATCGGCTCAAACCTCTGGGAATGACATCAAACAACGCAGGTGCTTTCGTCTTGTAGTTCTTCCATACATAAAGTCTAGATCAGCCAACTAAAACGCCCCTTGGATAGTAAATATCCGCCAAATCCAACTCCGTTATGACGCCTGTTTTTTTATTCTTGTGTTGCGAATATACCTTCCTTTCTCCCCCCACCAGCTGATGAATGTTGAGCCGGGTGCTGTAGACCATATTCCATGCTTGAGCCTCATGGAATACGGTGTCATCCCCGCCATTGATATCAGAGTCGCGTGATGCCGGACCAGCATGTCTATACGTGCCGATCAAGTTAGGAAACGTAGCGAAGCATTTCAGCCGTCGACGGCCGTTAGTGCCGGCGCACAGGTCACTCATGGCATTATCGACAGCACAGTCAAGGCGATCCACGGAAAGCGCGGAAAGGATTCTCTGAGCACCTTCCCTTGTGACGGCATATCCGTACGTACAGCAGCCCATCTCAGCCCGATATAAGAAGCGCGTCGACTCAACCGGCAGGTTGGGATACTGTTCTTTCCATTTATCCAGTGGACCGCCCCAACCGTCCCGGTTATCAACGCTGGGGACGGTTGGGTCCTCTGGGATGGCGAAGAAGGTCGTCTCATTGGCTCCGGGGGCCGAGGCGCAGCCTCCTATCCAGAGGATATCCCAGTTCGTGCCATAGGGGGCTTCTTTGGGTGCGGCTTCCTCGCCATTTAGCTGGCGTACCCCACGGGCAAATTCGCGGAGTTGTCGTTTAACGGCTACGTCCCAATCCGCATCGTCTTCGAGGATAAGGGCAGTCGTGTAGGAGTTCTGAAGGACCCTGTTCAGTTCAATTCCGTTAGTCCAGGTTTGCGGAACGGTATATCTGCTGAGAGTGTGCTGTATTACGTCTTCAATGCATTCATATGTGCGCGCCAGCAGGCCACGGCAGTGGGTTTCAGAACAGTTAGGTTGACTCCCTTGTCTCAAGGTTAGCGGATCAGTATTAAAGTATGGATGATAGCGCGTACATTAGGTAGGGATCTGGGATCCAGGTCGTCAGGTCGCACACCGTCAATCCAGTCGACCTTAAAACCAGCAGCGAGAGATGCTAAAGTCAGAAAGTCTCGTTTGTCGGTCCGTTCTTTCAAGCCGATCGCATAGATATGTTCGAACTAGAGGCCAGTCGGGTTAGATAGCAAGAAAGTGATATAGGATATAATGGGTCCTAACGCCTAGAGTGTCATTCTGAGTATGCGAAAGTATGTCATCGCTCAGGACGTTGCGGCTGGTGAACGGCCAATTTGTATTTCTGTAGCGTTCACTGACTCCCGGCCAGAGCAAATAGACGCTGGCATAGAAAACAAGTGCTCCAGCGAGAATCTTGGTAACGTTGAGACTTCGGCGGGTTTTCAAGATCATGCTGCCCGATTCGCGCAGGGAGATTTAGAGTCAACTGGAACTGTTGAATGGGATAATCGACGGCATAAGCTAAGGCAAGTATTCCTGTCGACACATGTGCCCGGGTTGTGATTTGTGATCTCTTTGAATCTTATCCACCTCTTTTTCTTGAACGCAGCGAGGAGAGGCCAAGGTGGGACCGACATTGCCTTCGGTCCTACCTTTCGGTGCTTTAATCAACTACTCCATGGTGACTTGTTCACATATGGAAACTTGGGACGAAAACAGCTGCTGTCATAGTCCTTGGCGATCGTTGTACCCAATGCCCCGGATTCTGTTTTCGCACCAGGTGATGTATGGAAAGAAGCAGTCAAATGAGTCATTTCCCCGCGAGCTGCCCGAAAATGGGTTGTTCTGCAGTATTCCTACTGCTCAGTGAAGCTAACAACGACCACTAATGGATGCAGAGGCTCTGGGCCTTCTTAGAACAAAGTACTCTGCAATCCTAGGCTTAATTGATTGCCATTATTTTGACATTTGAATCCCTCGATCCTTCCTGACCAAGTAGTCTAAGTTAGGCTATTTGTGCGGCGGCATTATACAGAGCTGTTGAGACATATCATCAGCCATGGCATTGGACACCGTAGATACGCAGTCAGCAGGGTCAATGCCAGCTAGCTAAGAATAGGTTTGACCCGGTCCTTTTAGTAAATCTAACAAGCCCTTATGAAATTTATACCCCTTATTCAGGAAACCTATTACTCTGGTTTGTTTTCGTCAATCAGGTGGTTTCGCAAGCGGGTCCCCTTGGGCTATCCTCCCATTCAATGCAACCTTGTCCTTGCATTAACAGTAAGCACAGTGAACAGACCTTCTGGATAACCATTGTGCTTTAATGAGGGGTTGAAATTGAGTTCATCGAAACCTTCACAGGGGCAGGGGTAAAGTCGCAGGGACAACACATAAAGGCACATTTTTGACGCCTGATAAACAGTGATATTCTCCCTCCGAAGAAAGAAAGAAAAAAAATCCTCAACAATTGGCTGCGGAATCATGAAAGGTCTCAATCCAAATTCCTAAACTCATACCAACCCATTCCTGAGCATCCGAATGCCCCTTTGGTTGAGCCCCTTGCTCCATGTCATTCCACAGCCGTAAATTCTGCTCTAATTTTAGTTCATCACGGCCCTTGGTCTTTTTGCTTTTCCATTTCTTTCAGATCTTGTTGGGCAATTTTGCCTCTTATCCGCGTTGTTGCAAGCATTGTCAAATACTAGGTGGCAGTCTATAAGTGGATGGCTGATTAGCAAGGGTTTGTATTTACATTGCTGGTGAGCAAAATGTTGCTCAATTATGAAACTCGCGTGATCTGAATGGATGTATACCCAAGGTTGGCCACAGTCTAGCTAATGGGCGTGTCTGAGTTTAACAGAACTGGCAATACATCCCCTGCACCTTCATTCTCAACGCTTGCCTGCTTCAGGGGTACTAATATAATATAGGCACCTGTGCATCTATTGGAACAGTTGCTTTATGCTTGCATGACAATCCTTCTCATTGTCCATACCACCGCAATTCTCCATGTTGTTAGCCTGGTAGCCCTGTAAGGTCCGCAGTGTAGTGTATTTCCATTGCGCAGTAGCTGTGTTTCTGACTGATTGCCAGTAGATTCCAGTAGAATTTCATCAAGGCAACAGGACATAATAGCTATAACAGGATGAGCTCCGCTAATTTGTACAATTCGACCACCCAAAATCCTACCCTAGATTGGGCGCGTAGGAAAAATTTCATAACTATCCAGCATATGGATCATTTATCTCCACTAAGCCGGCTTGACACATATCCCTCGTGACGGGATATAGCACTCGTGCGAAATTACTCTGCCGTTCAAGGACATATTTCGGTGTGATATGCTCGAAGCCCTCAACCGGATTTCCATTCCGAGCAGGACTAAACGCATGTAATATGTAAGTATGTGAGTAGTCGTGCTCCCATGACGGAAAGTCCTGCGGCCTGTCCCATCGATTCGCAACTCCTTCCTCGTAAGACGGCAAGGACTTGCAATCAGTGGCGTTCTCCAGATTCGATTCCGTTTCGTTATGAATCCCGTATAGCAGGATGGTGTCAGACGTGGTCCAGCTCCCCGGCCCAAATGCATCCTGCTCCATGATCAGGACTTCGCCCGGTAACCGTGCCAGACGCTGGCCCAAGCGCGTTACGACTGCATTGCTATGTGTTGTCCAACCCCCATCGTAAACCTTGTGCATCTCGGCTTTCCACATCTGGAGCAAGAGAGCATCCTTCTTCGCCATGAAGGTCCCGCTCATTATCTCACCGCCGGCTTGGCGGCCAGTCACCGAATTGAAGCCGCTCTCCCTCAAGGCCTTGATATCGCGAATCGGGTGTGCATCCCAGTCAATGTAGATGCCGCCAAACTCGCAGACGGCAGAAACGCGGATGAAGTCGGACTTGTGCTCAATCTGGTCGATGGGTTTCCCGTTTCCAGCAACGGTGGGCGGTTCAACATGGTTTATTCGCAGATTCGGGGTGTTGAATATAAGCTGGTTCCACTTTCCGGTCTTCCCTGCCCGGGCGTTCTCGATGTGGCTTGGCTTAGCGTTGGTGTGGAGGTAGATAGTATCGGGGTGCCAGTGCTGCAAGACGGAGTAGAGAGAAAGAAAGTGTTTGAATTGAAACGCGAAGTCAGCGTCAGCATCTCGTAGGATGTACACATAATGGACTTGGTTTGGAATCGCAGAACCAGTAGCATTGACAGTCGTAGCGGGGGCACTGCAATGGAGGAGCTGACTGTTGAATTTCCGAACATCTGCTCTCGAGACAATAAGAATGGCAAATATGAATGCAGCCACGAGGAATGTGTATCCTGAACAAGGGCGGGTATGGATCATTTTGAAAGTAAGGGGGCAAAAGGACAAGGAATTTTTCATTGATATGAGGGCAAATATATCACGATTTGCAGTGACTGACATCTGACATTTGCAGAAGTAGTAAGGCAGTAATAAGGCGGCCTGCATCTAGTGGTTGCAATGGTCCCTGGACCGAGATGACAATATAATGCACCGGATTCAGTAGTTGCAAACATTTGGCACTACCAAGCTCTGACTCGGGAACTGTTATTACACCCTTCAATGGACCAACATGCTTGTTGAGGCGCCAAGGCTACTGTTAGCAGGAACCCTAGTCAAATATGCTATGCCACGCAGTGGCTTGCCAACATCACATTTGATTCACATTCCATCTGCATAGTTAGATATGTGAGCCGTTCAGCCTACATTTCCCTGCCAATCATACAGTGATTTCCGTGGGTTAGTGCATGATCACTTCAGTTATGTCCACCTTCTGGAATGCTAGACCATGTTACTGTAACTAACACTACCTAGGTTGATTCAAATCTGGAAATGTAACTTTTCTCGGCTACTCCTTTTGCGGAAATCCCGAAGTGGAGCGTTAGTTCTTGTGGATTTAAAGGAACGCACTATTGATAGTTTATTTAGAGAATGTAGATTCCCAGCGATCAGTGATATATGTTGGACATCCGAGACTGAGATGGCTGCCAAAGTCCTTTGGAAAGACCCACGCTCCTATCCATTATTATATGTAGGATTTTTTTGCCTAGGAAGTGTCTATTGTACTGCATCTCTTGCATCCCAACACAGCCCCAGGGGAAGACTACCCTCGTCTGCGCATTACAGCACTAACCCTTCTCTTCCACCAAGGATCGGACGATCAAACTACGGCCCCTTAAATACTCGCCCAAGCACGGTTCCCAGCCGGCGCCATATAAGTAGTACACATCAGACAGAGGACGGGTCCATTGAAGCATCAAGTGAATCGAGCCTTATGATTAAGAGGACTCATAATTCACCAAGAAAAGCTCTGGATCGATATCAGTTTGACAAAGTAGTTATACAAAGGACTCAGCTGATTTGGAACATAGTCTATGTCCAGCTTGAGAGGAACCAACCCTATTAAGCCCATGGAGGTATTGGTACCATTGTCGCGACAAGAGATTTAAGGGTACCATTAGCGGGGTGCGAATGTGAATTTTGACCTAAATAATACAAAAGAATTATGAATATCTGTAAAAGTCCTGATCATTTAAACCTCATTCCCGCCCATTTGGAGTAGCCAGATGGAACAGCTGATGATATTAGAAGATTGATAATATAAAAGTTGATCAATGTATCAGCGTCATAAAAACCATTGGTGTCTTTCTCACAGGAAGGGGAAATGCAGTTCCGCTGGATCGGAATCGTGTTCCAGATGGCCGGCCTTGTCTTTGATACCAACCATCTCATCATGGTTCAGATCCTTCTTTCTGGGAAGGGGGTCAAGACGGACCCATTAGTCAGTCTCTACTACACTATACCATGCTGCATCCTCATGAATGGTATCGTTATTCGGTTAATGGGTACTCTTCCTCAGATTGGGGGCTAAATACCAGACTGGGGCACATTATTGCTGCTTAACACTCCATAGGGTTCCTGTTAGGCATCTTCATACATTCGCTCGTGAGTTAAACAAAGATTCTGGGACTGCCACCAAAATGAAACTCTTTAGGGCAGGAAGACTTTGGGTTGGTGATGGCGCCTGTCAGTATCCCCCAAAACATTGTACTAGTTGTTTTATCGGTGTTCACCGGGCCACCCAAATTCCTCCCATTCAGGTGGTAGGGTATATGATTGCCTTAACTTTGTTGTACTATGTGGTCAGATTGGAGGCAATAAGCCTTTCGTCAGATGAGATTAGTCGATTATGGATGACGACGAAGTCTGGCTAAGTCTTGGATGGAAGCGGACGCGTGATAATGGTATTTGTGTCTATATGAAGCAGTCGATCATTTTTTGGCCATCTCCATTTTTACAAACAGGTGCCTATTACGTGTTGCGCTGTATGCATCTAAGCTTTTATTCTGGAGCAGGTTCATGGTCATACCCAAGGCTACCTGGAGGCTGGTAGTTAGTGTACGGGGACGTGATTGCCAGTGGCAGGCGGCATGTTTACCCGCCACGGGTACCTGACAGAATAGCCCACGGTGGCAAAGCAATTTAGGCTTGGCAGCATGCGGCGAGTCTCCCCATGAAGTACAGAAACGGAGAAATGTTTTGTTTACTATTTTGTCTTCTATAAAATCTTTCTTACAGCCGCTTAAGTTTCTCTTAATCATCATACCAACTCATTCTCTTCCTCTCTTCCTCTAACCTGTTACCAGCTTTCTCTCACCAAAATGAAGCTCCATCACTTCCTTCTTCCTGCAGCGCTCACAGCTACTGTAGGCGCCCAAACCCTCAACATTGTTGCACATGAGGACGACGATCTGCTCTTCTTCAGCCCCAATCTTCTCGATAAAATCCAATCTGGCCGGAGTGTGCGCACCGTCTTCCTTACCGCTGGAGACGCGGGCAATGGTGCAGACTATTGGACCTCTCGGCAGGAAGGGTCTAAAGCTGCATACGCCCAAATGAGCGGTGTTGATAACACTTGGATACAGTCAGACGCCGGCATCCCAGGCTTCAGCATCCCGTTGTTTACACTAGAGCACAATCCCATTATCTCACTTGTCTTCCTTCAGCTCCCAGACGGGAACAACGGAGGAGAAGGCTTTGGATCTGGAAGTCTGCAGCAACTGTGGGAAGGAACCATACCCTCTCTGACTTCCTGGGGCGGATCCTCATACTCCAAGAACGCCTTGGTGGATGTGCTGAGACAGCTGGCTGCTAACTTTGAACCCGACCACATCAACACCCAGGACTTTGTTCATGATTATGGAGACGGAGACCATAGCGACCACCACACCACCGGTTATTTCGTCCACGAAGCCTTTGCTGATTGTGCCAGCGGAGCGTCGATCACCAGTTACATGGGCTATCCTGTCGAGTCGCTTCCAGTTAACATTGATGAAGCGCTTCTTGAACAGAAGAAGGCAGTTTTCTATACATATGGTGGTCATGACAGGAACACATGCCACAGTGATGAGACCTGCAGCGGACGAGCTGAAGAGCTCTGGGTTCAAAGGGAATATGTTGTCACCGAATTGGACCAATCCACCTGCAGGGTAGCTAAGACCACAGCTCCGGTCTCTACCCCGGTCATCCCTTCAGCATCCCCCATCTATTCACGTAAAGTGATTCCCACAGCCGCTGCAAGCATGACAGCATCTCTATCCCCTGCTATCCAATCTGAGACCCCCTACGAACAGTTCACAGGAGATTCTGCACGCGGTATGGTCCTTTCTGGAGTATTATGTGTCTCTGCCGCTGTTTTGTCTGCTGTTTCCCTTCTTTAATCTGCGTCTGTGGCTTGGATATTTGCATGAAATGTCAGGTTCCCTGTCGTTGGTTTCTCGCTGTCTTATTTTGATATTGGTGCATTGCATTTGCTGTCTCACTACATTATTTGCATTGCCATTCCCAGCTGTGTCTCTGGTAGTTTTTTATCTTTTTATGGCACTGGCATTGGCGACGCGAAGCACTTAGTAAGCATGGGGTCGGATACCTAGATATTAATCAAGAAAGAGGTCTGCATTATATCTATAAAGTTTAGGATGTATTATTACTTTATATTAAGTGCTCTCAGCATTGCAGAGAAAAGGAGGACTGGTATTCCCTAGAATAGATTCAGGTCCCCCCTTAGTTTTTTGCCTTCATCACTAAATGTGAGAAACACGCGCTGGGCTGCGAATTCCCAACTGAGGTAAAACCGTAAAAGACCTACTATGATTTGACCCTATGGTCAAATCATACCCAGCTTCCATATATAAACCTTTCTAGTTACTGGCTCTCGAACGGGCTCCTGAGCCAGTCAAGGGTGAGAGCTTTGACCGAGTATTGTTAACACCAGGCTTCTCATACAGCCTAAATAGATGGGAGTCCAAGTTATTCAGCGTGGATCATGATGATGGTGCTTGTTAGCCGCTTCGCCGATGGGATAAGTCGTCATGGTATGCACCAACTCCTGGCAACTCTTGGTCGTACCCCCTCCTGCCATCAAATATTAGTCTTATCAACGCCCACCCTACAATTTCATAATACATTGTTCGTATTCTGGAGTAAAATTTACCACTAATGTTGAGGTGGATATTCTACTCAATTAGTTTCGAGACGTAATGTACGCAAGATCATATTCTTCGACTTGTATAAATCTTTTGAGGAATTCAAGTGAGGCAATAAAAGAGCGTGGTAGTATGTAAAAGTACTCAACGGAAACTAGTGACTGTAATAGAAAGGGAAAGATGGTAATGGAAGCATCGGAAGGATAGGGCTAGCTATTTCTTCTTCGACAGGAAGAGTTTTTTCAAACTCCACCCCCTCACACGAAAGATGTAGTAGAGAGTGATAGCACCGGCAGCACTTAATGGCGTCCGCCTGCTCTCCGCTTATCATCTCTCACTGGACTCAGCAATGGGGCCGAGGCCATCTATTGGCACTCAAAGGTGCGGCATATATGTTCTTCTAGTAAGAATCTATTCTTAACATGTTGAGATAGTCCTGTTGACTGATCCCTCTGTGTGCTAGACTGCTAGTCTCATGGCATCAATTCTGGAGGAACGCGTGGCCATGACACCTTACTGATCCTATCATGATGATGATGGATCATCAATTGCCTTCTTTTGATTTTAAGTCTTTCTGAATGCAATTCAGTTCTTCTCTTGCATGACCATTTCAAGCTTGTATTTGTGGCGCTCCGCAGAAAATTGCGATGGATGGTGGATGTGTAAACCAACCTTGCTGGCTCTCTCTCCCATGCTGTTTATTACGGTTGCCAATAATTTCTGCTCCAAGCTAGGAGCAGTATCCATTGCATATATGGACTACACGACTTTATTAGTGGCCAAATCCTGCATGCTCGTCCCGGTCGTCGCTCTCAAGGTGCTGATATTCCGGAAACGGCATTCCTGGTATAGATACATTCTCTTTCAGTTGGTTATTACCAACAAGACATACACTCCGCCGCTGGGGATATCCACATGCTTGTCACCGACGCTTGCCATGCTTTGATGGACACACTTCCTGCCCATGCGTGCGTCTCCGTCTTCGAATCTGGGAGGCCCCAATAAGTGGCAGCCACACGCAATCATTCCATGCATATTTCGCACTATTCATCCTTGAAGAGCAGCACAGCTTTGATTCAGGTCTCTGTGGGGTTGTATACCAGCTACTGGTGAAAAGTTGCGCCAATGAAGGAACCACCGCCAATTTTACATTACCCTTGATCCGCTCAATTCCCTCCTGTGATATGCCCCTCAGAATCGTGCACGTCCCAATAGCCCCAGCTGCTGCCGAGGTTGCTTGGATCCAGTTGGAAAGATTAAAGAAGGCATACAAACCCCCGGCCTGTTCTGAAACATCTATCCCCTGATAGTCAGCAGTTGGAACAATTTAGGAATCGGCTTCCCGCTGGACTGGGGATTGGCACTGTGTGCTGGAGAACTCTGCGCAGAAGTGAAGTACAAGATACCTAGGAATTTGAGGCCAATTAGCCATATTGTCTCAGTCGATCTTTGAGATTGCATGTTCAGAAGTAAGCGAGGATTGTCAAACATGGTCAGGACTATCCACAAAGCAGTTATTATTCCTTTTTGTACTCTATTCATAAGAGCTTTTTTTAATTTCTTCACTACTGCGTTGATTTCTAAGCTTTTTTCTTTGGCAGATCCCAGGATATCGCCTAGAAATCAGGGAGACCAAAGGAAACTCAAGAGACATTCAGCCCATGTTTGTAGATGCTCTCTCTGCTCATAGACCAAAAAAGTCTACAGTATATTGAACTACTACACCTGCCAGATGGATGATGACTCATTCAGACCAGACTTGTTCGGGAGTAAACATCGAGATCTGCTGGCGTCTGTTCCACTGATTCCGGGGGATCCTTCATGCAGAGACTGGAACATGGGGGGCGACAATGACCACTACCTTGGCTGCTGTGATCTATTTGCTTTGTTTTTTGGCTGTAATAGTTAATCATAATTGACCAAATGATGGTGGTCATGGCTATGAATCCCAGGTTTGCCTTGAAATGCCACTGTTTTCATCATGTTGTGTGTTGGTGATATCATACTTTGTCATGACCAGAGTTTGATGTCACACATTGAACACACAAGGATTGATATAGAGATTTACCCTGCCTATGGTGCTATAGTATTTGACATGCCATTTAATCTCTCCTGATAGGCGTGGATATCATAATATAACTGACTATACCATTCCCCTTCGTCTCCTTGAATATGCCGTCTGCAATTGTTACTGGTGCAACCGGTAAGTCTGCCTATGTCATCCGAGTAACTTCTGCTAAATACTCTCGTTAGGCATGAACGGGAGTGCTATTGTGCGTCATTTATGCAAAGACCCCACATATGAAAGGATCTACTCCCTCTCTCGCAGAAATCCCGGAGGGGAAAACGCCAAGATCCAGCATGCCACCCTCGACCTCCGGGGCTCAGCCGAGGACATGGCCAGGAACCTCGAAGGCATCTCCGCCGAGTATGTCTATTTCTGCGCTTACCTGGCACAAGATGATCCGGCTGAATTGTCGCGCGTGAACAAATTGATGTTGTCAAACTTTCTTCGGGCATTGGATATCACGGGTGCAATCAAGAAGCTGAAGCGCTTTGTTCTGACCTGTGGCTTCAAACATTATGGTGTCCATCTGGGTAATTGTAAGCAGCCGCTCGTCGAGGATGACCCTCTGCTTGAGAGCAACAAGGGTGGCGTCTCCTGGCCCCCGAACTTTTACTACGAGCAGCAGCGGATCCTCAAGGAGGCCGCCGCACGTGGCCAGTGGGAATGGATTGTCACACTTCCAGAGGATGTCCTAGGCTATGCCCGGGGCAACTTCATGAACGAAGCCACCGCACTGGGTCTCTATTGCGCCGTTAGCAAGGCCCTCCCGGGCTCTGAGCTACCTTTCCCCGGCTGCAAAGCCAATTACTTTGCCTTTAACAGCTGGACGTCAGCGAACCTGCATGCTAAGTTCTGTCTCTGGGCGGCGACTGCCCCTAACGCAGGAAACAACCTCTTCAATGTGATAAATGGCGATACGGAGTCCTTCCAGAATCTGTGGCCGCGGCTAGCTGCGCGCTTTGGCTGTAAGATTCCCAACCCTATGTTCCCTCATGGAGGTACCCCGGACACCCAGGGTTTTGGTAGATACGAGGCAACCACAGTGCGGATGCGAAACCGCCATCCACTCACTGCACATGCGGACAAGATCGGCGTCTCAGCGGACGACACTCCCACCTTGTTTCTACAGGTCGATCCGGAGAAATGGGCCAAGCGCAAGGATGTGAATGATGCATGGGCTAAACTGCGTGATACATACAATCTCGACCAAAGCGGATGGGAAAAGGCGACGTGGGATTTCCTCACTTTCGTACTGGGAAGGGACTGGAGCTGTGTTGGGACAATGAGCAAGGCGCGGCGGTTGGGATGGAATGGTTATGCTGATACTTGGGAGGAGCTGGAGGATACGTTCATGATTCTCGAGCAGGAGGGTATTTTGCCTCCAGTGGACAAGCTCATAGCAGACTTTTAGTCTAGAATGGGCGTAATGCCTTCCAATGGGTCATGAGAGCCGCCCGTCCGCAGCTGCTGGAACCACGGCTGCATCTTCTCCATGTCCTGGATGCAGGGGACAAGGGAAAAGACGCGGTAGATCTGGCGCGGGTGCGAGCAGGGGTCAGTAAAGAGGTGGAAGGTGTGTTCAACAGAGTAGCATTGCAGGCAGCAGTAGAATTTTGTCTCCTTGGGGGGAGTATGACATTGAACTCTGAAAATGATATATCATTGCCACAACAAATCCATGTACCTCCCCAAAGCCGCCCCCTCAAAGAGTTTATGCCCTTCTCTTTAGTATATTTATTGTTAGATCTTATATCTAGATATTAGAGCCTCCTAAGTATAAGAAACATATATAACAAACATATATAACAGGACTTCCTCTGTCATGTGATCTCGCTTAGCGCCCTCCCTGGTTGGCCCTGCAAGTGTGCAGTAACGTGACTTCTCCTACATGCTTCTCACCAATGAATATAAACCACGTCCA